CCCCGTCTCTCTATCCTTTCCTTATTCTCCCCTTTTTTCTTTTCTGTTGTCTCTCGTCTTCGCGCGACCCATGTGCCATCTCGGTATCGATTCGTTCCCGGTTTGGAAGAATATGTGTCGAGGGCTGGGCAGCATTAGATATGTGTATGTGTGTGATTGTTTCATGGATAAAAAAAAAGGTACTCTCATCAATCGAGACGGGAACTCGAGGGAGTTGTTGGATCTGTTTATCATCTTACAGCTTTGTCTCTTTGAAACTTTTTCTTTTCTATTCTCCACTTTTCTTATTTTTCTTATTGTTTCTTATCTCACGCCTTACCTCCGCTACTTACCTATTCTTACCAAGTTGGCCACAAGTCCCGCTTTTGCGTTCGGAGTGGTTGAAGTATTCTTTGTTTTGGGTATCGGGCAACGAGTACAATGAATGGGACCGCGGGGACGGAGTTCTGTGCTATTTTCAGTCGATCCGACCCGTGGTTATGAATCAATTCAAGCACCCGATGGGTTCTTTGTCAATTCTTTGCTTCATGAGTTTCTGCAAGTAGACCTGTAGAATATGCCTTGTACCTAGGTACAGGTACTCCCACACTAGTGTGGGTAGTGACCAGTTAACTAACTAACCACTAGTCAGTACTTCTCCTTCCCTCGTACTTCGTACCTCTTACCTCGGGCCCTTCCATCTGCATGCGCCCCATGTCTTGGACCTCGTATGTTCACCACATCCCCGACCAGTCAGCGAGTCTGCACCAGGACATGCGCTGATGGTGACTGGCTGAGAAATTGACTAATGCAAGCTCCAGACACTAGCCCATGCGGGATTTTCTAGAATGCCGCTAGAAGGGGCTGTGCGTTGTCTGTGTTTGTACGGAGTACTTTGGATGATCCCCAGGTTCGTGTTGATTCGGTTCAACCTGATTCAAGTTTGGCTCACTTTGTTCCCTTTTCCCCTCGTTCCTCTAGTGGCTTGGCACCATCGCTGGATCGGAAATGACGTTCCTCCCGGCACAGTCTTGCCGATTTAACGACTCAGCCTTGCGAGTGGGTTCATTCCATTGCCAGAACAGAAACACACAGTGACTGGACTGTGAGTATACTCCGTACAGGACACACCACAGGGTGCACTGTAAATACACCACCCCCGAGTGTATCACCACCAAACTTGAAGTGCATCACACACGTCCCAGCTGAACGTACGGTGCAGCGTGCATCACCGTGCAGCCTGTGAAACCCGCCTCAAAGAACGGGACACACTTTTGGCCCCTCCCGCTAGAAGCCTTCCAGAAGGGACCGACCACGCTAACACTGCATCCGATGATCCCTTTCCATGAGGGGGAAGCGAATATGCAGGACTGACGCCAGCCCCCCCAACCCACTTGTTGCGGTCTGACCACACACGAGTCACCGTTTTCTTTTGTTTTCCTTGAGAAAGGCCACCTTGCTAGCGCATCATTTGGACCAATCCGTAAGGTTTGATCTCCCCCTCAACCTGGGTTAACTCGGACACCCTCGAGCCGCCCCCTTCTTTGACTTGGCAACACCCTTGCATCAGGCTTTCCCCCAATGACACCCCGCCAGATACCACAGATACACATCAGAGTGGATCTTCGGCCGTGTGCGCTAGAAGGTTTCCAGAATTTCGAGAAGCCCCTCTGGAAGCCCCCCCACCCGCCCTAATGCACGAGGATCCCGGCGTGAATGCAGTAAATTCCCGCAATGATCCTCGAATGACGATGCTGAAGGCGGGGGCTGAGTCGACTGGTTGACCACTCGGGGGTTCCCAATTCCTCTTGATGAGGCTGTCCCGATCAACCAGACCAGTCAGAGACCCGGTTGGAACGAGTCTCTGTCCCCATCAACGCCAGATGACTTCGTATTGGAACCGGGGGGGTTGTTGTGGTCCAGTTACTCGGTCAAACTAAGTGGAGTTGAGGGAAGAGAGAAACAGGCCAGGGACGTAGTGTAGAGCCACAATCGTACATCCAGCTGGACAACAGCTGGGACCAAAATAATACATAAGAAAGACGCTTGCGCAAGGGGAAACACCACCTGCGTTGTTTTTTCTCACTTTTCCCTTTTCACTGAGATACCACTACCACTACTACTACCACCACCACTACCATATCGACTTGGCCCCCAAGTTCCATTTCTGCATAGCTGTACTCTCTGTACATCACTTTCGAAGGATCACACCGGCGTCTCAAATCCCGCCATGGTAGGTCACGCTAGTAACTTTCTAGAATCCTTCCAGTCTGTTCACACCCTAACTCGTTCTTTTTAAAATACCTATAGTCCATCCCAGTCCCACTTCCCCTCTCCAAACAGTCGCTGTCATCCACCTCCTCACCACAACCACAACCTCATTCCAACTCGTACTCTTCTTTCCCATCGCCCGACATGCAATCCCCCTTCAGTTATCCAGACTCGTATGCTTCGTCCTACTCCTCATCCCCCGGTGGTATGGACTTCTTCTACGGCATGGGCGCTCCTCAAGCCCCAGTCTACGACTCCTCCTCATCCTTTGACATGGACCCTGCTTCTCCCTTTGTGCAAGAGGTCCACCCAGAGATCTACTCCTTCACCAGCTCTCCATACATGTACTCTCCTGCAATGCCAATCAAAGAATTCCCCATCAAGGATTTCCAAATGTATGAGGCGCCCATGGCAACTAGCGTCCCCAGCTCCGCCAGCAGCACCTGCGATAGCGTCAGTGGGTGGAATACGCACGAGGAGCTGGCGATCACCAGCTACCCCCTCAGCATGGGCGATGACTCTGGACCGGACTCCCCGTCGGCGGCGAAGTAAGTAAATCGCAATTACCTCGCCACCTTCCATTCCTTACCTCGATCATGGTTTACTAACAAGACATCGCATAGACCAACCAAACCCTTCGCATGCGACGCCAGCGGTTGCAGCAAGTCCTTCACTCGCTTCGCAGATCTAAAGCGCCATCAGTCCAGCGTGCATTACCCCGTCTTCCGCAACTGCCCTGTGGATCACTGCTCACGCAAGGGCAGCAATGGCTTCCCGCGTCAGGATCACCTCGTCGAGCACCTACGTTCATACCACCACCTCGATGTGCCGAAGCGTCGAGCTTTCAAGCGCTCCTCCAAGGAGATCTCATAAGCGGATCGTACGATAGTGACTCGCATGTTGTTTTCCGTTTGGCACGTTGTCTTTTTCTTTTCGATTTACACTTTTTGACAGCCTGCGACAGCACAGCTAGCTGTTATTCTTGACCACAGTGTATGATTTACGACCACTTTATGTCTTTTTTTCTTCTTCTCTTCTTTCTACGTGGAAGGCGCATTGATTCCTCTTCTTCTTTTCTTTGCTTTGCGACTCTTCTGCTTGTTTCTATAGACTGTTTTTGGTCATGTATAGACGGCGCCGCGAGCTATTTTCTCATTCCCATTTACTGCCATTTGGCATTTTTCTTTGCGTCTGTTTTTCTTCCTTCTCTTTCTCTTTTCTCTGGACGCTATGCGATAGACGGTTCATGATTCGATGGACTTAGAAATTACGGATTCCCCTGGACACGAATTGGACGGATCATGACTTTGACTTTACTATTTTTGAACCTCGAACATACATATCATACCTACTACCAATCCACAGGATTGACACATCTGAAGATCTCTGTGCAACATGCTCTATTAGTAGTAGCTCATAGCTATCGATTCCCCTCGAAGGATCCCAGTACCGCAGAGCAGGGCAGAGTGGAGCTGGTTCCTGGAAGCTTACCCTACTCCTGCCGCTAACTGTCAGCAGAAGGATCATTAGCTTCGGCAGTCGCGTCGTAATGCAACAAAGAGCGAAAAATAACGCACGCGCAGATCGCCTTCCAAAAAGCAAACATCCTCTAGTGTCCCTAGTTCTTACACGCACCCACTTCCGCATTCAATCCAATCAACCCATTTCCATAATAATCCTTAGCCGCACTGTGTACAGTTGAACATCAAGCCCGCCAAACTCAAACAGTCATACCGGGTCTAGAACGGAAAAGATTCAATCCTTCGATCCTCAATTCCCCGCTATCATTACAACGCTACAATCCGCCTATCCTAAGATTACATATGCAGCATACCCAAATCCGCAACCACAGTCCAGCTTACTACGGAGTACGGAGTCTGGGAATAATAACGCGGCAAGCCAAGCCAAGCCCTACCCCCAACCCAGTCCCACAAAAGAATCGATCATCCCAAATCCTCCCCCCCTTTGGCACCTAGACCCCTGCAAAGAATCCTTTCATCGCATCAGACAAACTTTGCCCCCATTCAAGGTGCGACAGGTCGAGGCGTGTGTGTTTTCCACACGGGGTACCGGGTCATGTCGATCACAGGGATCGCCATTTCCCCGCCTTCCAATATATGACCCCGTACGGAGTACATATTCGGGTTTCGGCTTCACCGAAATACTAATTTGTTTCATGCTGCTCATTCATGAGCGCCGTGCGGGATGTGGATGGAGGGGGATGCGATGGGATTGGGGCCGATCGGTATACCCGAACGGGTGCATCCGACTCCTCATATGCATGACCCCGTACTGTTTTTCGTACATCGGTCGGTGGTCGCTAGTTTGATCTGGGTTTGGGGTTGGGGTTCGGCGTCGCGGCTCGACTTTTTCAAGTTGATTTGATGTTGTGTTTAGTGTGGGATTCTGGTATGACGTTACTAGCGACGTTACCCTGGTCCCTGGGTCGATCGATGCAGTGATGAGCACGAATTATCACACAACTAGATAGCATAGACTCCCTATTTGTTTACCTGCACCTGCAAGTAATTATCTGCCCACTGGTATGTATTGTCTTTACTCCATCTCGCTTGTTCTAGTTTTGGCTTCATTAAATCAAAGCAACTATCATTCATAATCAATTCGTCAATATGTCATTTCAAGGTCTACCTTGTTGATGGTAACGCCTCGGACATCCACAACCTTGAATAATTAAGTACTCGTTCCATTTCACTTGATATCTTCCATCCATTGTGACAATCGCACATCTACTACACGCCCGATCCATTTTCATCCCCGTACTCTCCCCAGTAACCTTTCCACCGCGAGCACCTTTCCCCCATCGACTTTCCCAATTCTCTCCACTCCCCACCAAACAACCTCCGCACCTCATCCTCACGCTCAACAAACTGCACCCCAAACCCCTGCTCAAGATGCCACCCAATATGACAATGCAACAGCCACGCGCCAGGATTATCCGTCTTAAACGCAATAACTAAATGACCCGACGCAGGCAGAAGTGCCGTATCGCGTTTGGGGAGGGATCCCGATAAAAACGTAATAGCCTCACCATCACCAGCACGCACATTGGGGCTTTGGGTTTGGGCTTGGGTTTCGGCTTGGGTTTGGGTTTTCGTCGAGGCTGCATCGAGCCCCAGCTCCTGGTCCCGGGCCCGGGCTCGGGCTGGGGTCGACCTAAAGTCTACATCTGCAGGGGGCCGGTACCGATACCGATACGGGCCTTGGCCCTGCGCGACGATGAGAAAGTCGTGCCCGTGCAAATGCACCGGGTGCGGTGCGGCTAGGGTTGTTTCAATTATTATTATGGCCCAGGCGTCGGGGTCGGGTAGGTCGATCACTGCATTTGAGCTTGTATTCGTGTTTGTGGAGTCGTGGTCTGGGGCCTGGGTTGAGAGCGATTGGAGGGTGGGGTTTGCCCAGTCTAGTTGCATGGACGTGCCGTTCAGAGTCCAGCGGTAGTGTTGGTTTGAGTCGAGGGTTATTCCCACCGGGAGGGATTTGTTGTAGGTTATTTTTTCGGGGAGGGTGAGGTCTGCTGTTATTATTGGTGTTATATGCGTGGCGTCTTCGTCGGTACAGCTGTCTGTGTAGTTGTGTGGTGATGTTTTAGGGAGTCTGGGGGGGTTGGTGGTCCTTCTGGCCTGAGGTTGCGTAGGTTATTATGCCGCGAATGTTGGCGGCGTTGCTGTTTTTCGAGCAGCTTGTTTGGGGGATTGCGCGAAGCCAAAAGGTCGAGGATAAGTCGGTAGGATTTTGGTTTGCGTGGACGATGATATCGTAGCGTTGGCCTGTTCAAGTTACGTCTTTATGTTAATCCTGCGGGCGACAATATTTGCGATCCTTTGGGGATATTCATGGATTTGGCGGAGCTTCTAACATACCTACCGCGATGTCCAGGACCGTCGTCTTATATGGTCGAATTGGAACAAGGTCTGCAGCAATCACTGTGAGGGTATGGTGATCAATACTGAACTTGAAATGAGTATCGCAAGCTGCGTTTCCAATTCGCAATCGATATGACCTCCCTGGGATAAAGCTCATGGTAAACCGCTTTCCGCTTTGAGCTGGATCGCCGTCTTCTCCAAAAACATTCATCCCATTGATCAAACCATTGTCGACCGTAGGTGGCCCAGATTTCTGTGCATATTCCCATAGTTCATCGACAGTTCTTGTATCCCAGTCATTTAGAAAAATCGTGCCTTTATCATCGTCATAATTTGCGCTCGCGGGTCCATGGATAATGATACCACCAAAGGCCCCTTCCCATGTTTGCAATCCGATGTGCGAATGATACCATGTTGTTCCATACTGGGTCGCTCGCCAGCGGTATGTCATTCTCTCCCCTGGTCTGATTGGACACTGAGTAATTGAGACAACACCATCGCTCGGATTTGTATAGTGTTGTCGGATACCATGGAAGTGCATACTAGTTCCGTTGCGGACAGTACTGGGTAGCTTATTCAAAAGGTGAACGACAACCGTGTCGCCCCAGTTGACCTCGAGAGTCGGGCCCGGAATCGTACCGTTTATTGCTAGAGTCCATCTTGCCCTGCCATCCGGTGCCAGATATAATTGATCGAGCTCGAGCCAGAATTCACGGGTGACGCCGGTGTCTGGTGTGATGGTCGTATAATCTGTGTTTATATCGAAACCGCACCACTCTTGTCGGTTGTTGACACCGTTCCCTTGGCAGTTATTCTCAAATCTGTTTATTTGGCTTGGTCTTTCTGTCACGGTCCTGTCTGGTGATGGTGATGATGAAGGTAACGGAGAGTCTTTGACACAACCGCAAGGGCTTCCAGCTGTCAGTAGGCTGAGTAGAAGAGGAATAAGGGGCTTCATTTCGCATGAGATGAAGTCTTTTCAAGCCGAGTGAACTCGACAAATGGCCACTCCTGCATTTAATACAGTCCGTGGTCGAATATTGACGAATGACCCAACTCAAATAGCAGGGCCAAATCCGATACTACTCAAGGGCTCCAGATACCGGTCAGCTCATTGTTGCACCGAACTCGATGAGAACCAAATCCGATCCTTGTTATGGCGAGCTAGCGACTCCGAGAACGTGGCTCCGGTGCAAGCTCCCGCAATGTACTCGATTCAATGCATATTCTCAGGTGTGATAACTTATAAAACGTGCAGCCAGGCAAGGCTGTCCATGTTTTCTTTGAGCGAATTTCCAATTAGACCAATACGCGCATGTTTCTGTATTTCTGCCTTGTTTGTGGAACCTGGGGGAATCGACCAGTTCTGAAACGAGCGTTTGTTCCTGGCATGACTTGAGATGTTGAAAAATCATGGCCAGGTCAGCAGTTCCTGCAGATCCACATATGTACTAGGTACAGACAGCCGAAGACGTTGGCTTTTTCGCTCATAAACGACAACTTGAATTTACTTTTTTCCAGTGGTTCAACCATCCAAACTCTCAAGGACTGGTTGCCATAACCTCACAAACGCCGCCATCTAACAACCAGTGGACGCTAAAATAAAAGGTCTTCCACACAAAGCATCAAGTATTCATTTATTTCGCCCCTAAATCTCGGAATTCTTTGAAACAAGATCCGCCTGCCTTCCCATCCCCGTCAAAAGTAACCCCCTCGTCGAGGAGTCTTAACCTCTTCTCGTCGCGAAAGGAACCAGACCCTATATGCTTGCTAACCTTCCACTCCCCCTTATACCCGCCAAGTGTGCGGTCTGCCGCCAGAACTCGGTGACAGGGCACTTCAGGCGCAAAGGGATTCGTGCGCATCGCATTGCCTACCGCCCGCGCGCTGGAATTGAGGTATGTTGCCATCGCGGAGTATGTGGTCCATCGCCCCTCAGGGACAGAGAGGAGAGCGCGGTAGACGCGTCGGCGGAACGGGGTCAGTGCTGGGTGGAGAGAGATACGTCGGAGGTACTTTTGGATTTCAGTTTGAGTGTCGGTGGTGATAGTAGTTGTGGTGATTGTGGTGGTTGATTTAGCGGTTGGCTGGGAGTGGGGCGAGAGTGTGGCCGAGACCACTTGCGATGGTTCTGGGGTTGTTTCTGTTGCCATCGTAGATAGATGGATAGCTTTCTTGATCTCAAGAGAAGCTCTTCTTAATTCGTATAACAAGTGTTGGTCTGGGCTGCAGGCGTAAAGTGCTAGATCGGCTTCTGACGCGTGAGACGCGTCGAACGCGAACTTGATGTGTAGGTATGGGTGTCTTTTGTTTTGCACCTCAGCACTTCGTTTTGATTATCAGTAAATATTCGGGATTGTGCTGGATGATTTATACAAATATGAGAATTCAAATGAGAACTGGAAGTCTGACTCAAAGCTTTGAAATACAAAATGTGGTGGCGGCACCCGGAGTTGTTGCTGATGTGACCAATCAGAGAGCTCGACACCACAACTTCCGATGGCCGACGTAGACTACATGCCAGTGGACTCTTTCACCTGGGCACTGGCTTGGAACTTGAACTCTTCGAGAGATGAATGGGAAGCTTAATAACTCGGAATTTAAGATAAATTGGTCAATTTGATTCGATAACTTCATATCTACCAAAAGATAAATGGCATCTATTTGTTTCCATTTCTAGCATAACTCATTATACGCAATCTGGTATCAATATACCGGGGTATAGTAGGGATATAAGTTCAAGTTACAAGCTTGAAGCTTCTCTTCCATCACTACAGAAGGGAGCATCTATCTTAAGCATGATCGACATGCTCAGCAGCAGTAGCATTCTCCCCTGCCTTGGCAATCTCAAATGACTTGCCGGCCTCTGGGTCCAAAACACTGTTCTTGCGGCTGACAGCTTCGACCATACCCGGGTTCTCGGCCTTGAGGCGAGCGAAGGTTTTTTCGGCTTCCCAGGCCCATGGGCTTGGAGAAGCAAACAGAAGATCCATATCTTCCAGGGTACGCTGACTACTCTCCGGATATAAAGCCCACACCATGGGGATGGTGATGACGTTGCTAGCAGCGAAGACATAGAGAGTCTTTTCACCGATAGCTCCGAACATGACAGGACACAGAAGGGTCTAAGTGAGTTCCAAATGTCAGTATCATAAAGAAATATCTTTTTGAACAGGATCCAAAGCTTACCAGCCATCCATTTCCAATACTCCAACCAACAACACCCCATGCATTTCCACGAGCACGAACGGCCAGAGGGAAGATCTCAGCAGGGTACACCCAGGGCACGGTCAACCATGTGGCTCCGAAAGTCGAGGTGAAGATGAAAATCATAGAAGCAGCGGCTGCACCATATGATGAAGCTTGGCCCATGTCACCATCGGCTTTGGCATTAATGGCAAGACGTGAGAATCCACCGGCAAGGAACATGGCGATGCCCTGCACGACTGAGCCCCAGTATAACGTCCAGCGGCGACCGATGCGATCTAAAGTAAAAACACACACGAGAGTTGCAAACTAGAAGAAGCATCAGCAGGAAGACAAACAAACATGTGGGCTACCAATAAACATACCATGTAAAACACATTGTTCAATCCACTAATCCACTGGCTTTTCCTTGAGTCAAACCCGGCAATACTGAAAATCGTCGGCGCGTAAACGGTGACACCAGCGATACCAACCCATTCCTGCATGATTTGTAACCAGACAACCAGTTGTACGCGGCGACCAATATGGAGATCTCCGGACTTGTAACCAAAGAGCATCGACAGATAAGAGTGACCACCACCGTGAACAACGGTCTTCTCCATCTCAGCAATAGCCTGGATATCCAGAAACTCGGCTTCGGCACGGACGCGATCCTCAGGGCTGCTACCACGCAGACGTTGAAGAATATACCGGGCTTCCTCCTCACGGCCGACGTTGACTAACCAACGTGGTGACTCGGGGAAAAACCAGACAACTGCAAAGAGGACAAGCAGGAAGACGATTTGGAAAGCGATAGGAAATCTCCACTGGAAGGCCGACTTCCCGCCATCAATGAATGAAAGACCACTGCGCAGCTGTTAGTGGCATGGTTTAAATAACGAAGAATCAGGTACTAGTAGCAACTCACAACTCCAGCCAGTAAGCCATGACGACACCAAAAATGTTCAAAGTAAATTCAATGGCGATGAACTGGCCACGCGAAGTGTGCTCAGCGGTCTCCGTGGCCCACACAGGAACGATAGCGTTCAAAATACCCGTACCAATGCCGTTGACAAATCGTGCTATTTTCTACGTCAATCACAGCCTCTCAAAGGTGTCAGCTTATGAATATGGGAGCCACTCACCGCAAATCATCCAATCGTGGTTTTGGGCGGGACACTGCAGACTCGCACCGAGGATAGCCCAAATGGCTCCAGCAGCGATGGTCTTGATTCTGCCCACGCGATCACCAAGCCAGCCGCCGAAAAGACCACCGAAAAGAGTTCCCAGATAATAAACAGCCACGATACCACCCTGCAGTAGAGAGTTGGTGACCACCGGTGTTGGTTCTCCCTCCACCATCTCGGTATAGCCGAATCCCATGAGGTCGATATAGTCTTTGGAGTTGTTGACTCCAGACATCATTCCCTGGTCATAACCAAAGAATAGAATCGATAGTGCTGCAACACAATTGATAGCCACGAGAAGCCCTCGCTTCTCCAGCTTGTGGACGACATTCCAAGAAGAGATCCTGTCGCTCATGGTGAATGATAGAGCCCAAGGATCTAAAATCGATAATTTCCCAGATGCATAACCCGTGCGGGGACGGGGAGAAGAGGTATCTATAGAATATTGAGGAAAGGCGGAAGGAAAAGAAAAACGAAGGTGATCGACTGGTCACTGCGTGACTCAACGTATGATAACTCGAAGCAACCAGCCGGTCCAGCCCCGTGGGGAATCGTGCCAGATGCGGGACAGCAATGGAACCCTAAGTCTGCAGTCCGCCATCATGGCCCGCGGGGCCTTTTAACCAGTTTCGCCCGAGAAGACAACTTGAATCCGCAAGTGCAGGGAGGAGAGAAGCTGTGATTGGATCACCCACCTGCAGAAGACCGGCAAGGAAACTTCCCCACGAGGATCGGCCGACTGTCGCCCCAGGAAGAGCAGATGGCGGGAGCCTCCGATCTGGTTACATCGTGTTTACGAGCACAAACAAGGAGAGGGGAACGCGAGTCTCAGGCCCTCGTCGTCTCCACTATGAAATTCAAATCCGGGTTGAGTTGGTCATAGTGGAGGACAAGTGCTTTCGGGTTTCCACCAGCGGAAGAAGAACTGGGGAGACGCGGGGATGTTCCTTTTAACCGACACCCGCTGAAATCGGCAATCCGAAAGCCACGGCATTTTGTTAAGGTTTTCGCCCCCTGTTTTCTGACACAATGGACCCTGGAATGAACTGAAGTGCATGAGAACTGGGGTCTATATCTTTTGAATATCTTGTGAATCCATAGGACCGAAAGAAATGACACTAATCCCCATGTTAAGCATCGGTTAATTTTCAGCATCCACCATTCTGTCATTCCCCGGCCTCGGCTAGGTCGGGGCGAAGTCTACTCCGGTGATCCCACACCCCGAAGGGCCAGACCAATAGGCGACTTTGATCGGGCTGGTCCCACCAGAAGCAAGGCTAACCTCGGAGACTCGCGATACGGAGTCTCCAGACTTTGTCTAAACTCGGCAAGCCGGGGGGAACAGCGCTGTCAATGATCCACTGAACCGGAACAGCATCTCTTGGTATATCACCGCTTTAATCTGCTTGGCCTTTTTAGTAGCGGCGAGCGACCACCGGAAGTTCGCCGACTCTAAGCCATGTGCCATTGAAGACTTCCATGTCAGACCCACTTCCAGAGTACGGAGTATTCTCGTATGTAATGCCGAGAATCTGATCAAGGCTTTTAAGGTTATCATCTTGTCACGCGATGCGTTTGATCTATAATCTGAATGACGTCTTAGTACGCCCTATGAACCGAGCTAAAGCAGACATCCCCACTTGGAAAAGTCGAGACAGAATTAACCGCGTTGGACGGTAATTGGTCATGGCAAATTTGACGCTGGAGATTATACTATGTGGCCACCCATAGCTTTATCTACTAGATTAAGGTTATTATTGGTGCTTGGAGGATTTCTTGTGCTCGGCAAGTATTTCATTATGGATATTAGATTGGCTCACTGCGTAAATAGTCGAAAATGATCGAGCACTAATTAAGATTACTTGCAATACTCGGACAAGTGAGAAGGATGGGGCTGATATTGCCTATTCGCGTAAAAATTAACCAACATTCACCAGTTTTGACCTAGCTTGAAGGAGGCAACCCAAGTACTTCCATCGCCCCAGACTAAGCAAAAGACCAGCCACCAGTCTTATCAGCAAAGAAGTTATCTGGGTCATACTTCTTTTTGATTTCTTGAAGCTTCGAAAAGGCTGAGAATGTCTGGAGGGGATTTTGGTCCTGGCTCGCATCATTGATGAAGAGTGGCAAATCCTCTGCATTGCTGACCGACGCAACCATATCACGGTAGCTGGCTTGCACAGCGTTGTAATCTGGCTCACTCATTCCGGGCGGCGTTGTGATCAAATAATTCAACCAAAACCACGGCCCATCTGGCATCTGCATTGCATTGCCACCCTGAGCCTTACTAGCATCTGTCAGACTCTTCAGGACAGGCTGGAAATCCAGCGAAAGGAGGACATATTTTCCCTTGTTGGATTCGGCCCAGTTACGCCACACGTCCAGGGCATTTTCATAAGTTCCATTGTCTGCACGATGAACGCCGACGCGGAACATGTTGGCGCCACGGGAAAGCTCTGTCGACATTGGGATAGGCATATTCACAACTTCGGGGTATGTCTTCACGCTCATTGTGTTGAGAAGGGAAGGGATGCTGGTGAAGTTTTTGAATGCATCACCTGGGTCTTCGCCGTCATAGACGAGAAACATAATGATGGCCTCGTCGATATTCAGATTCAGGTCTGGCGTAGGCAGCTTCTCATAAGTGCCGATGATAGCCGCCTTGGGGTCAGTGTTGTATTTTATAAAGTCGCCGATCGCAGAAATAACATCGTCCTTCTGGGCAAAGAGAAAGATGATATTTCCAGCATAGAATTGACCGATCGGACGGCTCTGGACTGTATACTTGGTGACAACTCCGTACGCGTTGCCGCCGCCACCACGCGACGCGAAGAAGAGATCGGGGTTCGACTTCTCTGAAGCAGTGACAATCTCGCCGCTAGGTAAGACGATTTCCAATTCTCGGAATGAATCGCAGGCCATGCCGTATTGGGGCGAAAGGTAGCTCATACCGCCGCCCAAAGCGAGGCCGGTTCCCACTCCGGCGAGTCGTGCCCCAACGACTGTGCGATTATATTGCACATAATAGTCGTAAATATCGCCAAACACTCCACCCGGTTGATAAGTAGCAAGAGTTGTGCCTGGGTCGTAAGATCTTTCTGTCATGCTGCTCAAATCGAGGAGTACACCCTTGTCGACAGATGAGTAGAATGTATTCGGATTGTGACCACCAGCTTTGATTGCGAAGCGGCTGTCGGCGGCTCGAATTGCCTGGAGGGCGGTTGAGACATCCTGGGCATTCTTGGGATAGACGATACAGGAGGGCTTATAATCATCTTGTATGGTGTTCCAATATTCGATGCTGCCCACATAATCCAAGCTGTACTCATTGCTGGTGACTTTCGATGAGCCTAATTGACTGGTAATATTTGAGCATGCCGCTGTACCTGCAGGAGCAGCAGTAGCAGCAGCAGCAGAAACGCCTGCCAGCAGGGGGATAGTAAGGAATGCAATCATGGTGCACAGCAACGTGTTTTGTTGATGAGAATCAGAAAGGGGCGAACGACTTCAAATATCTCCCCATTGTGTTCCTTCACGTGGAATAAACAGATGTCAGGCACGAGTTTCCTCGGTCGAAATAATTTATACGGCAGGAATACGACAACTGCGTTGAGCGTTAAAAAGGGTGAAGAATGGCTAGCCCACTAGCTAGTTCAGGGGAGTAAATTGTGGATCAACATTCCAACTTAGCTAGCGCTCGAACTACATTTTAATTCACAGCCGGAATCTAAGGGGGGGAAAAGATTCTCGGCAATTGTATACGTTGGAATACGATAATGTTGGAATCATTTCCTATCCCAGTTAGCGAATTGTCGATCACTGTCTCGAACGGGCAACACGAGCGAAGGATCTCCCTTCTTCCCCTCTCGCCCTCGGAGGAACCTCTCAAAGAGGCGTGATTCCTGTCGTCTTAGCATAAAAATCAGGACATGTTTCCAGTGTCATGAGCTCAAAAAATGTCCGAAACTCTCAATTCCGAGGCACTTCGCTGCTATGCAGTTATGAGATGCAAAAAATCTGCCTTCTCTAGCAATCACTTGCCCAGGTAAATTTAGGATTTTGAATGCTTTAGCGGGGCCGAGAGTAAAACAATGTAGTACAACTTAAACAAGGCTAGCTAGTATATAAAGGCTAAATGCTAAAAACCTTGGAAGTGATGATTGTCTGACATCCATGGAATGACACTCCCACTACCAGTGCAATTGTAATCTCATACATCGATCAGTTACCTAGGACAGTAATCAATGCGCAGACGCAGATACCCAGACAGGCAATGGCAACTATAAGTTAATTTAGTTAGGTAGTGAAACCTAGCAAAAACTTTCGGCTTATAGTATACTGCCTAGGTAGATCGGCCTTCAGCTAAAGCATGCATTGCCTAGCGCCCAAAAAGCTACACAAGGCTGCCACGAGACCACAACCTTGGAAGTAAACGACTCGAAGGTCTCATTTGAAAAAGAAATTTTACTTTATTGGCAGTTAGATATACCCGAAGCAAAGAAAGCGGATTATAGGCCAACGCCAAACGCCTCTTCTCAACATCATGTTGATGTCACCACGCCCATGAGATTAGCTTACAGCCACTGCCCAACATTACTTCTCTTTACCACCCAAAAAAGGCAGTTTTAGAAGAAACAATAACGCTGCCTTGTTCATTTTATCTCCCTTTTTCTTGATTTCTTCTCATATGGGCCTCGAACCGGTTGAATAAAGTGCAAATAAGACAGATTTTTCGACTCTCTGCCATTAGCAATTATTAAGTCTCCTTGTCAATTACCAATGTGGCCCTCACTCTCAGATACCTCGATCATCGGCTTTCTGTTCTTTTTGGTCCTCTATCTATGGCCTCGGCGTCGTCAAGATCCAAATTGGACATACCGACAAGCGATCACATGTGCCCTTATGAAGGTTGGGCTGCAGAAATTTGTGACCTTCCGGATCAAGCCATCACTATCCTTGAAGACGGGGCGGGAAAAAGAGCGTTTCGTTCTAGTCGATCCGGCGTTACCAGAAGCATATTCCGGGGTGGCAGAGGACAACAATATCTGGCCGGAAACTATCGGAGGCACCTGGTACCCAAATCGTTTCACTTCAGATACTACCGTTCCTGAGGGCCAACATATCATTCTCCATTTCCATGGCGGTTCCTACGTAATGGGTGATGGTCGCACCAAGTCCACTGGCTTCCTAGCTCGCAATCTTTTGGACAGCACTTCCGCCCTCTATGTTTTCTGTCCGCAGTACAGATTATCCGGTCAACCACAGGGGCGTTTCCCTGCACAGCTCCAAGATGCCATCTCCTCATACTCCTATCTTGTTTATACACTCCACATACCAGCCTCGCAAATTATTTTGAGTGGTGATAGTGCAGGGGCGCACCTGGTTCTCGGACTTCTCAGATATATCGTTCAGATGGATAATCCATTTATCCTTCCTGCGCCATTATGCAATTGGCTCTTCTCGCCATGGTGCGACGTTCCAGCTGCCATCGACACCTCCGACTGGCGCAGAGACCCTAATTACGCAACTGAATATATCCCTGCGACCCTTCCAGCTTGGGGAGCAAAGAATTATCTCAGAGACCTTGACATCACTGGTCCCATCGAGGAACAAGTTGTGCCGCTGAGACATCCGTTTATATTGCCCTCGCCACTGCTTATAGTTACTGGAGGGAGAGAAATCCTATTACAACAACACTTGCAACTTGCACAGGGCTTCTTGAAGATACCAGAGAATATGGATTGTGTTGAACTATATAAGGAAGACGGGGTTCCGCACGATGTTTTGGCCATTGGTGGAATTGCGAATTTCCGCCACCAGGCACTTAGATGCGCGAGGAACGCGGGGGATTTCCTTCGAAATCTACGACCTGAAAGACCAGCGTTTAAAGCGGAATTTTTCACGGTCTCAAATGATAATTTTGAGGATCCGAATAATGAGAAGGCTGGAACATAGATCGAGAATGAATTGAAGACGCTATTTTCCATGGACAAAAAGCCGGCTGCTCAGAGGCTGAGAGGTCTTTTCTCTTGGGGGTCCATTGGGCTTTCCGAAGACCAATTGCGATTTAGATTTCCATTCTTTTGGCACTTTCCACTGTTCGGATACACGAGCATCAATCATAGGGTTGTAGTGCTGCAAACTGCAACCAAGTCCTTCGGCTTCCAGTAGTGTCCAAACTGCGAATGATGTTAGCTTTAATTTTCATTAGCTTTGGATAGAGCTTTGACTTACCAGCAAGCTGGCTCATTCCACTTGCATGATCCGACCATTCAGGGAACTTGTCTATAAGCATAGGCATTTTCGCTTCGAGGGGCTTAAAGACAGCAGGATCCTCATAAAACAATACCTATTGCAGTATCAGCATATGGATTAAATAAATTTCTCTATCTCAATGGAACTTACTGTTCCATATCCTGCGCGAAAACCAGCTATGCGGTTTCGATAAAGCGTCTCAAATTGCTCGGCAGGCACGGTAGCACTTGCGACTTCATGGGCGATATCCCATAATTTTTGGTGTTCTTCCTTCAGCAAAACAACCATGCGGGTTCCTTGGGTGTTGAATCCACTGGGCATGTTTTTGATTACTTCGGAAAGAATCTCTTCGATGCGCTCGTCGGAAATCGGGGATTCATTTGACAGAGAGTAAATGGATCGACGGCCCTTGAAGCCTGCAAGAATGGAGGTAGCGAGGCTAGACATTTTCTCGGTACTTTTCAGTGAATTAGGATAATACGTGAAGGATGCTTAGGAGATGCTTATTTACGACTGGGAATATGCTTTATATACCTTCTATTAGGCTTCTTTTACTAGTATCGGGGACGGAGCTCCGACATACCGATCTCACGGCCTAGTATTTGGGGGCCAAGCGGAGATAACTGTCGAGCTGTGCGGGAGCTGCGGAGATAATGTCTTAGAAGTAAGCAGAGTTTGCATATAATCCTCGCATTTCAATGCTAACCTGATATAGTAAGTGGCTCACAGCTACGAATATCCACATGCGATATGGATGAGATATCGAACAATTGGATTAAAATTTCCAAAGAACTACTGAAAATTGACATTGGCAATTTAGTGAACTCTGAGGGCAACACAGGTAAACTTGATTGGCAAAGCATTGATAATTTTAGCAAACTGTTTGAAAATGCTCAGGAATCAACCCCTTCCTCCCTCCAGGGCTGGTCTTGGATCCCACAAGGATGCTACATTCTAAATAAAATAACGGTATGGAAGAGATCACATAGTAACATATGGAAATTGATATGTCGAAGAGACTGATACGAATGGATACATGTGTCTACCAAATAAAAGCAAAAGTAATGAATATCAAAACTGCTACAAAACCCGTCTTAACGCAAAACTTGATTGAGGATGTCCATTGGCGTGACGAACCTCAGTTATCAGTTTGAATGTATGTCCACCGGGCGTAAGAGGGAATCAATTCTTCACTTCGATGAGGCATTTAATTCTTATAATTCTTATAAGAATTAAATGCCTCATCCGATAAAAAACGGACTTACTACCATAGCAAAGGGTGTTATAGCTTAAATGTAGAGCCCAGACAGAACCAGAAAATCTTGATTATCGCTCTCTGGGAATTGAAATTCATGTGGAGTAAAAAAGAAGAAAGCATTAAACTAGAATAAAATAAAGCAAAAATCAAGAAAGAGAAAGGTACGGATCCAAAAAATCGTTCTATCATCGTAGTTTCAATATGTTGTTCCAGCCCATAAAGCCGCGACCGACCTGCGGGCACATTCCGCCGGCCATCCTCAAGTTGCCTCTGCTACCCAACAAATCGCTCATAGCGATCGCCATGAAACCAATTTTTTGTACTTCTTCACTCTTATTTGTCGAATGAAGGAAGCATAGAATTATTAAAATAAAGACAATAGATCGAAAAATTATCCAAATCTTGCCTTTTTTGATGTCATGTAGGTGAGTTAGACAAATTTTGGTCCTCCTTTTTTACTTTCTCAACAAGTCACCACAACCGCCGATAGGCGGAGATTCTCCGATACACCTCGGGCCTTATCCCAACAAAGCTCCAGCTCATCTCATTGCCCAGAAGATTATTCGCACGTCTTGAGAATGGCTTGGTCTTTCGCTATAATAGTACTAGTAGAGATATAATGAAGCGATGGCCAATAGCCACATGCAATCTCTAAGAATTCAACCCCTCCGCGGGCGCGCCAGATCTAGGAATCGGGGATCGCCGCCCTAGAGACATCGGCATATAGGCATACAATTGATGTGGTACGCTTTTGATAGTCGAAATACCTAGGTATACTACGGCCCAGGACTGGACAATCCTGAGGTCCCTTGATATGAGATGATCGTGATCCTAATACTGGTAGCCCTCATAACTAGTTCTCTCCTTTGAAAATATCGAGTTTTAGTAGTTAGTAGGTGTAGGGTAAGTGATAGTTTATCAAGATATAGGTATTCGTTTTGTACCATTAAATTCTCCGCAGTCCGGACTAGTCCGGTGTTGACTTGTTCCACACCGGGCCGGTCTCCGGGGTTGATTATAAACAAAGGGGGCGTGAAAGGGACAAGAAATCCCTCAATGCAGTACTAGTAGTAGCAATACCGACACTTTCACAAGTCGCCCATAAAGACTTGGAGGTTTATCGAGCAGATGACTAGTCGACGGCGAATATCTAGGTATTAGTATGTCATGCCGAGAGTAGCCGTGGGAAGAGACGAGATCGGAGGAACCGGCAAACCTGATTGCACCTTTGTAAGCCCCGCGGGCATCAAGGACGGTTAGGGGCGTCATTTGGGCAGGCTAACTTTAAAGGCACTAGGGATAGAGAGGTCTTCCCGGGGTAGATCTGGCCGGCCAGGTGGAGAGCGGAAAAGGTCTTCATGGTTCCCGTAGGCATCATACCCGTATCATCATCAGGTATTCAAGTTTTCATGTTGCCCTGGCGATATAACTGCCACATAGAGGGTAGTAGAAAAATACAATTAGTGAGAAACTTCGTAGTTGATTCAAGTATGCCTGCTCTAGAGTCATCTTTACAGTTGAATCGGCATCACCGGCAAACACACCAACTTGCCGAGTCGACCCGAATGGGGCTTACCTAATATCTCCAAACCGCGAAAGCTCAGTCCTTTCCCGCCAGATTGGACCTTCAAGACACCTCATCTCCTCCCCCCCCAATTATCACCCTCCCCTACCTCCAGGTTAATCTATAGGAGGACTTTTCTTCTTCTTTCTCTCTGTTATCTGTCTTCGTCTCTGTCTCTCGTCATGTTCCGCACTGTTCTCCCCCGTGCTGCGCCGCGGGCTGCGCTCCGCGCCGGCTCCAAGGCTGTGCCTTCCACCTTCATTACTCCCTCTATGCTCTTCATTGGCCGCTCAAGTCGTGGTTATGCCTCTGAAGCCGGTAAGTTGATGCTTGAATAGGTTTTCGGGGAGGACCCCGATTACCACCCGTGCTCCCCGGTGGACAATTGCTGATTTCCGGTGTGCCCAACAACAGGAGACCACGATCTGGTTATCATCGGTGGTGGTGTTGCCGGTTACGTTGCTGCTATCAAGGCTGGTCAGGAAGGTCTGAAGGTGCGTTTGATTCCATTTTGACACCACATCCAACAGGTGGAGCTGTGGTGATCGCAACCTTGAAATTTTGCTAACCAGATGAAACTTGTTTAGACTGCCTGTATCGAGAAGCGCGGAACCCTCGGCGGTACTTGCCTGAACGTCGGCTGCATTCCCTCAAAGTCCCTGCTCAACAACTCCCACCTCTATCACCAGATTCTCCACGACTCCAAGAAGCGCGGTATCGAAGTTGGTGATGTCAAGCTCAACCTCACCCAGATGATGAAGGCCAAGGACCAGTCCGTTGAGGGTCTGACCAAGGGTGTCGAGTTCCTGCTCAAGAAGAACGGTGTCGACTACATCAAGGGTGCCGGTTCCTTCGTCGACGGCAACACTATCAAGGTTGCCCTCAACGAGGGTGGCGAGCAGACTGTCCGCGGCAAGAACATCCTGATTGCCACCGGTTCCGAGGCCACCCCTTTCCCCGGCCTGAACATCGACGAGAAGCGCATCATTACCAGCACTGGTGCTCTCGCCCTGACTGAGGTCCCCAAGAAGATGGTTGTCATTGGTGGTGGTATCATCGGCCTCGAGATGGTGCGTTTGTTATCTGCCGCTTGCGCACCCGCGCGCATTGGATATGCCTAGAAAACTAACACTCTTTGTCATTATAGGCTTCCGTTTGGTCCCGTCTCGGTGCTCAGGTCACCGTTGTTGAGTTCCTCGGCCAGATCGGTGGTCCCGGTATGGACGCCGAGATCGCCAAGCAGGCCCAAAAGATCCTGGGCAAGCAGGGCATCAAGTTCAAGACCGGCACCAAGGTCATCAACGGCGATGACAGCGGCGCTACCGTGTCCCTGAACGTTGAGTCCGCCAAGGGCGGCAAGGAGGAGACCCTGGACGCTGATGTTGTCCTGGTTGCCATTGGCCGTCGTCCCTACACCGAGGGCCTGAACCTCGAGAGCGTCGGTATCGACAAGGACGACCGTGGCCGTCTCGTCATCGATCAGGAGTACCGCACCAAGCTGCCCCACGTCCGCGTCGTTGGTGACGTTACCTTCGGCCCCATGCTGGCCCACAAGGCTGAGGAGGAGGCCGTTGCCGCCATCGAGTACATCAAGAAGGGCCACGGTCACGTCAACTACGCCGCCATCCCCTCCGTCATGTACACCCACCCCGAGGTCGCTTGGGTTGGCCAGAACGAGGCCGAGGTCAAGGCCTCCGGTGTGAAGTACAACGTCGGTTCTTTCCCCTTCAGCGCCAACTCCCGCGCCAAGACCAACCTCGACACTGAGGGACTTGTCAAGTTCATCGCTGATGCCGAGACTGACCGCATCCTGGGTGTCCACATCATCGGCCCCGGTGCCGGTGAGATGATCGCCGAGGCTACCCTCGCCATTGAGTACGGTGCTTCTAGTGAGGACGTTGCCCGCACTTGCCACGCCCACCCTACCCTTTCCGAGGCTTTCAAGGAGGCCGCCATGGCCACCTACTCCAAGGCCATCCACTTCTAGACGTTGACGCAGTTGCGATTTCGATATCCTCTCACCCCCCGTGTACTACTTTTGTTGGAGTTTTAGCCTAGCCTCGCTAGCAAACTACATGTAGCATTTCATGTAATCATTTCTTTTTGTTATTATCTCTAAAACCACACACTACCAATCCTAGTGCCTTTGCATTTCGTTAGCCAATTGCTTCAAGTTAATTGCCCAAGATATACCTCCGGAAGACGTAGAACTTTTGAAACTACTACTGACCTAGGTACCTGGGTAGTACTAGTAGTAACTACTATTACTAGTAGTATTTATGGAATACGTGGAGCTTACCTAGGTACATTATAAAACAAAAATGTTTGTGTGAATCTGCGAATTGCATACTAGTTCACCTTACGTTTGTTGTAGTGCTCCGTAATAGATGGAGATATACATGCATATGTGGCTATCCATGGAGTGTGGAGGTCTGGTTCCAAGGTTTCAGAGCACACAAGCAAAGCAATATTATCGGAGTGAGACTGAGTGAAGAGGCATTGATATCAAATAGACGATGCCAAAAAATAATGTGTGAAAAAAGAAACTCCGATAGGGGGAATCGAACCCCCGGCTGCCGTGTGAGAGACGGCGATGTTAGCCACTACACCATATCGGATTAATTGATATAATCTGTTAGACCTTTGGCTTTATGAATCTGGTTGGCCTAGTGGGTCGCTTTGCGCTCCTGTTCGTGGTAGTATATCAATCTCGACCTCCCCCCTGCCATCCAATACTTCCACAATTTCGTTTTTCGCCCTCCGCGCTGGTCCTTGCAGCTGAGGCATTTCTACTATTGATCCGGGTCGCAGCGCTCCAGGGCTTCAAACCCTAAACCCTTCTTTACCTTGCTGCCCAGGTGATGAACTTTCCACTAGTAGCTTGTAACCAGATTATATCTTAACACCAACGATAAAAATAATAGGCGACGGCCACAAGCAAAACAAGAATACTAGCATACTATACTAGGAATTGCGCCCTTTCGATCCATTACGCTGCCGCTGGTAACCCTACTGAGCGTGGGTGCTGACTAAAGGCCCTACCCAGCGCAGGAGGCCTATTCATCTGGGGTCTGGTTCGAGAATTTCCGAAGATCGTAAACCTCGAACTTCAACCCAAGCACATCTGGAATACACCGGATATGGCTACTACTATTCGCCCCGGCCAGTTTTCTGACTTTCACGCCGTGGGACGTCGAACTGGCTTGGAAGCTGATCTTGCAGGCCAGGAATTTTTGACCCACTGCCCTCCAGATCTCCCTCCCCGCCATCGCATCGTGGCGCTGCTTGGTACTACTGACGACAAGGGCGAGGCAAGCCCGGCCAAAGACGGCTGGTTTGTTTCGGATTTTTACCTTTTCCACCATCTTCTGTCACCGGAAACTTCTCAACGTAAGTGTTTTGGTTCCAATCTTTACTCCGAGTCCATATGTCCTAACTGTACGGCGTGCAATAGTCGAACCCAATCAAATCTGGTTAACATCTGAAGACCCAGAGTCACTTATTACTAAGTACAAGGAGTACCTACATGGAGATGCGCAAGGAGACTGGCGGGTGGTATTAGATCGAGCCATGCTCCGCACAATTGTGGACGGCGGCAGAGTGCGCGTTGTGCCACGAGACATGCTTCTCGAAAGGTTCATGAATACCGTTCGTGAGCAGGTCACTAAGGCACGTAGCCGTGAAGAGCACCTCGTGCTGCTGATATTTGGCCATGGAACCCGTGAATACGGAGTAGAAGTCGCGAATGCTATCCTCCAGATCGCTAATCTGCGCCGCGTACTGCGGGACACACCAGACGTCACAATATTTACGACATCGTGCTACTCAGGTGGCTGGCTGGTATTTCCGGACCAGAGAGGCAAGCACCTTAATGCAACAGCAATTGCAGCAGCAGGCCCGGACGACGTTTCATCATCATGGCCACAAAGTGGCAGTATAGGACGAGCCAGTGGCAGCCTTGCTGCATCCGGAATCCTACGCTGTCTCATCGATACGGAGACCGAGGAAAGGCTGGTGGCTCATAATGCTCATGATATCGTTTCCGGAAATGGGGTTACGGATACAATGAAGCACCCAACGTATATCCAGTTCGCGAAATCCATTCATGACTCTATCAAAAGTATGGGCCTCCTCGGCAGCACTCAACAGATATACTTCTCGGCTGAGAACGACGAATGGGAGACTAGCTACCGACCACGCCTGGGACTTCCACTTGTGTCATATGAGGCGAAATGGAATGCATTGCGCAAAGTCAACCCGTCTCCTTCCTCCGTCAATGCCCCAACGACGAGCAGAAGTGGTGGACGGCCACTCAAACGACTTAAATACCTCGCACAGGAGTACCTTGAATCTAAACCAGGCGCTGATAACCTCGCCCCAAACCTCAGCTTACACGGATCTCTAAAGAGGGTCCTGCGAGGAGAAATGCTTCCTAAAGAGGAGGTAGAGGAACTGACGGAGATGACAGCATACAGACTTGGTTCTATGTACGAGGCCGACTATCTCCGGAAGATGGTCGGCCTACAGTATCCGTCTATTTTCGACATAGATGCTACAAGTGTGATCGCGGCATTACCGACCTCACGCGCGATCGAGAATCATGAAACGCGGATGCTTCTATTAAAGCTAGACATCAATACGACGCCGATTGGGATCCGGCGCCCCTATGACAAGCCTCTACACTATCTCACACTTGCCCTGACAGAGACATTGTCCTCGCAGGAAAGCATCGACGCACATATCAGGGAGATGGTGACGAAGAAAAGGGCATGGTTTAGATTTATCTACCAGGCGTGGCAGGGCCACCGTGTTTCCCACGACCAGAATGTTAGGATGAGCCGTCGTGCGTTTCTGGAGGCCTTCAAGTCGATGAAGATTGGGCAGTAGAAATCTGCCAGAATAGTTTGCTTTTTGCTTTTTTATATATTCTTACCATACTTCAATGCAATCGGTAGCTCTCACTATTGGGTAATAGCAAAAAGGCCACGGTAGTTCCCCTATTCTCCGCACCTTGTGTGTTCCCCGAGCAGTTGACGTCGAACTGAATATCTGCAGTCCTGACTCCAGCCCTCCAGTATTTGGCATTTTACTACTATATTCCCTCGGTGGTATTCCTTTTTCAACAGTAATTTGACAGCTTTAAGTCTAGGATGATGTATTCTCGAAATCCCCAATCTCGGTCGAGCAAAGAAGAAAATAGATATTTAGAAATTTGTAAACAAAACCCGACGATTTGAGTTGGGAAAATTTATTGAAGGATCCAGAAGGAATTTGTTCTTGGTGTAAGTTGATTAGATTACCTTTATTGCTTATTCTAGAGCTTAGTAACTTAGTTAGCCTAGTGATATAGTTACAGACGTGGAAACAGCATGGTTTCTCGCCCTAAAGTGCACGGCAGACCGTGATCTTTTTACCGTCACCTCCATTTACACCATATCGGATTAATTGATGAAATCTCTCAAACCTTTGGCTGTATGAATCTGGTTTGGTCTAGTGGGTCGCTTTGCGCTCCTGTTCGTGGTAGTATATCAATCTCGATCTCCCCCCTGCCATCCAGTACTTCCACAATTTCGTTTTTCGCCCTCCGCGCTGGTCCTTGCAGCTGAGACACTTCTGCTATTGATCCGGGTCGCAGCGCTCCAGGGCTTCGTCACCCCCTTTCTCTAGCCTATGTCATTGTCGGCCGCTCGGTGCTTCTCGTAACCTCAATCCACCACGCTCTCCGATGGCCTTCCTCTGTTGGCTTTGACAGCGGCACGTAAGATGAGCTGGCTCTTTGTGACATTGAATTTCGGAATTACCGCCGGTAATTTGGGCTGGTCGATCAGGAGTTGAATATTGCAGATGCCGATGTCTTTGATCTGCGCCCTTTGAAGACTACATAGTATTAGTTGACCGCATCCTCCGAATTTCCAGTCATCTTGGTGTCTGGCCACATACCTTATCCTTCGACTTAGGGTCCGCGCCCTCTTTGAGTAGAAGCTTGACGATTACTTTATATCCGTTTTCCGCAGCCAATGAAAGGGGTGTCTGACCAATCTCTTGGCTGACGGAAAATTGACTATCTGATCCGTTGCGGTGTTTAACTTACATTTAAATTTCCTCTATACCTCCTAGTTGATTGCATTGAATGTTTGGTTATCTTTGCCGCACACTCTAACTGAAATGAAATGAAGATGACTTGCGTTTGAGGCATTCTTCGGCTCCATTCTCGAGCAGCAGTTTGACAATAATAGAGTCGTGACCTTTCTCTGCCGCCTATGATAGCGGTGTCCCGCCCTCATTATCCTTTATATCAAATTCAGCTCCCTTCTCAAGCAGCAGCTTGACTTCATATTCGGAACCTGCAAGTCCAGCTCTTGAAGCCTTGTTTACGTTGCAAATTTGACATGCATGAGAACCTACAGATTTTTGGCAATAGATAGATCATCTGTGGTACTATGATTCTTGACGACCCATGGGATTCGGACGTTTCGTTTCATCGCCGATTAGATCACTATATACTCCCCTTTCCAGATGTGCCCTTTACATACGACCATAGGGTGTGGAGAACAGGGCTTCCCGTCCGCTCAGCCGTACTTAAGCCACACGCCGGCAGGTTAGTAGTATGGTGGGTGACCACATGCGAATCCCTGCTGTTGTATGTTTTTGATTTTCGATTTTTTATTTTAAAAAATCGATTTATTGGGTTTAGTGCCCCTGTCGCCCTGCCCAGATTTTTTTACTTATACTAATACGAATCTGGTGTCAGCCCATCATTCAGATAGTATACCTATGTGTATGATTAGTCTCACAGATGGAGTGAATGTTGCGCAAAAGAAGGATTTAAATCCCATTCCTAGAGCTCAGAACTTAGACTGGCTTCTCGTATTCCTAAGTTCATTTCTTAGAATGAGTAACTACAAGAAGAAAGCAGACACAAGAACTCAAAGTATGGCCTTGTTACGAACAGTAGTTGCAAGAATACAGATGTGTATCTGCGCTATAAGCCTATATATAGTATGATCGATTTAAATCAATTCTAAAGTTTTTGAACTTGAACAAGCTCAGAGAACTCAACTAGGCTTCGAGAAAGGCTTAATCTCTGTAACAGGGTCGCTATTTGCGCTATGGACACGACCACCAACTCAGATATCACCGTTCGAGTCTTCACTTTGGTACTCGTCTCGAAGGCCCTCTAGCCAGGGACCAGCAAGCACAATCTATATATCCCCATAGCCTGTGCCAGCATATACTATATCGCCAGGGTCACCAGAGCACTGAATGACAATCTCCAGTAAAGTCCACAGTATTAGATCTTTGTCTCAAATAAACTTTATTACTTACCCGTATTCTATCTCCTCAGATCATAAATGCGGCACCGCCTGAGCAGAGTAAACAGTAACCGTTTTCCCACAACCATTTGTGGCTGGATTGCACAGGTTCTCACCCTTAGGTGGGGCTTTGAGATTGTCGATCAGCTCGTTCACGTGATGCAAGTAAGGACTTAAATCACTTCGTTCGATGATATAAGAAGTTGAAGTATCTGCAGCGCCAATTGTAGCAAAAACTACAGCTAATACTGACTATTTTGTCTTCATTTCTAGGAGTGGTCCCTAGAGCTTCAAAATGAATTAATACATGCAAGTATGAATACATTAATCTTTTTATTCGCGTGAATAAACGCGCTATTCATGTTTGTATTCATATTCGTATGTATACTATTGGCTTGTTGTATAACTCTCAGTCATTGCCTCGTCTACCGTATCCAGAGCTACTGGGTTGATTGTGGTTGAAAAGGCCGAAGTTTTTAATCACAATGACATAATTTTCTGAGCCACCAATCCAGCCCAGCGGAATAGCTCACGGAACTCCAGGGATATTCAGCACTCTTTCACTACATGAGAGTCAAATGAGAAGCAATACCGATATGATGAATGATGCCTTATCTGACGAAATATCTGCTGAGGGATTACCCCCTTCGGTCAGGGTTTATAACTACGAGGGTATGGATGACTTTTCTCAAATCATGGATTGCCACATCACTCGTCTTTACGCCTCTCTTGGAACTTTCAGCTTGCAAAGAGGAGATTTTAAATGGGCAGGCTGTAATGATGATGATGGTGATGGTGATTATGGTGCTATACCTCATCTAGATCCCCATGAGGAGGATGCTGGTGATCGTCCCTGCCAACATAGTCAGCCTCTGAACAATAGGACCTGTCAACAAAGCTCAGATGGCAGTCAACACAACAGAGAATCTCTGCAATACGAACCAGGGAGCCAATACATCATTTTTATTGTTGATCCACGCTCGTTCGAAACGGACTTCCTCTGCAGAGAAACTATACGGCACACTCGGTTATCATATAACCCTTTTACACATATTCTTATCGCCAAAATGCCAGTCCCTGCCCACGAAAGTGCCTCCCGGGAATTTGACTTTATTATGCAGTCGAGTATGGAAGACGCGGGTCTCAGAAAACGCCTTGGCTCCTGGGGAGGTGCCACTATGACTGCTCCAGATGGCACAACGAAGGAAGCAGATGGGGCGTGGGGCCCCTTTAGACCTCCCCCAGGTTCTCCCAAAACACCATCAGTTGTACTGGAGGTCGGGTACTCCGATAGCCCCGCCAAGACAAGACGGAGTTCGCACTGGTGGTTGGACCCTGCGAGATACGAGGCCAACGTGGCCATCGGAATGAATCTCAATGTCAAGAAGCCTGAGATCATAATTGACACATGGGAGTGGGATCCCACCACTTGCCGACCCAAGACCACAAACCACATGGTCATCAAGAGATCCAGCAGAAATATCAATTTCGAGCCTAACGTTCATGACCCGACCATAATGATCCCCTTCCATCAAATCTTCCGTCGCCCCCGCCAATCAAATGAAGACAAAGACATCGTCATCCGAACCCAGGATCTGATCGAGTTTGCGTACCGTGTCTGGGAAATACAATTTGATGAGATGGACTAGAATCTGTCAGTTGCTGTTGATAGCGCCTGCTAGTGGTTGGCTTATCCTTTCTGTTGGATTTTATCATTACACAGCTTCTTTTTGCTCTATTATTAATCGTACCTGAATACATGCAGTCCTGACTCCAGCATTCCAGTATTTGGCATTTTACTACTATTAGCAAATACACAAATGAGAACTTTGAGGACCTGAACTGGGGAAAGGTTCCAAGATTGTGATATTTAGCAACCTCAAGCGACGCCGCGACGAGACCAAGCCAGATCGAGATTGGCTGCATAAGTCGCCCATCCCTTGGCATGTAAAACAGACGCGATAGATGAACCCTTTTCGCCTCACCTTGCTGGTGAGCTTTCAGAAAGTCCTGTTTATGTGTGCTGGAATGTACACAGTACATATTTAGATGCAAGATTTACTTTTTGGAAAGCACTCCATCAAAAAAGAAAAGTGGAAATATCGTCAGGTAAAATCTACTAGTAGTAGTACGGATAAAGTGTGTCACGGCTCAAAATTGGATGGCTGCTTGGAATAAGAAAAAATATACTATAATGAAAGGTAGTTTGACGAGAAAGTTGAAACAACATCTGAGAAGTGTAATTGTATATTAAACATGGGTTCCGAAATGAGAAAGTAATTTGAAGGAGAATGGAGCGCCCCCAAGGCATGAATCTCAAGGAACAGTTGACAGGAACGCTGATCAACCCTCAATCGATGGAGTCATCATGTTTCAAACATTCTTGATTTAGAGAAAATTAAGAATCAACAGAGCCACTCCAACAGAAAGAGCGTTGTTGGTAAATGACTTGGAGCCAGCGTTCGAGTGGGGAGGTGTCCCGGAAGGAGACGAGGACGTCGTTGTGGTAGTGCCGGTGGTTTCGCATGCGCAAGGAACGACTGTCGTAATAGTTTTGAACGATGAGCAGCTGGTTTTGGCAGGAGAGCTAGAGGTAGTGGGCGTCACAGTCGCAGCGACTAAGCACACCGAGGTCGTGGATCCCATAGATATTGTGCTAAATGTAACTTCAGGAACAGTGACGGTTTGAGACGACCAAGTGACCGTTGTACAGGGAGTAGTATGATGAGAGCCGGTGGTTGTCGGAGTGATTGTTACCGCCGTAGTCATCACATGAGCTGGACCAGTTGGCTGGGAAGTTTGGCTGGCTGGCCAAGAGCTGGTAGGGACGATCTCAATCAGGCCAGGGTTTTGTGGAACATAAGGAGCACAAATTCCTGCAAAGTATGAAAGGGCGGAGTCCTTCTCCTGGTCCGACTTCGCCCAAGCATGAATGCAGTCTTCCACCTTGCTGGTGAATTCCGATGATGGACAGAAGCAAGCGGCATCACTGTTGGAGTCGCACTTCGGGATGGAGAGCCAAGTATTGATGCACTTAGGAACGACCCCAGGGCAGGGTGCGGGAACGATAGACGAATCCGGTGTAGCTGGGGTCGTGCTTGAAACTAAGCTGGGTGTCACGCTTGCCGAGGACGAGGGCCAAAATGTGGACGACGTGGTGTAAGTGGAAGTAACAGTAGAGTGCTCAGGGCAGTCAGTGACCGTCGGAGGGCAATTAGTCACTGTGAATTCCTGAGTTGTCCACTCTGTGGAGACTTTAGGTGTGAATACCGGCTCGGTCATGGTGGAAGTGACAGGAGTTGGCTTAGGCTCGAGGCTAGAAGTAGAAGAGGCAATCGTGTTGGTCGAAACATGGGGCTTCTCGCCAGGCGGAGGCAGTTGACCAGGAGGCTTCTCGCCATGCGAGCAATCAAAGCTAACCTCGTGGAGGTTCAAATCACATTCACCAAATTTGCTGTCTTCAGGAAGTGTGAACTCGACAGAAACAGCACCACCACACTGCTGATTGACAACATCGACCCCTTCTGGTGAGCTAGTTGCGAGTTCATGACAGATTGAACCATCTGTCATCTCGTAGTTTAGCCTGAGCAGAGTCTCACGGGATGTGGAAAGGTGAAACTTCTGAACAGAGAACGGAGCTTGGGTTGCCTCGATCTTGACAGTGTAGCCGTCGGCCCGAGAAAGCTTTGCCTCGATACACTTGCCCTGTTGCAAAAGTTTAATAAGAGGAATAGATTATCAGACTCCATAAACCTACCTCGGAAGCACCGCAAACGTCTCTTGGCGAGAATCCTACGAAGTTGAAGCCTTCGTAGCTCCAATTGTCCCCATCAGCAAGGTCAGACCATTTAAATCCATCGTTCTGGGGTCCCAAGCACGAATTATCGGTATTCTCGGGGCTTGGATAACAAGTGTCTGTGCCCCACCACTAAGGTGAATTAGCTCTGGATGCCTTGCTATCGCATAAAATGGCACTCACAAGCCCAGAAGGATGAGCGAGCACACTCGCGCTCAGCATAGACAATAGAGCAGCTGTCTTCATCGTGGCAAAATTTCAAATGAATGTATTGAATTTTAATTGCGAGAGTTAAGGAGAGGCAGCAATTGAGTCCGAATCTGGAGGGTTAGTAAGAAAGACGGAAAGACGAAAGGCGAAGTTTGTCGACTAGAGGCGCGTTGTGAAACATCAGAGTTCAGTGGGACGTGGAGCACTCTTATGTATTTCTTGAGCAGTACCGATCAAGCAAAACATCTCATTATTTTTCTTGTTATACAAGACCCAGAAGCCAAGGAATGCCGTTTTCTGACCACCAAAGGCACCGTCACCATGGGAACTGACTGACAGTCGAAGGTGCGCAGAATCATTTGTTCCCGAATTCACAGTGCACTGTGATCCAGATCATTCCTATTAACGCAACATTCTGTAAGGTAGAAATGTAGACGCCCAATGGATGGATAAAATCACCGACATTGGCTCCCAAGGGGTACTGTGATGTTGATATGTAGAAACCAGGTGAGCCAATCAGGAAGTCTCGATTCTCGATCGCCGATCACCTTTCTGCCCCACCAAAACACATTTTATTGCCTCAGGCATCAGGATTGCCTTTGTCGCGCACATCGTTTGCAAGATGCCGAATCGTCCGGTGGTACTTCCCGCATTAAATGGTTTGGTTGTGATCGAGGCACATAGCTGTGCGGAAGAGACGCAATCCAGGTACAGGATATTTTTCAGTATGAGCTCGGCAATTCTTGTCCCACTCATCGCCAACTTTACGACCAAGCTTCACTGCTTCATTCTTCTTGCGCCACAACAATGTTGACTGATACTCCTCCAGGGGAAACGCCAAGAAAGACCGAGAGATGTCTCTCGTGATCTATCTCTTGTGGCTTCTCCCACAATTTTCTTTCAGCCCTAGCATAGCAAGCCTCCTTGCGACCTCAAGTATCCCAACAATGCGGCGAATCTCAGCGAGGCGGTATCTATGAACCATGATATTGTCCGGTTTGAAATCAGCCTTGAGGGAAAGCACACCTAAGTCCGTCAAAAAGTCAGTCCATGGAGTAACCTAGCGAATCATTCACATGTGGTGTCTAATAATGTGGTAGCATTTGACGCGCTGGACTCCCGACTCCCCTTGTGAACAGGACGAAACATCCCTCGTTGACTAAACGCCTCCGAGTCCCATACATACTAGTATTAATCACACCTAATTCTTAACCTGGCTCACTCATCCTAGCCTTGAATTTGAACCTTTTTCCCTTGAGATATCGAATAAAAACTGAGAGACCGAGCGCGAGGCGCTTCAATTCTTTCGAGCGACTTTCCCACCGCCACTATCTATCCAATTTGATCGTCGGCGTAGAATTCAAGGGAAAGTAGATATTACCTGGAGGTAAATATCAAAACTACGAGTACTACTACTGGTGAATATATTAAAATAAGTTTACTGTTTACAGCCTCCAGGGCTTGTTATGCAGGTGCCTGGCACTTAAATTGAGAGTGACCTCGAGACTTTACGAAATTCAATACCTCCTAGTATTTCTAGTAATCCATCCGTTCCAAGGTCGTTCTATACAATGATGTTTATGTAGTCTATATACCCGAAAAACCGTCTATCAAGTTGTGCTACTACTTATACTAGTAGTCGGCACGTCAATCATTCACCTGCCGAAAAGCAGCCTGGATATTATGAAAACCAAGAGGGGGGATATTCAGAAGGTCACCTCCTCGTTCTTGCGTCTCCATTTTCCGCCATATACTTGGAGTACGATGGTTGGGATCACACTGACTGCCACAATCATACCACAAACAATGCCCGAGCTGGCAGCTACTCCCACGTTTTCGAACATCGAAGTAAACCTAGATTGGGTGTCAACAAGCTTTGAAATTTAGATTTTAAGTCTTCTGAGGACAGTCTCACCAGAACGGGCCGAGGAAGCCCCAGATTTGTCGAACAAAAGTGATGAAAACACCCACGCTTGCTGCCTCCTGCGGGTGGGTGTCAATCGCATAAGTGACCATAACCGTCGTAACCATTTGACTTCCTGCAGCAGCAATACCGGTTCCGACAATAGGTGTGACAGTCCAGGTTCCGGTCGGGGCTTGCTCCGTGCAAACAAGAAAGACGATAAGTCCCACACAGGAAAGGGCGAAGCCAAAGTAGCTCAGCCAGAGCCGGAACTCCGGTTCTGCGTTTCCTTGGGTCCGCTTGGCGCGCATTCTCATCCAGTAATCCGATAGACTGCCGCCCATCTGCTCGCCTATTATAGATCCAATAATCATGCCGAGGAATTGAAGGCCGACTTGCTCTGTGTTGAGATCAAATTTTGATTGCAACAGCTGTGGAATTTCCACTGTGGCCAAGATATTGGCAAATAGGAACACCATAGCATAGGCGCAGGTGGGCAGAACGACGGAAGGATGGGCGAACATGGTTAATGGCTTGATGAATTCGAAGAATGTAAAAGGTGTAGGATCAATACGGCGGACCGAGATATATTCTCTTTTGAATGTCGATTCCTCTCTCCACTCGCCACTATTCACGTAGCGAGTCTCAGGTCCAAAGAAGAGGTAAAGAATGAACTGGCCTCCATTGATCTATAGCAGATATATAATTAGTGGGAATGATATGCGGATATCTCTAGGGTTTTGATCTTACCATGGCCAGAACCCAATAAATCCACTCATAGCCAGCCCGATAAGCGACGAATCCAAAAATAAATGGCCCAAGAGGAACCCCGAGAGTAATCATCACGGTCCATATTCCCATGTAGCGAGCACGATCCTTCTTAAAAGTCGTCTCCATTACCACAGCACTTCCGATAGCAGAAGCAGGGGCGATAAAGAAGGCCGAAAGAGCTCTGCAGGCCGCGGTCGCTCCGTAGGTGGTACTCTTCGCACATCCCACATTGCAAACGAGACTGCAAATTAATGACAGTAAAAATATAGGACGGCGACCAAAACGGTGTGCGAGAGGTTTCCAGAAGAGTGGTGCGCCTCCGAGGACGGCAATTTGCAGGGAAGTCAGATAACTCGCTGACTGATTGGAGACACCATATATTTCCACAATGTTTGAGTATGCTGGGATGATACCGGCCGCTGCAAATGTACCCATGCATGCGTGGAAAGCGACTAAGATCAAGTTCATAATTTTCTGCGGCCAGTACAGGCATCTGGTCAGCTATTTTGTCGAAAAGAATTCCCATCTGAGGTCTACCCTTCGAGAGGGCAGGAGTTGGAACGAACCTTCCATTCCGGCCAATTGTAAGGATCCGCGGGATCCATCGCAGGAATTGGATCGAGATCAAATGTTCCATGACGCTCCATCAAATAATCTCGGTGTGGTTTGGATAATCGTGTCGACTCGGCAGCAGAATTGCCTATGTTGGACGCGTCTGCCGCCGCACTCTCCACGAATTCCATGTCTTGCTTTGCGTACGCCTCTTCGACATCGCGGTTGGCAGCTGAGCGCTGCTCCATCTCCGTGGATTTGGCCATGTATGTTTTGTCGTCGGCTCGGGCTCGGGTTGTGAGTTGTAAATGTAGTGGCCGCGATTGGGGAGGAAGAAAGTGTTGGTAGAAAGGGATTGCCCCAGAATGATGGAGTACCCCACGGGTCTACCTCATGGGGTATCTCCGTCGGATCCACTCCCTGCTCCGTATGTCCGTGGCGATGGCAAAAACCTGAAGTTGTACTGCGGTCGCTTGCGCGTCAAGGTTACTACTTTATAGTTGTCCGCCAAAGAGGAGCTCTAACCCTGTTTATTTCTTTGCCATATAAATACATAACTTCGACCATCTTAAATGGAGAATGCTACATCTACGACCTCGCTGGATTCGACCTAAACTCAATACCCAGGAGTCTCAGGGGAACCCCGTGCAGGGCGATTGGGGGTTAGGTGCATCTCCAGCTGGTTCGTACGGGTAAGCATTTTGCAGGTGGGGTGTGGGGAGCCAATCTGGACTTTGCAATTATATACTGCTGCTAATAAAGAGGAATTAATTCCACGGTCAACAGTAAATTGATTGCTAATGAATAGAATATGTACTATTTCAGCCGTTGCCTGGCGCTTCAAAAGGCTTGTTCGGCATTGAACGCAGCAAGCCCACCCGATCTCTCAGCCGAAGGACCCGATCCTCTGCCCGTTCGGCTTAAATCAGCTCTTTTTTTCGGGAACTGCCGACAAGGGGTTGCCACTTGAACCAATCATGTTGTAATTAATTGACCCACATTCACGTCTGCCGACGAAGCTCGCCAGGGCTGTCGGCCTCGTTCTACGTATTTCTCTGTTCCTCGTTTCCCCATCTTATGTATCCGGCTTCTCCGCATTCTAACACTCATCTATGAGTATATTCATTCCTACTAGTACCACTGAAAAGTAATATTTTCATCTTTCTTTGAATTTATTGTATATTAGCCGACACTCGGTGAAGTAAGAGTGTACTCCATTTGCAGAGCCCAGCCGAAATCTGTGGATAGTGGGGCAGTGGCGAGTGCAAAAGAACATACATATGGAGAATCCAAGTTAAACAGAGCTCATCTAGTCGACCGGTGAGTCGTTCAAATGGAGAGCCCTTGCAAATTCAACTACCGAGGTTATACCGGGAAAGTCAATACTATTTCCAGATTCTAGTTCATAAAAGGTTTACACACAAGAATATATACCATCCATGGATACTAGTAAGAGTAGTAGTAGTATTAGTAGTGGTGGTGGTGCAGGAGAACGTGAAAAGGCCACATTGGTATCTATCTATCTAGGTAGAAGAGAGAGATGGGAAAAGAAGAAGAAGCGGACTCGGCAATGTCGTCAACAAAGACTGCAGAAACACGTACATGTGCGCCTGATTAAAGAGTAGTTGCATGTCCTGCCATATTTAAGTTTTCAACCAGACTCGCCAAACATAGCAAGAAGGAAGTTTGACCTTGGAACAATAGTAATTCGTTCGAGCAAGTACGAAACTCCAAAGTCCAAATTCTACTGCCCACCTGGGCAGGTGCATGATATATATCACTTCTAGACTGGACTTGCAAGTACTAAGCTACTAAGTAGCAATGAATACCGGCTCTTTTGATACCTCGAGGCTAGACTGTCGTAGTCCTGAAAGTACTGGGCAAGCTATACGGTTCAAATGCGACCGCCAGCCTATAAATGGCGATTTCGGATCCAGTTTTTGTTGGGCCAGTGTCTGTTTCCCAAATTCCGGTTCAAAGTAATGCTGGCCATAGTTTTACTTATCTCTAGCCAGGTGATATTTTGATTGGAGCTGCAATCGCCATAATTCATAGAACCTGCAAAGAAGTCTTGACCTGACTTGTGGAAAAATTCTTCGAGCCATTTTCGAGGGTTGGTGTGGAAACAAAGCTTCCCATGTGTTTTCCAAAGGTCTTGCAAAATCGCGGGATTGGCCTTCGCGAAATCAAATCGAAAGTCCGTGAACACGCGTAGGCTTTGGTCTGATTTATTCAACCAGAATGTGGATCTGATTTTAACATCGGCAATGGGACTTTTATCGGAAAAATAGTCATATGTTAATGTAGCACAGGTACAGCCTCGATCTCCAGCACATTGAATGTGATGTTTCCAAGCATTGCGAGCTAGATATGCTGTGAACCGATCAGCTAGATTGTTTGTAGTAAGAGTTGGCACTTTTTCACAGCCCCCCTTCAAGTTGTTGTGGGATATAACGCTCATTGACACCAGCACCTTTTGCTGTGGGCCACACCTCAAACTTTCTTTACTGCGAACTGAGCGCCCTTCAATCTCACGGAAGTCATCCCTCGCGCCAATTTTCAGAGCGTTGATCAAGTCGAGCTTGTCACGGACAGTGATGCTTAAACCAGGGAAAACATCAACTATGCCGGCATACAGCTGGTCACATCTACGCGGGCTGCATCGAGGAGTAATCAGAGATGAGGGCTGGAGGTGAAGTACTAGTAGCCATTTGGACTTAAAGGCCCGCAGTGAAGAGTATTGATGGAGAGTCAGACATTGAGGGCAGAATTTCCAACGAGCGTTTTGTAATCGACGAACGAGCTGTGTCCTCGGCTGAGGTGTATATGTGAAGTTTAGAAAAGTCCGGTGCTCACGAGGCAGCATGTCTTGGATTGTCTTTTGCTGCAGAGCAAGGAACTTTAGGAAACAAGAAAATGTTGTTTTGCAGCTCAAAGCAAAGCAAACCTGATCTGGGCATGAGAGCATTGGAAATATGCGTTCCATGATTTCGAACGTGGCGAGCATTTTTGAGTGACAAGTGCGAGTTATCAAGAAAAACGTCAATCGGTGCAAGAAAGAATCACTAGATTGCAAACGACCAACACCAGAGTCTCGACGATTCAATAACCTAGGTATTTCAACAGGAAGAGAAATTTTTGCTGCAGTTCTTCTGGGTCACCTGTTGCGCTTCTCAACCATGGGAACCTCAGATGCAAGTTACATCGATTATGTCTTATTCGCGTCATCAGCCTTATGGTCTGGCAGCCGCATCCAAGAAAATTAAGCTTTCGGACTGGCATAGTGCACCAAGCGAGGCCGTTCCGATATTTGATACAGAATGGTTTGCTCCTTCCCCACAGCGTCTCCTAGAAACTGACCTGATATTTTATACAGTATCATTTGTTCCTTCCCTAGAGCCTCTGCCAGCAACCGATCGAAGCATGGCAACCCAACCATCGCATCATGTTTACTAAATCTCGGTCCCTCATCCAAGAACCGTTTTTTTTCCTTTTCTTTCTCTCCCCAGTAAGTATACCCCTTTCATTCATTTTCTTCTGCTGTACTAATAACATTCTTTGCCATGGTTGAGATGAATATAACCAGTGTGGTTATAGGCGCTGTTTTTGGGGCGATCCCAGTTTACCGGAGTGGGCGTGCGACGTATGAGTTTGCTAGACGTAAGGGCTGGTGGATGTGGAAGTGGTTGGAGAATCTCTCGTGGTTGCAGGATGGGAAGCCAGACTTGGAGCAGGGGATTGGCCTTGACGCCGCCCTGGATCGGCACCTGGCAGCTGGAAGAACTGTCATGCTGGCCGTGACAATTCCTCCGTCTCCGGAAGGAGAACAAGGGGGCCGGAGGCCTGCTTCCATCCTCGAGGCGAGTATTCTGGAGCATGGGCCTGATGGGTTTGATCTTCGGGCTGCAGTGGAAGCTGTAGCAAACGGGGTTGCGGAGGTGGTTGAGGCTGGAGGTGGGGGTGCTAATGCTGCTGCTGCTGCTGGAGGAGATACCGATGGTGGTTGATTTTGGGATCCCTTTCCTTCCTTTTTCTTTTTGGATACCCTCTTCATTCGTTTATTGACTGCCCTTTTCATTCTTTTACTGCCTGCTCTTTTCATTCTTTTGTTGAGTGCCCTTTTTATTCGTTGCTGAGTGCCCTTTCCTTTCGTTAATTCAATGCCCTGTTCATTCATTGTCGGATGCGTTGCTTGTCTATTATTGGTCATGGCTTTTTGAAATTCTCTGTTCATTCATTTCAGCGATGTTCTGTCCTCTCCTTCTTTCTGTGCCGTTTGGGTTTGGTTGCACTGTATAGGAATTCTCTGTTCGTTCATTTCAGCGATATTCCGTTCGTTCTTTTTTAGATAGTGTATATAGAACACTGGCGACGAGCTTACCCTTCTACGCAGGGTCGGTGACAAGTAGTCTTCGGACGAAACCAAGATGAGTTCAAATTCAAATTCAAGTTGTTTTTGTTTTGACCTATTCCTGTTCCGTAATAGAGAATTTATCTAAAGATTCCAAGTCAGTAAGGAAGTTGGTAGTAATATGCTAGTATGTATTGGCGACTGCTTGCAGATACCAATGCCATGGAAAGCCGTAGCTGCATGGAACTTGAAATTTCATGCAGAAGCCTCATGCATTTAAATTGCCTTGAATATGCCCACTGGCAGATGTCGAGGAAATGGTAGTTCTAGTTCAACATGGCGAGCTATTCCATTACCTAGTTATCTGCTTTCATGGCGGGAATCGACCAGGTTAGTGTCGCTTAGCGCGGAAGTTTGTTAGATTCGATCGACAACTAGCTGAAAAAGCAGGGATATTTAGATTTACCGTCCGGGTACTCTGTATGGGTATGTAAGATGTGTTGCGCACGGACGTCAAAGACCGTTGGGCTCGATAGTTCAGGCACTCCATATATAGTGAAAGGTGGTGCATGGATCAAGTGTCAATACGAACATGACGCCATAAGAGGTTGAGCACATGGTGCAAAGCTTATGTTGAACGGAGTGCAGCAAAGCTCGGGTGGTCCGCAAGGAGGCCAAGGTGGCCAGGGAGCTTCCCCGCGATTAGGAGCAGCGCTCCACTGCAAGATGACGGTTGCCAACCCTCGAACAAGTCAGCTGGGATGGCGATAGGGAATCATATGAGCAACGACCGCCAACGCTAGACCGCGAGGAGAGGGTATGTGGGGCTCCGTTGAAACCAAAAATGGTCAACATTCAGCTTTGAAGGGGATATGAGGGACGGAGCAGAGCCGAGAGTACCCTGTAATGAAACAAAAACACAAAGACGATCATTCGGTCGCGCGTGGGCATATATTGCAAGATTTCTGGCGTGATCAATATATCTTGCGTGATGGAGATCAACATAATGGATCTGAGGCTATGACCGTGAGTGGTACTCCGTAAACCCGAAGGTGGTGATGATAGCCTCAGAATGGCCGCAAACGTGCGCCCGGATTGCACGCGGACAGGCGCTAGCGTCAGCACCAGCAGATCCTAGCGGGGCAGAAAGGCGTAGATCCAAAAAAAGACAACAAATATCCTCATAGAAGAGGAAATAAATATTGACTCTTGCTCATTGTTTTTCTCAGTCATTCCTCCCCCTTATCGCGGGGATCATCCGCCTCTTCTCACCGCCTCCCGTCCTCCTCTCCACTTTTTACTTTTTTGGCCACGCGGACTGGAGCTTGCATCGGAATTTGGATTTCTGAACCTTACCTTGAAACAGGTCTCATTTTCTTATAAGATCCAAGCCAGATGTCTCATAGTCTGGTGAATCAACTGCCTAGGGTTGGCACTTATCGCCTGCGTTGATCAGTTCCCATCGATATCCCATTTGTATACGACAACACGCATCTTAGTGAGTTCTTCACATGCCATAGTGGGGAGCTATCACTAATGTCGATCACCTATGACAGCGCTTGAAATAATCCCCGACCACTACAACAGTACAAGGCTACCCGAATAATGACTTCTCCGGAGGGTTCACCGGCCTCGAATACAGGCGCATCCGAAGAGACCGGAGATAGCGCGGCGCAAGCTGCACCAACGGCGCCACTTTGGAGGAGGATGTTTGGCAACAAGTCGACGGATAGTGAGAATGCCAACGGCGAGCCCACATATCGCGCAAAATCGACCCTTGGCATCCTGAGTGACAAAGAGACGGATGAGGTACCTGGTAGGTCGCAATCTTGCTCGAGCGCCGAGTTATCACTACACTCGAGCTGAACGTAAGCTCTGTCGCACCCGATACTGATCCTCGTTGGCTAGGTACCGTTCTTCTCCTTTCTGCGCAGCGCAACGAGCCCTTGGGATTAAGAAATCAACCTGCACGCACATCTACCTCGTCTCTACGTTCCTCCAACCCGCCTTCTCGCTCATCCTCCCTCACTCCGACCCCACACAAGAAGAAGACCTCCGACGGGACAATTGTGCTCGAGCCACAGCCTGATGACTCGGTAAATGATCCTCTGAACTGGCCAGTCTGGCAGAGAGATGCTTCCTTGCTCTCCCTGGGCTTTTACTGCTTGATGGGAGGAGGTATGACTACAATCCTAGCAGCAGGATTCAATGATGTGGCGCAGACATACGATGTCCCCAAGCAGCAAGTCGCATATACGACTGGTCTCTATATGATGGGCATGGGACTAGGCTCAGTTGTCATGTCACCAACAGCCATCCTTTTCGGGAAGCGCCCCGTTTATTTACTCGGTGCCACTCTATTCATCATATCTGGAATTTGGTGCGCATTGTCTCCTAGCTATGCAAGCCTGGTCGTCGCTCGCATTTTTCAAGGCGTTGCAGTAAGCCCTGTGGAATGTCTTCCATCGGCAACAATTGCCGAAATCTACTTCTTACATGAGAGGGCTTACCGCGTCGGCATTTACACCTTGCTTCTGCTCGGCGGTAAGAACCTTGTTCCCCTAGCCAGCGCAGCGGTCATCGGGAGCCTTGGATGGCGCTGGGTGTTCTGGATTGTCGCCATAATTGTTGGTGCATGCTTGATTCTTCTTTTCTTCTTTGTGCCAGAAACCTTCTGGGATCGCACGCCTCGTCCTAGACGCCATCACCACAAACGCTCACATTTGCCAAGAACAGTGTCTGGTCTGGTCTCCCACGGCTTCCGTGGACGTCGGTCTCATGCGCAGGTGCATGATGAAACTTCCGAGCTCAAGGAAGAGAAGGAAGATGTTCCACAAGTCCCTAAGAAGGCCAAAAATGCGCACGTTGGATTCGTCGACGAGCCGGAGGAGGATCAAGAGAAGGCGTCGCATCTCCGACATGAAGTAGATCTCCCGCCAAATGTGCATCATGTTACTTCGGAAGATAATATCATGACTGAGCCATCGACGCCTGCGATCGAGAAACCGGACGATTTGCTATACCCACCGCACGCCGCCAGCCCTCCTCACATTCATATCCAGGACTCGAGCGATCTGGAAGCAGCTCCGAGGAGCGCAGCCTCACCGGCGCGAAGCGCATCTCTTGAGCCTATAGCCTCTATCAGCTCCACCATCCATTACACAAACCGCCTCCGCGAGAAACCCAAAATACCCTACGTGTCGATGCTTAGAATCTGGAACGGAAGGATCGCACAGGACAACTGGTTCAAGATCGCACTTCGACCCTTTATCCTGTTCGCATACCCTTCTGTTCTATGGTCGACCGTTGTGTACTCCCTATCAGTGGGCTGGCTGATCGTTCTATCCGAGTCTGTGGCGGTGGTTTTCGAAAGCAGTGAACACTACGGCTTTACCGCGCTACAAACCGGTCTGGTCTACATTTCCCCTTTTATTGGCGGGCTACTCGGTACAGCAGTCGCAGGAAAGGTGTCAGATATCGTCGCACGTTTTATGACTCGTCGTAACGGTGGTATCTACGAGCCCGAGTTCCGTCTCGTCATGGCACTCCCCATCGCCCTTTCAACCGTTATCGGTCTGATGGGCTTTGGCTGGAGTGCTCAGCTTATGGATCACTGGATAGTACCAACTATCTTCTTCGGTATGATTTCCTTCGGCTGCTGCCTTGGAAGTACTACTGCGATCACTTTCTGCGTGGACAGTTATCGCCAGTATGCTGGCGAAGCACTGGTCACGTTGAACTTTAGCAAGAGTAAGTTTTCTCTCTGTTTTTCTCTGACAATTTCTAACAAGTTATCCAGACATATTCCACGGCCTTGTCTTCTCGCTTTTCATTGTTGATTGGTTAGATTCTGATGGTTCCCGAACGGTTTACCTCTGTCTCGGCGGCATTCAGATCTTCTTCCTTTCTATGTCGATCCCCATGTATATCTACGGCAAGCGAGCTCGTATGTGGACAGTGCGCAAGCGATTGATGGAGCGGTTTTAGATTGTGTTTGCCTTTTACGGTTACGCTTATGATGACTTTTCTTTCTCGTACGACTAGTAGTACCTAGGCACATAAAGATGTTAGATCTGAATTGAACTTGAATATGACGATGATGATAAACCTTGGAGCTCTGCCAGTCGGCTAAGCAGTTCAGCAGACTTTTCACCTGTCCCGGTGGTCGATACCACATCGCATACCTGCTCTACTTGCAGTAATACCTTGACCCTTTTGAGCTTAATTTGAACATTCAACCTTGGAAGTTGGAAACAAAGACTCGGATTCGCCGAGCGTTCAGGCAGTACCTACTCCCTAGGTAAGAAGCCTTACTAACTGACTACTACCTACCTAGTCCCCGCAAACCAATTTCTTCCAGAACTCTCACCGAAGCTCCAGCTTGAACTAAACCCCGTTGAACCTCCTGTACGTACGTTGCCAAGGTCCGGATGCTCGGATAGTAGAAACGAAATTCTCGGGTTTATCCCAGTGTTCTACTATGGAGTGGGACGATGGTCGGAGTTAAATACGACACCTGCGCGCATTTAGTATCACACTGGACTCCATGCCGATCAAGCACATGGCTTTTTTATGAAATCCCCCCCACTTCCGTTGAGAGCTCTGCACGATACAGTGGATCGGTGGAGGAACATGTGGCGTGGGAGGGAAACTGATCCGCGCACTGGAGCTTTATATGACAGGATTTTCGGAGTTGGTGAACAAATCGGGTAAAGCGCAGATCGATAAAGAATCGGAATCGCGAACCAAATCAGTAACTTGAACTTGAAAGGGAATGCAGCTGCCAATGTTTTCTAAGTTCGAGTTCCTTGGCTCAACGGGTTGTTTCTCCGAGAAGTCGCCGCGGTGGGAACGACTAGGCTTGGGAATTGGAGTCGAAAGACACGCTCCTGGTTTTCGTTTCCTTTTGGGTTAATGGACCGGGTTACACCGGGGCTTATCAGATCCGACTTGGTATGATGGGCCAAACCTGGTGCCACTGAACCTGACCTCGTATGGCGGGTAGTCAGTATGTACGATGTGTGGGAGGCTATTCCTGTTACGTTTTCAATTGGAGAAATTGCATCGAGTGGGCTGTGGTCTGCTCCAAATTAAGAATTTAAGCTTGTCGGAACATGCCCGTTATCTGATCTGGACCCTCTCCACCCCCCCCCCCTTCTCTCGGGCCCGGCATTGCGTCTAACTTTGTGAATGCCCCCGACGGATGTTTTTATTAATTTTTGCTCCTACTTAAGTAGAAACGTAGCCTCCGGATCTGCGCGCTTGAAAAGCGTCTTCTCTTTCCCTCCCCCCCCCCCCCGTTCCGTTATTTAGAGTGCCCTCTCGCTCTCGCTTTGCTTCCACCATGGCGACAACGAAGGAATTGACGCCCAAGTCTGTGGCGGAGGAGGTTCAGCCGGTGATTTCGGACGGAGATCAAAAGGATGAGTCAAATGATGGGAGGACACCTCCGCCACTGGCCGCGAAGCTTTTTGCGGTGGTTTTGATTTCGTGTATCAGCTTTGGGTCGCACTGGAGCTCTGGCGTGACTGGTGCTATGAAGAGCACAATTAAAAAGGTACAATATCACCGCGACTGCTTTGCCGAGAGATCGAAGAAGTGTGTGAACTAATTGGGCCGCTTGGGTATAGGACATGCACATTAACAACGTCCAATTTTCGCTTCTCGAAGCGAGTGAGGATTTCATGGCCACGCTTCTTCTATTGCCCAGTGGTATTATTACCGATCGCGTTGGCGGAGCTGGTGAGTCGAAGCTGAATCCATTTTTTGTTTTACTCGAAGTCGGAGAAACAAACTTGCAGTATCGAGGTGGCTGACGGGTATTCTCAGAGATGATCGTTTACGGAAATATCGTGTACACGCTTGGCTCGATTCTGGTTGCTGCTGCGACGACCGTCCGCTCGTTCAACTTCATGATTGGTGGTAGAGTCATTCTCGCCCTCGGTGATATCGCGACCCAGATTGCGCAGTACAAAATGTTTTCATCGTGGTTTGCGCCGAGTAATGGATTTGCGTCCACGCTTGGATTTGAATTGGCAATTGGAAAGGTACTGATGATCCCGAGAAAAGAAAATATGTATTGATTGGATGTTAATTCGATATAGATTGGAGGGTTCGTCGGAAAGTCAACTGCGAACATTATTGCAAAGGTGAGTACCAGTCGTATATAAGTTATTGACCTTGACGCTGACAAAGGTAGAACACTGGAAACTTTGCTTGGGTCTTCTGGACGGCTGTGTTCATGAATCTCTTCACCAATGCCGCCTCGGCTGTCTTCTGGTTTTTCAATAAATACTGCAACAAACACTACAGAGGCCGACGAGACAATGCGACCGATGAGGTATTGACAGAAAAGAACAAGAAATTTGAATTCCAGAAAGTGTTCCAGCTACCGTGGATGTTCTGGGCTGTTTTGGGATTCTCGTTGTTCCAGACGAGCGCTGCTTTAACATTTAGCCAGAACGCAACAGAGCTGGCGGAACAGCGATTTGCGGTCGATTCAATCAAGGCTGGCTGGTACAGCTCTTTATCTCAATATGCCGGTAAGCGAGAGGAGATGATGTGTGGAAGCATGGTCTCCAATTAACGCCGTCCCCAACAGGATTCTTCCTTGTGCCGTGCTTGGGTGTATTTATCGATATTCTCGGTCATCGGGCATCTGTCTGTAAGTGAAAATTGCTCTTGCGATGCAGTAGTTAGTCATGCGATGTTAACTAGGTGTTAGTATTCACGTGTGGTTTGGGCATGCTGCTTAGCATGGCTCTGCTCAACTTTGCCACCTCTACAGCAGGCACTGGAGCGTCATTCGGCATCTATGCCATCGCACTGTCCCTTGGCCCAACCTCCGTTATCGATAGTATCCGCACCACACTCTGGCATCAGTCTGTCTTCGGTTCGGCTTATTCTTTGAAGGTGACGATGAACAATGCGTAAGTATCTATACCCTTCAACAGCTATTTTATCCCCACTGACACATGATAGCATGGGTATTATCGTCCGGATTATCACCGGAGCCCTGCAAGATGCCGATGACAATTCGTATCGACGTGTCGTCCAGGTGTATCTGTTTCTCGTGGCGGCATCGTTGGTCGTGGGCAGTGCAATCCTAATCGGGTCCTATACATCGGACTATCTCGCCCCGTTGCAGTGGACTCGGAAGAAGCGGTTGAGTTCTGGTGCGGAGATTATTGCAGCAAATAAAGAGCGCAGCCTGGTGACCAATGCTCAACGCACCCGATACATCTCGGTTGGTTGCTTCAGCGCATTGCTGCTCTTGACGGTGGGAGGATGGGTGGCGTACATTTGGGGCGCAGTGACAGGGAATAATTCGTAAGGACTGAATGATAGGATGACTGATATGATGACCGAGTTTGTGTGGTCATCGGCCTGGCGCTGCTGTGTGATATGTGTTCATAACTACATATCAGCCGTCAGATATTGATATTGAACGGATTTCCCAAACTCATGATCTGAAGAGTCATGCCATCCACCACTCATATAGGATGTGACACAGACCATGCGGAGGACATACTGATCCTCGAGCTTTTCATGCTGGGTCACGATGGGTTATTTTTGGGATGGCTGAGCTGGTGACCAGTGGAGGTGCAGGCCGAGGTACAGAGTACAAGTGGGATACTGGGTTTGAATAGGTATCACCTCCTGATTTTAGGTCCATCCCTTGTACCGGTACGTTTGCGATAGACAACATACCCCATACCCTAGGGTAGCGGAGCATCCTCGATCCTCGTCTCGTTTGGGTAATCAAGTCGCCACCGCCACCACATGACGCCAACGAGCGCCACAAGCGCCAATGCCCGATTGTATAGTTCAGAAGCCCACAACGCGGCAGCCCAAATGTATGGGAAAAGCGCCAGTGACGCGTTGGCTGGAAAATGAGCAAAAGTTGCACCGCATAATACCGACTGATGTCGGTGGCGGAAAGAAGGAGTTGAAGGACTGATGGAAACGACGCCTTCAAGCCACCCAAACACGGAAGGATTATAACTGGTCCAACTGGAGATGAAATCCACCCGTCAGGGATTTGGACAAGGGATTGACCAGTGAGGGGATTGTGGGAGGTGGGTTAGTGGTGGATTGGCGGTGGATTGGAGGCGCAAAGATGTGCCTGATCGCCCACTGAGAACATCCCGTGATTGGGCCTGAGGCCAATTTGCACCTTCCACCACACATCCACCTCCACTTCTCCTCCGCTGCTCTCTCCCCTTCCGCATGTCCCGCATGTTTGGCTTCATGGATCGTCCACTCTTACTCAATGGCTGTCTGCCTTATCCCTTTCCAAACTTTGACCCCCGGCTGAGCAAGCGGTGGGGAATCTGAGGGCACGCACCAGATCGAGACAATGCCAATCATCAATCAGATCGCTTGGACTTTTTCTCCCTCGCTGCCCACACCCTTCCAGTGGTACACGAAGTACACACATCGTACCGTCCACCATGGTCAGTTTGGTCCCCACCTGACAGTTGAAGCCCGTTCATTTGATCTTCAGTCCTCTTCTCTCACCCTTGGATCCGCTTCTCTTGCCTTTCTCTTCCCAATTCTCTTGAGACTGAGTGGGGGTGATCGTGTACAACCATCCACTTTTTTCACCACACACACACACACACACACTTCAACGGCATTTTGTTGCCTCCACCGCTCGATGACTGATCGACGTGTATCATTCAGATCCCCTGGAGACCTCTTCCCTCACGCATCTCTCGTCCCCGGCGCCTGAGCCTTCACCACCCATTGAAGCAGACGACTATCGACGACTATCGACGACTACCAACTATACCTTTGAGCTCGAAGTGACGCTTGCGCGGCCACTGGCCCCTTTGGATACTGGGCCTTGGGCTTTGGGCATGCAGGAAGACCGTGCTCTGCTACTTGTCGATCCTGCAGCAGAGTAATGGAAGAAACAACGACATGTCAAGCCGCCCAACATGGCGCTGATCGCAGAACGAGGGAACTATATCGCTATTATCAGCCCGGTGGCCCAACACACTCTCTCCCCGCTTGGCTCTCCGCCACAGGAGAGAGTCGATCAGCTGGATCGACGGGCAGTTCAAGCACCCCTGTGCGTGATAGTTCGGTAGCAGGTTCCAATAGTAGTGCGACCTCAACTCCCTCCACTGCAATCGGACCGGAGGCGTTGGTCCTTGGATTATCCAATAACACCTTGACTTCGTTTGCACAGCTTGCGGCACTACGCCTGAATGTGGAACGAGCTTTCATATGTGTTCTCGACCGAGATATGCAATACATACTTTCTGAGGCCACGAAATCAGTTAGTCTGAATGACCACTCGGTCCACAACGATAAAGATGCGATTTGGTCTGGAAACACGAACGGCGAGAAGCCATGGAGCCTGTGTAAAGTAAGTATATAACCCGCATATCAGCTTGATCATGGAGTCCCTGCTATGTGTGTTTGTAGAGCTATATTGAGGGATCTTCAATGCTGGTGCTGACCATCTTCTCTATATAACAGGACACTGTTGCCCTTCCATCTTCCGATCGCGAAACTGCCGACTATTCGTACCTCGTTGTCAATGACCTATCCAGGAATGAACGTTACAGCAACCTTCCTTTTGTTCAAAACGATCCTCATTTTCGATTCTACGCTGGAACGCCCCTGACCACTCACAATGGTATAAATCTAGGATGTTTTTTTATATTGGACAAGGAACCTCGTGATGGATTGGATGCATTGGAAAAAGACACACTCGGGTCAGTGGCCATGCTTGTTATGGATTATCTGAAAGTCTGCCGACAGGCTTCAGAGGGTCGTCGAGCTGCACGCCTCTCTCGCGGACTGAGCTATTTCGTCGAGGGAAGCTCCAGCTTTGTGGAAAGTGCCGATCCCTCGCGGGCCGACAGCTGTCCATCTCAATCTGTGACCCCATCAATGAACAATCATCTCAGCACTTTTGGCGATTCGCGAGGGAGCAGCCATGATAACTCCGTCCAATTCGATCAAACTTCCCAGAACGAGAGAGCATCTCAAGCATCAGGCCAATCAAACAGCCCGCCCAACGATCGGAGCAGCCACGGAAACTCCGTCCAATTCGACCAATCATCTCAGAACGAGAGAGTATCTCGAGCATCGGACCAATCAAATAGCCCGCCTAACGATCGATCTCCGAGCAATGATGCGCAATCTGTTAGCTCTGGAGGCTCTAAATTAGACACCGGTACCTCCGGTGGGCGAGCTCTCTGCCAGAGTGGATCACCAGCAGCAGCAGAAACCGACTTCCTCCCGACGACTCGCATGGCAATTCCTGGGTTTTTCGCCGGGCCGCGAATTTGCTTCGTGAAAGCTTGGATTTGAGACAAAACGGCGGGGTCATTTTCCTTGAATCTCAAGGCACTCCTTTCTCCAGTCGAGATAGCGGGAGTGAGGACTCGATGAGTGATTCTACTGGTTCTGCAACTGTCTTATCCATGTCGACAGAGGACGAGCCATTTGCGCCTCGGGCGGGCGCAATCAGTGATTCCCCGGCGGCCTCCCTCGATCGGTCATTTTTGCAATTGCTCCTTCGACGATATCCCAAAGGAAAGATCTGGTCCTTCCATCGAGATGGCCTCATTTCCACATCTGACGATGATGACGACTTGAATTCGCGTGGCTCGACCTCCACTCCTTCCAATAGGTCGCCCCCAGGAGTTCCTCCAATTGACGTGACAAAGCCCTTTGGTAAGGGGAAAAGGCGAAAGGCTGCAGAAAACACCATGTTGAATCAGTATTTCCCTGAAGCAACGCAAATTATGTTCGTTCCGCTATGGAATGCTGTGAACTCGCAATGGTTTGCCGGGTGCTTTTGCTGGATTAATGTTGAGACACAAGTTTTCAGCTCTGCCGTCGAACTGAGCTCTGTTCTGGGCTTTGGATCTTCTGTCATGGCTGAGTATAGTCGAGTGGAATCGCTCATCGCAGATCGACAAAAGGGTGATTTTATCGGCAGCATATCACACGAGCTCCGCAGTCCTCTTCACGGAATCTTAGCTGCAGCTGAATTCTTGAACGGCACGAGCTTGACCGAATTCCAAGACTCGCTTCTTGGGACAGTAAATGCCTGCGGTCGGACTCTTCTTGACACGATGAATCAAGTCCTAGACTTCAGCAAGGTTGTTTCTCTGGAGCGAACATGGCGATCACTAAAGCGCAGGAAAGAGTCACCACTCGACTTTAGAGGCATAGACAATCTAGGCTCACATCTTGACTCTTACGTGGTGACGGACCTCGCGCTCCTAGCCGAAGAAGTTGTTGAAGGAATATGCCTGGGCCTGGTCTATGGAAATAAATCTGGGGCTTTTGCCGACCTGTCGGTTTTTTCGTCCGGCAATGTCGCCAAGGTCCAATCAGGTCGATCTCAAGTGGATGTGATCATTGATGTGGCGCCAGGCGATTGGGTTTATCGCACACAACCAGGCGCATTACGGCGCATTATCATGAACATATTTGGAAACGCAATGAAATATACGGACTCGGGGCGAGTAACCTTGAGCCTCGAAGCTTCTAGTCGTTCAGAAGGCCGTTCTCGTCGGCAGGGCTTAGAGGATCTAGTTACACTGACCGTAACAGATACTGGTCGCGGTATTTCGGAAGAGTTTCTTCGCGGAAAGCTATACACCCCATTCGCCCAGGAAGATTCGCTCGCTGTGGGAACCGGCTTAGGATTGTCAATCGTCAAGAGTCTGGTGAAAGCCCTCAATGGCCACATTCGCGTGCGTTCTCGCCCCGGCGAGGGCACGGTAGTGCGTGTTTCTCTTCCTCTTGCGCGAGCAGTCGGCGAGGAAAGTCCCCCTGTCGACCAGAGCTCCCATAACCCACAGCAAATAGAAACACTGACGGAAACCCTTCTTCTTCGTGAAGGGTTTCCTGGTAAACGTGCTGCTATTTGGGGTGTGGACCCGGAGCGTCTCGCCGAGGACCAGACCTGGGCCGAGATAGCGAAATATCTCACCGAGTGGTTTGGGGTGGAGCTCGTTGCTTGGCCATCACCGCTACCCTTGGATATGTTGGTCATAGAGGAATCAGTGTTGCCCGAACTGCGCAAAACGCCACTCACTGCAACATTACCATCATTGCTCATCCTTTGCCACCAACCAGTAGATTATGCTCTGGCGCAGACTGAATGGCTCGCGCTTGCAACCTCGGTGGATATTATTCGACGCCCCTGCGGGCCTCATAAACTGGCTCGCAGCGTTCTGAAATGCTTCCGGAATTCTCGCTCCACAGTGGTGACGCCCGCGAGTGTCCTTAGCAATCCAATGGATTCTATCGACTTTGTCTACCGGTCACCCCCGATCACCTCCGCGATCAATTCTACTTTCATGTCGCCGGTTTCTGTTTCAAGCTCTGCTGCTTTTGATGAACTTTCATTAGCAGTCGCCGCCGGGTCGAGTCTCAAGTCTATAGGCGAATCTCCCACCGATATTCCGTCAGTGGTACCCGAATTATCAGAGGTCATCGCAGCGTCTGCTCCCCCAGCGCCATTGGTAGAGGACACCATTTCCTCTTCACGACTAGCACGCGTCCTCGTCGTCGACGATAACCGAATCAACCTCAACCTGATGATGACTTTTATGAAGAAGCGGAATCTCACCGATCTTGCGTCCGCGGAGAATGGCAAGCTCGCCGTCGAGGCGGTCGAGCGAATGGAAATGGGCTTCGATATCATTTTCATGGATATATCAATGCCTGTGATGAACGGATTTGAAGCAACACGCGCCATCCGGGCCAGGGAGAAAGAAAATGAAAACCGCAGGCCGGCTGTCATTATCGCTCTGACTGGGCTCAGCAGTTCACGGGATGAATCTGAAGCCCTCTCCTCCGGTGTGGATATGTTTCTTACCAAACCAGTTTCCTTCCGAGAAGTATCGCGTCTTTTGGCAGAGTGGGAGGCGAATGGACTGGAGAAGGAACGAAATATTGCCTGCAAATTTGATTGACTTCGATCACTATGTATTCCTTCATGTTTCTTCTGCAGTTTGGGTATTGATTGCCCTTTTCTCTGTGTTCCATCTTGGTCTTTCGAATCTCCCTCCCACCCCAAACTTCCAGGCCCAGCAATATGCGCTCAACCCTCAGTCATTGTCGCGCCTTGGCTTATTTACCCTAAAGATTATAATGCAAGTTTCGTCATTGACTACCAAGTGACTTTTATTGATCATGTTGTGAAACATTCTCGTGAAGCCACCCAAGACAATGAACGTAGTGCTCACAGGTACTCTGTTCTATACAAAATCACTTGCTTTCATCTATGTCCCCCTCTTTTATTCTTCTTTTCTTTTTCTTTCACCCTTTTGTGGATGCATTTTCATGGTGCGTTGAATCTGGTTTGGCTGGATATACGGGAAGCTAGGACCAAAGTTTCCCAATATTATTTTATTATTTTACTATTTCGTGTCTTCTTTTCTTCCATTTTTTATTCCAATTTCTTTTCTATCTCTACATTGGGTAGAGGCTGGGTCGAGTGTCCTCGGGAAGTTTACCTGCTTGCAGTCTTATTAGTTCATCCTTTGCGGATTAACCTCACACACGAATCATAGTTACTTGGCACTGCTAGTTACCTGCGTTGGTTGAACTATCTACCAAAATACTACTTCAAGTGATAGTGAAAGATCAATATTGACCTGGCGTGACAGGTAGACATTTACGAACGCAGTTAGTGAAGCCTGGTTGAAGTAGCAATGGATTGACTATAAGGAGGGAGTGTTCTTTACGCCAAGCTATCAGACCGCGTGCTTGGTAGAGATTAGCCCAAACACCCGATGATCGAATGTAGTATATGTTTCCATCGGCTTATGCCTCCTGTGATATTCATTGGGTACCATGAATCTACCTTCTAAACAGACCACGACAACATTGTCCGTTTCTGTAGTTAGCCCCACCCCAGGCTACGGCCGTGGGCACCGGTGGCGGGGGGGGCTTCGTCTTTAGCGTGCGGGGTTAACGCGAGTTAAACCCTCTGAACTGCAGCCCAGCCCACTTTGCTAAAAGTCCCTGCGGCACTTTAGCGGATTTCAAGTATTCAATCCCACAACCGCGCGCTTTTATCAAAACATCTCCTTTCATTGACATTGATCCTCGCCTCCTACTCCAATTGCAATCATGGCCATCACCCAAACACCGAAGGTTAAGTCCTTTGAGACGAGACTGTTCATCAACGGCAAGGTCAGTTTGAATAAACCAGGAATGAATACTGGGGCTAAAGAATTGTTAGTTTGTGGAAGCCTCTGATGGTGGTAAATTCGAGCTGAAATCACCCGCCACAGGCGAAAAGTTCGTCGAAGGTATTGTCTTCATGCACCAAAGATATGCCAAGCAGGTACTAACACAATTGGAAAAGTCTCCGAGGCAACAGAGGATGATACAAACGCCGCTGTTGCTGCTGCTAAAGCTGCATTTCCATCGTGGTCCGAGCTCGCTCCCTCAGCTCGAGGGGCTTACTTCAAGAAGCTTGCCCAGTTGATTCGTGAATGCCACGATGAGCTTGCTGAGCTGGAGGCTTTGTCAATGGGGCGCCCTGTCTCTGCGTACTTCGAGTCCTTCGTCGTGGCAGAGTCTTTGGAACACTATGCCGAGGCAGGCTATGACGCTTTGGGAACGACCAGTTTGAACACGCCTGGCTTTGTGAATATCACTATGCGACAGCCGTATGGTGTGGTCGGTGCTATCATTCCTTGGAATGTGCCGGTTTTGTTCTTGGTTTGCCTCTCTTCTCAACTTCGCGAGGGTCTCTAACATGATTTAGATTGGTAAAAGTGCACCGGCACTGATCGCAGGAAATACTGTTGTGGTGAAAAGCAGCGAAAAGGCACCACTGACCGTGAGTTGAATCCTCAATTTTATTCCGCTCTCATATCGACGAGTGTATCGCTGGACAATAATCTTACCACGTCACAGTCCGCCAAAATTGCCACACTGATCGACAAAGCCGGCTTCCCTCCTGGTGTTATCAATATTATTTCAGGACATGGTCACATCTCCGGAAACGTAATGTCGCATCACATGGACATTCGCGTCCTAAGTTTCACCGGCTCAGGCAGAACAGGACGCGTTATCCAAGCCGCAGCAGCCAAGTCCAACCTCAAGAATGTAATTCTCGAGCTCGGGGGAAAATCTCCCGCTATCATCTTCCCCGACGCCAATATCGAAAAAGCAGTCAATCAGACCCGGTACAGCATGCAATTCAACACTGGTCAGGTCTGCATGGCTAATTCCCGCATCTACGTGCACGAATCGATTGCTGAAAAGTTCATTGAGTCGTTCAAGAAGAGCTTCGCTGATATCAAGAGCGGCGACCCCTTACTTCCAACCACGCAGCAGGGCCCACAGGCCGACGAGCTGCAATACAAACAGGTCCACGCTTATATCGAGGAGGCTAAAAGGGTTGGCAAATTGGCTATGGGCGGAGAGCCTTCTCAGCACGAGAATGGATTTTTCGTTCCCCCTACGGTATTCCTTGAAACGGCCGAAGACGCGAAGCCGATGAAGGAGGAGATCTTTGGCCCTGTCGTGCATATTAATACGTTCCGCGATGAAGATGAGGTCGTTGCCAAGGCCAATGATACTGAGTATGGTCTGTATGCGGCTGTTTATACCAAGGATGTCAGCCGAGCTCTGCGGATGGCGAAGAAGTTGGATTCGGGCAGTGTTGGAGTCAACTGTACTAGCCCGACCGGGGCAAAGGATATGCCGTTTGGAGGTTATAAGGCTAGTGGAATTGGTCGTGAGGGATGGACTGTTAGCATTAACAACTATCTGGAGACTAAGAGTGTTCTGATTAGTGTGGATGATGAGTGATCTTCCAGCCTTCGCACGGCGAGATTTTCATCGCTTGAAATTTATGCTATTTAGAGTTATGCTTCTCTGAGTAACGAACTCTTGATGTACTTCTTTACTCTTAGTTAGTACCTAGGTAGTAGAAACGTGCAAACTTCTGGATATGGTGCAAAAAGAAAGACTAATGTATAAGTGTGGAAGTTTGGTACTGGTTTACCATGGCACATTATATTTTGAATCTATGACTTTCCATGACACAACCTTGTAGGGACGTCCTAATTTATTTAGCAAACCAAGACCACAAACCTGAAGAGTATCAATACTATCAAAGCCGTTCCAAGAGAGAAGTTAATATAAATGCCACATTAGCGTGAGGAATCGTGAACGATGACGATCCTATAACTAACTAGTATAAGGCCCCGCCGTACTATGTACGACTTGTTTTATTATCTGAGACGACTACTAGCCTCCTTCCCTAGAGTCTTTCAAGGCCAAAATAAGCTTCCGTGTTCGGCTTCTGGAAATTAAACTTTGAATGTCTACGAATGAGTTGAACTAGTACTAGTAGTAATCATGTACCTAGGTAGTAGAAGAGTTTAATTCAGCCACTTGCAAAATTCATACTATTTCGCATATCTACCGACATATCAAACATTCACAGACTTGATAACTGGAATCTCGTATCCCGAGGGATAGAGGTTCGAGTAATCAAAATACAGTTGGTATATGCCCGACACATTCATTGGCAAGAGGCGGAACGAAGAGGTTAGAGTTCCGCTTGCTTCCTCCCACATCAGATAGGTTCCATAGAAGATGAAGTTATTTGTCACTGCATCAGAAGGAGTATCAACGCCATTCTTAGTGAAGCCGACCGGCAAAACCTTATCTGCGACGGGTCTGATGTAGAAAAGGGTTGATGGATCGAGTTTGGAGGCGGAGGGAGTGGCAGTCGTGTTAAGCTCAGTATTTTCCATTAAGACTAGTTATACCAGTAGTAGTCAGCTCCAAATGGTTCTATGAGATGTACTAGCATAGATTACTAGTAAGGTTGGACAAATTAAGAGCATTTTCTTACAGGTAACATCGGTAACAACATTTCCCTCTGCTTCCCACAGCGAAGCATCGCCGGCATACGCGAGCCCTAAAGTAGATATTAGCAGAGATACTTAGCTTCAGACACGATAGACTGACCGTCAGAAAAGAAAATATCAATATAAGATGATGCGACTCCGTATGCAACAAGTTTGAACGAAGTCGAATCGCGCTTCTCGAGCTCATTCCCCGCAGGTGCAGCCGTCGCGCGGGAAAGGAAGGACAAAACCATAGCGAAAATAAAAGGCTTCATGATGGCGGCTGTTAGTATTTTCCTGCCTCTGTGAACTAAAACGACGCACCTGGGGCTTTATGTAGTGTGGAACATAGTTATTGCTCCGCTGGTAACTAGTTAGTCAGAATGGTGTTGTGATGGATGTGGACGGCCCCGCCTGAGAATGACGCGGCCAAAGCCACCTCAAAATTAAGGGTGTTTGTAGAGTCCATAAGCTCCCGGCATGTCCAACTTTGCTCTCTCACTATGCCAGTTAGGTACTAGTTTTCTGCATGCCGATACTTTAAAAGACCTTTTGGGATCTCACTCCTCGGGTGTGGTCCACATTTATTCCCGAAGGATTTCTTTGACAGTTCTATTCGGAAGAACGTCTTACTAGTTGAAACTCTGAAAGAGGCGCACTTAATTTCCCGAGGCGAGGCCAACCAGCTTGCAGGATCGTGGGAGCTTGACGAGAGCGGTGAAATCTCGGTCGATATTTTATGGGTAAGCCCACGAGGTTGTGGGGTGGAATCGTGAATTTAGACTATACAAGCGATTGGCTGACAAGAAAGATACTTGGAGTCTTCTGGTTGATTGCTGCCAGTGAAATAAGCTAATTTATACACCCCAAATACATTTGACTCTATTTCTTTTTGGCTCAAATCTGACTGCCTGATGTCAACCTCGTGTACCCTGGACTTCCAAGGTTGCAGCCCACTACTCAGGAAGTTTGTAGGTACTACGGATGAGAAAAGGTCCTGAGGCCCACGTTGTTTGCACTAGGGCCGTTGCCAAGGAGATAGAATTTAAAGCGCCCATGTTCCTGCCACTTATTTAATCCCTCGGGCAAGTTACCTGAAACTATTGTCTATACTAACCAGGGTTTCTTGCACTATTAGTGACTAGCTTACTCGTAAATCAGGACTATGTTGGTATTTGGAGCATGGTACTCTCTCATGGCCGTTTGGAATGTGTCACAATTAGTTATCTTCTGTCGCTATCGTGTTTTGTTAATGAATACTTCTCAAGGTCAAAGAAGCGCCTTGGCATTCTAGGTGGCAGATTCTTATACAAGGCTTGATAATTTGTCACTAGTTTCAGGTTTGTATGATTCACGAGACAATATTCAAAATGCTATCTTTAACGCCGGAAATATTTAAGTTCAATTTATAGGTGGCAATGCTCGAAAGTATCGGGGACGTCCGATGTTGCGAAACAGGGATACACAAGCAGAAGCGAGTTCCAAGGTTCAAGAATCGAACAGTGAACTCTTTTCTCTGGCCCGGCCCGCTTGTGTGTGGGGCTTATTCGTCGTGACAACTTTGGAAGGTAAAACTTGAATGGGGGCTGAAAACAAAAGTCGCTAACATACCTAGACCTTCCTCCCCCTTTTATTTACCAATGCATTCTCCAGGGCTCTTGAACTTTAAATCCGATAACCAATATTTGAAATGACCTCGTTTCAATCGACTAGTAGCTTTGAACGGCTACCGCCAGAGTTGCTGGAATTCACCTTGATACAACTAAATCTTAGGACGCTCCTTACATCTGCCACACGAGTTTGCCACGCTTGGGCTGCCTTCATTCGAGACTCCACTGCGCTACAACAGGCACTATTCTTTGTGCCAAATACCAGGATCCACAGTGATAACAAGACTTAAGATTCGCTTGTGGTAGACGCTTTCCCGTCACTTTTTCACAAATCTGAGAAAGCTGAGGATGACTTCGAATTCACAATGGAATTTTGGGACCTGGCCAAACATCCCGAAAGGAGATATGCGTATCTGCGGCCTGAGGCAAGTTGACGTCGTATGCTAGTGCAGCAGCCACCGATACTCGGGATCTGGATCGAAAGTTTTACCACTATCCTTCATGCCAAATATTATGAGGTCCCGGTAAGTGGATAGTCTTGAAATTTAACGTGCGTGAGCGATGTTAACAATTACTCGCTTACTATGGCAATTTAACAGACCGAATAACGGTCTCTGTATGGAGACCATTTTTGAGGAATTATTGTTCAATAAAGAGCTCCCCATTGAAGGCCTGGAAGTCATTTGGCGGGGGCACTTCTCGCCTAGGGTTCGCCGGAAGATTGAGATGCTTGAGAAATTACGCCATCGCCCTCTTGATGTTGGCGTTGTACTTCAAGGAGGAACGTCCTCTGAAGACTACATTCGAGACTCAGATGAAATGACGAGGAGAATTTGGAGGGAAATAGAAGCTAGAACTTTAGTGGGATATTACAGGGCAGGTATTGCAGGTGGTCAATAATAAATATAGAAAGCTAGACTGTAGGCCTAAAATTGAGGATAAGGACTGGTGGTCTGAGTGTGAGGGGCATCCTTGGGACTTAGATTCAAGTTCCAAGGTTCAAGAGAGCACATAGAAAGTGTGGTCTCTAACGCCGGATATATTCGAGTTCGATTTATAAACTTGAATGCTCAAAGTTATCATGGATGGAAGAGAATTCGATGTTCCGAAACATGACCAATGAAGTTGGGACACTAAGAAGGAACGGGTTCAAGAGTCCAGCTCCCACAACCTCACATTGTTTTGACATGCTTCTTTCGAATTCTTCAACTTCTTCATTCTTCCAACGCCCCTTATCTTTGAAGTTACCACAACCACTATTCCGTCCTCAATACGAACCTTGAAGGTAAAAGAACCGAGGAGGTTTGAAACAGAAACTGATGCAGATCTCAAACAGAGAAAGACATCCCCGAGAACAGGGAGAAAACTAAACTGCCGGAAGAGTTTCTAAAACCATCACTACCGTACCAGCCCGGCTGACGATTCATTGCGCAGGCCCATCTTCCACCTGAACCGCAACTATCAACCTGCGAATGGTATTATAAAGACCAATTCTTTCAGTTTGATCCGCTTGAGCAATTTCAACGACATCCTCCGCTTCCAGGATTGATGGAAGACTTTACACTCGACTTGGAAATTGAGAAAACAATAAGAACTGGGGATAGACTCCGAGCACAGGTGTTCATGGTTACTCTATGTGGTTCCTCTGGCAAATCAATATGCTCTCTTCCAATACCAACAACTGGTCTGGTAGCAAAAGTGTTCGATCCACTTTATTGGGATGAGAATGGCGGATCCTCTGATCCTTTTTGCTGCATGGATAGACTCTACACTCACGAGAGTCATGCTTATGAGGCCGTGAAGGGTCTCCAAGGCCTAGAGATTCCGCGCTATTATGGCTCATACTCCATAAGTCTTCCTATATCGCCGGGTTCTCAACAAAACCGTGAGGTTCGAATGATTTTGATTGAGTTCATCAATGGACCCTCTATGGGGGATATCTGGGGTACGCTTGTTATCACGAGTCAGGTAAAGAGAAGGAGGTTTCGCAGCAAGCCCGGCGGAGGATGATGCGTATGATCATTGACCTCGAAACCCGAATCTTTGAACAAAATGTAAAGTTGGAAGATCTCGCTCCGCGGAACGTGATGCTCGTGGGGCCAGTTGAGCAGGCGGGTGTGGTGTTTGTGGATTTTGGAGATGTTTTACTGAAGCTCTGTCGAGCCAATTCCGTGACCGAAGTAGAAAGCAGATACCTGGGTCAGTACGTATCGCCACTCCTGCGCTGGGTACATTCTCCACCTTCCGAGTTCTTCAGAATGGTGGGATGGGATTGGCAGTCATGGGTCGAGCGCGAGTTTGCCAATACTGAAAGTACGATCACGCCGGAGATGCGAAAGGATTGGGATAACGAGGGAATCGAAATGGAATAAATCTTGTCAATTGAAATTTGAAATCGCATGGGAAAATACAACGATCTCGTAAATAAACGCAGACCCGTGGACTGTGTCTACTCCACGAGCATCAAATGTTAAAGTTGGGCGTAGGTTCCCAAGTGCTGAAGGAAGAATCCCGGTGGTACTTTCATGGAACCCAATCCTCAGTCTTCAATGCCAATAAAACGTCATTTGTTAGAAAAAATACCATGCTATCAATATTACCAATCGTCAAACAACATTTTGGAATCAGATTTACAGAGAGGCCCTTTGCGATGCCATAGGAAGTGCATATTTTGGGTGCTCCGAGTCTCAAGACTACAAGATGAGCTTTACGCTGAATTAGTTCTATCATCAATGAGTATAATTACTTAAATAGTTTTTATGAACATATCGAAATTTAAGTTTGCATGCACGCTAAACTTTCGAATCTACTGCATCAGGTGTCATGGGCCGATTGAACAAAAAAGCCACATTAACCATCGCTTTCGCAATGGCACAAAGCAAAATAGGAAACGACGAGCTAACCTCCCGCTGCGCAAAAGCACCAACAAAACAACCCAACGTCAACATGACAAGAAACATGACTCTGCGATTCCGCAGCCGATTCTTGATCTTCGCCAAACTCGGATCAATAACTACATCGATAAAGGCCGCCGTCGCCATTGCGGTCGTAATTTCCGTGATCTTTAACGAACGGGCCATGGCAACCTGTGCACCGGATGAAAAGGCAAGACATCCAATAACTCCCAAGGCGGCGGGTCCATCCCGTTGAATAGGCCAGGAATATTGGATCATCAAAGCGCAGAATACCAGCGCTGTTTGGATGAAGTTGCTAATTAAAAGCCACAGGCGCCGTCGCACACCGATGTAGTTTCCCAGTTGGCCCATTATAAAGCCTCCCGCAATAAAGAGGCTCAGGCTCACCCCGATATTCGCAAAGCTGAAGGCATCGTGAGCGAGGCCGGCTACTCCGATAGCAAGGAATAGGGTATTTCCTGTTTGATTGGAGGCGAAACACATATAATCCGGCCAGGCTGCGGCGTCCTGAATGCCAGTTGCAAATGAGAGAAGCAGAAGCTCGCTTTCGAGGAGGATATCTTCGGCAATGTCTTCGTCGAGGAATTCTCTGACGGTGGGTTTGCGGTCTTTCTCGGAATCAGACATTGAGAGTGCCATTATGGATAGTACTAGTCTTTATTCTTGTGGTTGTTAGCAAGTGGCTTATACTTTCGAAACTTGAAAACTTACTTCTTTATGTAGATATGTACTATATTCTATGTGGTGATGTTGTGAATTATGTGCAGTTGAATCGTTGATAAAATAGGTATTCTGAAGTATGGTTAAACCATACAACAGACTCTTGAATTTTGTATATTAAACACTATTGCATCCATGAAAAACTTAGATCATCCTTTATATAGTAATGTAATCGATCAGCGTTGAGAAGGGTCATCTACGGTGTATATCGATCGACATTCCAAGCTGACGTATCTGGCTTGGAGTCGAAGGGGATGTGGAATTTAGCGGCCGCGAAAGAGCTCAGATCGACCACGTTGGTGGAGACAGCCAAGATCTAGGGCATGCGGCGGACTCTTGACCCTGCTTTTTGGTGCCTTCTCTGTTCTTTGACTAGCTACTACTTTGAGACCCATATGGTAGATGACGCGTGCCTGAAAGAATCTGTGACGATCTTTCATCTTGCAGGACGACAGATATGATCTGCCAAGAGAAATTATACAGTTATTCTCGTCTCTTATTAGCTAGGAATTATATTAGGCTTTGATTGGAATTATGCATACGTTTCGTTCTTGTGAGCATCAAAAAGAATCCGTCTTTCGTCGACGGGACAAATTCCTCGTAAGTGGCGGGTAATAAATTTTTCCAAACCTGAAAAACAGATATTATCTAGATACCAGGGCTATCTTTTGATTCTATCCGTCCATTTTCGAAAGCCAAAAGGACGAACTTTACCGATTATTATGCCCATTAGGTGGTGGATCTATGGAGTTCCAGATGAACTTTGGCACCATGAGTCGATGATTAGATGTTTTGATTATGGAATAGAGACTCGCCCCAGGCCGTAAATATTGACAAGATAGGTCAAATATTGCAATCACACAGAAATGAAAAGAAAAACCTAGACAGATTTCTCAAAACTAGGGTTGTGTCAAGGGCGCTAAATTTAGGATGAGTTAGCTTGTGTGATAGTATGATTGGCTCTTCACTAGCCGCCAGCCCTACCAACAAGGATGCCCTAGAGTAGGCGCTAGGCATGGGTTTTACTCTGATAGATAATTGATTAGTTTGTGTGGGCCCATTATATACTGTAAATAAGCCCGTTTGGGGAGTAAATTTGCTGCCTGATCGTTTGGTGATCCAAGATTAATTTCCCAGTCGTGGACGACTGTAAAAGACCGCCGATGCCTTTAGCGCGGACACTATCGAATACCCTCTTCAGAAACATTAGTGTCAGGTTCTGTTGGGCGGTTTTCCCTTCGCCCCCGCTTGCTCGCATTAAATGAAAGGGTCATTGCAGAGCTAATGCAAGCCGGCTCGCGTCAGTCCCTCGAACCCATATGAGGCTCTGAGACAAGAATCGGCCTTCCCCCGCAGGTCCCAGAGTCTTTTCTTTCTTTCTTTCCCTATCCATGACTTAGGATCTGACACAGATTCTTTGGGATCAGCCTTCTCCAATTCGATGCTTCGAACAGGGTTCGGATTCCGAACCTTATACCTTTTGCCCTCCATCATTATCTTATTATACCTCGCATCGACGAGCTCAGCGACATGTTACTTCCCCAATGGCCAAATCAGAAGCGATTATATACAATGCCCAGGTGCTCTATCTTGCTGCTTAAAAGGCGAATCATGTTTATCCAACGGTCTCTGTTTCGGAGCGAACCTTGGGGTTGTTTATCGGGGGCTATGCGCCGATGAATCGTGGCCGATTGCCCTGTGTCCACGAGCTTGCTATGAGGGTAAACTTCCCCGGTATTCTCCAGCGTGGAAATTACTACAAAAGCTAATCCATCACCTTCTGCTCAACTAGAAATTGATGACGGATGGGCGAACCTCTTTCAGTGCAACACTTCTAATACCCTGTGGACATGTAGCCGTGAAAATTCGAACCAAGTCGCCTGCCAACAGAAAAACGCACTGGGAACATTCCACTATACATCCGCCAATATGACCGTCGCGCAGAATGGCATCCAAGTTTTCGAAAACTCGACGAGCAATGCGACATCGTGCGATTCAGCAAATCGGACACCCAGTCCCACACTGGTTAACTCGGCTGCCAGCAATACTTGTCCTTCCACAGTTTCATATAACAAGACCCAGCTGGTGGCCATTGGTGCGGGTTTAGGTGCTGGTCTTGGAATACCTTTGTTATCAGTGGGCGGGTTGTTATTATATTGCAGTCAAGGGAAGCGCCGACAGAGGGGGAAGCTACAACAGCAGCAGCAGCAGCAGCCACAGTATGATTATCAATATCAGGGGCAAACTTTGATGAAGCAAAATTCGAGTCGGGACCAGAATCGCCAGAGCGGAAGCAATTGGAAGCCCTCTGAGCTACGTGGCTCATTTGCCGGCAATGAGCTCGCGGGATCAACGCATGGCCGGTCGGAACTACCAGGTTCCTTTAATATGATTTAAACTTAATGGAGCTTATGGTTATATTCAAAGTTTAATGAAGAGCCCATATAATGAATGCCACAGTTTGGTCACATTCGATAGCCGACTTCAAGTTTTCTCGATGTTAACGAAGCCTCGGTGCGCATTCCCTTCGCCTACGCAGTGTTGTTCTAAAAAAAAAAATGAATGTAATTGCCTAGTAAGTACTACCAATAATACAGCCTTGTTCCGAGCCGTTGGGACGTAGATTACTAGTACTCTGTACTAGTCAGTGTTATGCGAGTTTGAATTTTAGCTCCTCGGAAACAGGATCCACCATCCGTCTGCCCCAGCAGAACCAGAACCAGACTTTTCGTTCGCCCTGCCCTGTCATTACCAGCATTGTACTAGCATAGCTAGTAGAGATACATATTGCTCTATTCAGATACGCCGGTAGAATGAATTCGACCCGGAATCCCTGTTGCGCCCAAATGCGACCGGGCTCGGAGATTTCTTTAGCAGGAGAACCCCCCCTGTCTGGTGCGGAGTTGGCGCAGTCTTAGTACGGTCTGGATGCAAGGAGAGTACTACTAGTACTATAACAAAGTACTTTGTGCAAGGAGCACTTTGTACTTTGTACTTTGTAGGTATGTACGGGGTAAGCGGGCGCACAATCCCATGCATGACAGCAGCCCAAGGGGGTGGTTCCCTCGTGAGTATTTCACCAAAGCCCCGAACAGCAGTACAGAGTACAAGTACTTATGACAGTGCAAGCAGACCAGAATAGCGTGTAAAACCAAAGTACTGTAAGAGTAGAACTGTACTAAGACTGTAAGTTTAAGTGAACCCCTCCCCGTACCCACTGACATCTCCCGCGCCATTTAATTCTTCAGTCAAAGCGTCAGTCATATCATATATGAGCGCCTCCTCGTAACTTGAACTTGATCTTGTATTCCCCCCCCTTTCAAGTTCCCACACACCTCACACTTGTAACCGCCCTCCAACATGTCAGGAGCGAATGCGGATGAAATCACCATCGCCGTCGACCCAGACGTGCACCTCCGTCAAGATGAATATGACCCCCGCGACTGGAACTCCGATACCACCTCAATCGGATCCTCCATCTACCGCGGCATAATGGAGAACGGCCGCCGCTACCAATCCCTCAAGGAAGACGAGTACGCCTTCCCCGCCGACGAGCAACAATTCGACACCTACGACGCCGTCCACCTCGCCGCCATGGTCGGCGACTCCCAAGAAGAAAACCCGCTCTTCCACGCCCCCATCGAACCCAAGAACGTCCTCGACATCGGCACCGGCAAGGGCTCGTGGGCCGTCGATGTCGCAGACATGTTCCCGAGGCCTGGGTTCGTGGCGTGGATCTCTTCCCGCCACCCGTAACCTGGTTACCGCCTAACTGTGTCTTGGAAGTCGACGACGTAACGCAAGACTGGACCTGGAGCCAGAAATTCGACCTCATCCACCTGCGCATCCTAGCCTGCGCATTCACGCCCGAGGAAACAGTGCAGATCATGAAGAAGTGTTATGATAATCTTCAACCGGGCGGATGGATCGAGCAATTTGAAATTCACCCCAATGTTTACTGCGACGATGCGAGTATCGCCGAGGATAATGTTCTATATGATATCGGACCCCGATGCGACGCCGCGGCCAACAAATCCGGCAAGCGTATGGATCTCGTGAAGACGATTCGCGACTCCATTGAAAAGGCCGGCTTCGTCGACGTCCACGAGAAAGCAACCAAGTGGCCTATCGGCCCCTGGCCCCGCGAAAAAGCCAAGAAAGAGCTCGGCTCTATCAACCTTCACCACTGGCTGACTGGTATCGAGGGTTATACCATGTTCCTAATGACTAAGTTCGGTGATCCCGAGCCTTGGACTCAGGAGGAGGTGCGAGTTTACAATGCCCAGATGAGAAAGGCGCTGCTGAACCCGCATCATCACCCGTACCAGCGCACAAGGCGTGTCTGGGCGCGAAAGCCGTTCCCTGAGGAGGTGAAGGCGAGGGATGAGAAGGAGAAGGAGAAGCAAGAGAAATTGAAGGAGGCAGAGGCGGCTGCTGCTGCGGCTGCGGCAGTCCCGGTGAAACAGGAATCGCCAGAGATCAAGAAAGAAAAGGAGTGAAGGAGACGAAATGCCCTTTTGCTTTGAATTTCTTATGCTCACTTTGTTGATTTGATGTTTGAAACGAAACGATATCACCCCCCAGCCTGTCCAGCACATTCTTTCCTTTTCGAATTATTCGTCTCAATACTGAATTCGTACGCAGGTGCGTACTTGTGTTTAGTATCTACAGTACATAGTAACATACCAGAACTACATACCTTATCCATACATGCATACTAAACTATGATGTGAAGTCGATCCTTAATGCACCGTGACCCCCGCGTGGCCCACCACAAAGTGACTAGTAAGCATCCAAGAACTCACATCGCAGACTCCAACAAACTCAGTCCCATCACAGATCAGGCAACTTCTTTCCATGCAAGCCAACCCATTCCATCACCCCAGTCCAGGTCCAAGGCTGATCTTCGAACAATACCATTCATTCCCACCCATCAGCACTCTATTCCGTCTGCCGACACTGAACCGGACAGGGGTGTTGGTTTCCCTTGAGTATCATAGGCCGTGTCTACCCGGCAATGTGACGGGGGTGCATTAGCGGTATTCTTGGCCCCATCCTTCAGAGACGGTACTTCCCGAAACTCCGTGACATGTGCTGCGGGTCTCGCTTTGCATTGCATGGTTAGTGAGGGGTGTCGGATTTGTGGATTCTGTGAGGTTCATCGGACGACATGTTACTGGGTAGTAGTACCGCGGTTTGATATCATTGCTAGTGTGAAGGTCACAGAGGTGCTTTGCCTACGCTTGACTGGGTATTGGTACTAGTACCACGGGGAAGCCAAAAATTAAAAAGACTGAGTTGAATAGAACTGAAATCAATGAAATTGTATTGTCTCCTTTCTATGCAAATGTGTTCCATGCAGATATTATGTTCTTGGATGTAATCGTCCCCGAATCGTTCTGTTTATGTATGTCTGTATGTATGTTGATGCCGCGCAAGAAATGCAAAAGTGTGAAAATAGCAAAGAAAAAAGGGGTTGAAACGAAATGAAGGATTTGAAATGAGGCAGTAAAGAAAGGGGAAAGATCCAACCAGGTGTATTAATTAATTACACAACCTGGCTCCCACGGCGACTCCCCGAATGGGAAGGAGCCCGACTCCCACCAGCCTTAACAGTATGCTGGGAAGAAGCCTGGCTAACACTATCAGCCGGAATAACAGGGATGCCGTACTTCGATTTAGACGAATGCTTCGAGCCGGCCTTCGAGTGCGAGCGATGCGAATGGTGCGAATGGTGCGATCTGGCCGGGCGACTACCAACCTGGCTGATCGAGTCGTCGGGAGTAACATTCGATCGGACATCCAAGTCAATCACGCTCTCCGGCAGCGGGACTTCGCGCGCCGAGGAGTACGATTTGACTTGGCTGGGCGCGGCGCTGTAGTACGTCGCCGAGGAACCGGCAGGGAGCGGAACATTACGCGCAGAGCGTGTCGATGAGGCTGTGCTGCCGGCGGCACTGGGGGCTTTACTGTGGGCTTTGCCGCTCTGGCGGCTGTGGGTGGAATGGGAGGTGTGGTATGCGCGTGAGTGGTGGCCGGAGGTGTAGCTGTTTCTGTCGTCGTGGCTGTGACGCCGGGATGTGCTCTGGGATTGCGATGCCTTGATTGTTGAGGCTGAGTGGATGCTGCCTGGTCCGGCCAGGGAGCGGGAGCGAGGCTTGTCGTCTGCGTAGCTGCTGATGAACGTGCTGGGGCTGCAGGGGAAGCCCTGCGATTTGCCTTGGGGTGAGTACTCGATTGCGCGGAGGGGGATGTCCTCTGGGATGCTGAAAACACTGCCATCTGAAGCGCGGCGCCCATTATTGTCGTAATATTCGGTTGCTTCGTAGATCGTGCTGGCGCGCGGGTTCTTGGAGGCTACGCTGCGGCCCATAGTAGAGCGAGGACCTGAGGCGGAGGTGTAGACGCTGCGTGGAGGGGGTGCTTCGATGGCCCGCCACTGCTGTTGCTCCTCTTCCTGCAGTGCTTGAGATGGTGCCATGAGTTGAGCAAAGTTCTGCACGAATTGCGAAGGTGAAGGGCCAGGCGCCTGGCTGTTGGCCTGGCTGATGGTCTGGCTCTTGGTCTCCGGCTCGGCGGATTGAGAGTCGCCTTTCACCATGGCGTATGCAATTGCAGCACCTGCGGCAGCACCAAGGAGAGTACCCACGATGGTCTTCGCAGCCTTGCCTCCATCGTCTGTTTGCGGGATAGCCTGAGTCTGCATGGTATATGATGGCGGTGGTATAGATCTCGACTGTTGCTGTGGCTGCGACTGCGACTGGTAGGAGACAACCGAAGGAGCACCTCGTTCAATTGCAGTCGGTGCCTTAGTGAGAGCTCGTGACCCGGCCTCAGATGCAGGAGGTGCAATACTTTGCGTCTTCCTGACCGTAGTCGCTTTGCTGACAACCGTGGTGGCTTTGCTGCTCTTGGAGACGACCGATCCGTTTTCCAGCAGGGCTATTGTAGGACCTCCGACTTCTGATGCAACGACCGTGGCACCAGGACGATAAACAGCTTCGATGCTATTTCCGTCGAAATCTATGATGGCGGCACTGTAGTAACCAGATTGTGAATCACGAGTCTTGGGCTCGCCATGCATCTTTCCACCGGCCTTCAAAGCACTAATGAAGAATGTCTTCACGGCATCTTTGGTCGGGGCTGGGAAAGCGACATGTACGGCACTAGTGGAGATCCTATTCAACCTAGGTTAGATAATGAAGTTCTTGGAACACTAGAGAACGGAACTCCATCCAACTTGAAGACTGCATGCATCAAGTGACCTACCCTGGTTTTTGCTCCGTCACCCAGAAGTCGGCGGGTTCGCCCTGCTTCTGGCCGAAGCCGATATAATCGTCATGACGGCCAATAAATTGGTATCCCAGAGGCTGGAGACATGACAGAAAGAAGGATGTCGAGGTAGGGAGGTGCGAGACGGTCAGAGTCAAGTGGGAGAGCGGCATCTCGGGTTGAAGTGGAGGGGGAGTTGGCGTGCCAGCTTGGAGGTTTGCACGCGCTTTGGTGTAGAAAGGATAGGCGAAGGAGCTTGGAGGAAGAAACTCTGGGATAGATAAATCAAGAGTAGATATATGTAGAGAAGAAGAGATAGAAGCAAACAGTCGGTAGCTTATGAATGAATATATACGGTGAAGGGAGTGACCCATGTCTATATAAGTTAGAACTATGACACACCACACCTACAAACCAAGGCGACCTGCCAGGAACCAGTGGAATTGCAGGGAAAAGGCTAGAGTGCAGCAATGGGCCTACCCCCTTTTCCCAATTGTTATGCCCAAGCCCAATGCAATGGTCATCCGCGCAATAGTCGACCGAGAACGAGGCCTGCAGGGAGCCCCTCAATCGGAGTGGACAAGAGTGGGCAAGTGGACCCTCAGCGACGGAGGGGACTGGAGTACAGACTGGAAGTGTATGGAATGAGAGTTAACCACGATCACAAGGAGTTCTGCCCGATCGGGCGATCTGCGCGTCGGGAAGCAGGGTGAAACGCCGCCGGCGCTGTCACGGCGAGGCGAGGACCCATCGAATCATGTTGCTGGCCCGTTTCGGTGAAGGAGCTTTAGCAGTGGTAGAGTTCGGTGATAGTTCCCGTAGGATTTACTAAGGAAAGGGCCAACTCATCGCAGGGACCCCGGGTGGATCAGTGACCGTGGCGGATGGGGCTGCTTGGGATCGTGGATGGAGGGGAGTGGACGTGCGTGAGTGGCTTCTCCGCGCCAGTAGCAAATTGGACAAGGCGACGAGAGAAACTGGAGCAAAACTAGGAACGCTTTGGAGGAGACTGTGGAGCCAGGAGCAGATGCGGTGTCGCGCAGTACTTGGGCAGGTGTGCTGACCGCCACTATGCGCGGCGCTGAATTTGATTGAGATTGTCAAGTTATTGTTCAATAAGTGCTGTATGAGTCATGGCAAGACAAATGGAATGATTGAATCCAAATGTGCTGAGAATAGCAGCGAGGCATTCTGGGCAGAGATGCAGAATTGCTGTGATGTCGGTGTTTGAATGATTCGTCTGGCCCTCCTGCACGCTTCCGATTAGCTGCAGACGGACTTGGTTTTTGACTTAGGTCTTGCAGGTCCAAAGTGAGGCGGCGCCTTGCCACGTCGGGATTCGCAAGTTATTCGAAGCTGCTATAGGCTGATGGAGATGGGTTGATGTTGGGAGAAAGAAAGATCAAGCTACGAGGCGCGAATGGCGGAAAACGACTTTAGGGGAGTCACGGGCCTCTAGGTCTAGACATTTACAGTAGATATCTCTGGAGAGGAGCAATTACACTGCATTCATCATAATAAATGAATATTTATATTTTTTAACACAATATGTGCCTGATCTCAGGATCCAAGGCTGGTTTCCCGATCTTGTATGTTCACTTTTCTTGTCTCGCCACAGTCGAAACGGGCTGCGCAAGAGCTCTGGATCAGGACTGGAGGCGAAAAGGAACCAAATGCCATCCAGTCCGAGTGTCTCTCGGAACGTGGGGAAGATAAAACCATGCCATGGTCAACAACAATTCCCCAATACCATCTTTCCACGGGCCTAGAACCCTCTCCGGAGCAAAAAAAAGGAATGAAGACAGATCACGGTCCGAATTCTCATTCTCGTGAGTATCCGGTATCCCCCCCCTCAAATCAAATCAAATTATCAACCGAAAAAGAAAAAATAAATCGTGACATGAAACAAGGAGGATCCAAAAGAGATATGACAAATAGGAGGAGAGGAGAAAGGGGACTCGGATACTCGACATATGGCGGAGAAGTTCCAGTCAGAGGAACAAATAACGTTTCAGAGTAAGGAAAAAAGGGATACCCCGGAAAAGAGAGACAAGTACAGTCCAAAACTCACAGCTCGTGGGGTCACAACCGTCACAAGGGAATTAATTCATGGCTTGATAGGCGCAGTCGACCGGACTGCGAACGGCGGGCGACAGGCAGCGGCGCATAGTAGTTGCGCGGCGCGCGGATTCATCAAACCAGGAAATCGCTCACAGAATGTCCCACACCTCCTCAGCCGCGTGGCAGAACTTACTGCAGGCGACACTGGCACTCAGACTGTAGTTGCTGATACTGATGGTGTCATCCTTGAAGGTATCGGCAAAGTCATCATGGCCCTTAGCCATGGCACCGACGAAAATCGCGACACTCTCCTTAGGACCCAGCGACTCAATGTAATCCTTGGTGCGGACAACAGGGGCCTCGAAACTCATGGTCACCTTGCGGCAGTTCGGGGGCAGGTGGTCGGTGATGGGGTTCTTGATGACCTTGAGCAGCTTTTCTTGCGAGTTGGTGGAGCGGATGGACAGGCGGTGCAGCAGTTGGACCATCAGACCGGCGAAACGCTTGAAAGTACGAGGAATGCGGACGGAGGGATTGACCTCGATCAAGACACCCTTGGCAGTGTGGATGAAAATTTGAAGGCGACCGGCCTTGTTGACGGGGGAGTCGAGGAGGGTGAGGAGACACTTGAGAAGGTGTTAAAAAAGGGAATTATAGTAGTAAAGAAGAGAAGCTCAGTCCTCTCAGCATACCTGGTGGGTAATATCAGGACGAGCCTCGCTGATATCACGATTCATCTTGCGCATGATACCAATGTGTTCGTCGCTGTTCAGCAGAGAATACTTCTCATCCTTCGACCCAGCACGGCCCGCGGCCCGGTAGGTCTCCAGGCTGGCATTGGAGAGAATGACAATCAGGCGTTGAGTATCCCGATCGTGCGAGGGGATGGGAACAGCCTGCTCCGCAACCAGTTGAGGCAGCTCGGGCGGGGGGCACGATTGAGTACCTAGCGGTTGATCGCCGTTAGCTTCTTGCGCAAGTCCAGGTTCCATAATGGGAAATTGATCGTAGTAGAGAGCAGATTGAAGAAAAGAAAGAATATCTTGGGCAACAATGTCACACCAGAAGATCTGGCTAGATTTGGTGGAAGGGGTGTGGTGTGGTTCGCTTTGTTGGTCATGCGGAGTTCAATTGGAGAATTTTTGGAGCCTTTTTTGGGATCCTTGGGGAGGCAAGACGGGGGGAGGCTAGTTTGGAATAGTTGTAGGGAATGAATCACTCACGCGCGCGCTTTCGCTTTCCTGCGGCTTGTGCGTCGTCGGACATTGTTGATGAATGGGGGGAGGTTGACAAGATCCGAAGAGATTTTTGAGTTGAGTTGAAGTGAGGGTCGGTTCCGCGGGTCGAAGGCGGGACCAATTTGTGATGGCACTACTTACCTTAGGTACTCAGGTGCGGTACTTGACAACAGAACACGGACAACATCCTTTTATGTGATTACTTTTATAACACCTATCAAATACTCTACCCCTCTCTCTCCGGAGCGGAGACTTTCTACTGTGCTCTAGTGCCATCGCCTGCAGCGGCCCGGTTTCGGTGGAGTTATTCTTCACTATGTACTCTGTATCTGCACTGCAACTCAAAGTCCGGCTATCTGTGCTGCACACTACTGCAAAGCATTCGAGAGGAGAACAGCTTCAATATCCGTCTGGTGGGGAGGGTGAGAAGCCATTGCCTTCAACATCAGTCACCACCTTGTACACTACACTGGCTCGAAGAGAGTGATTGATGTTCACCTGGGCATGTGTAACATAACTGCATGGGGTTAACCGAACTGGTGAGTGTCAAGTCAATCAGTAAGATCCATCGTACTCGTCGAATCGACGCTTCCAGAACCGTGAGCTGGGTCATCATCATCCATCATCATCCATCAGTTTCAGAGGTCACAGCCAACGGCTGAGGTGATACAACGGTCAGCCTCGTCCACCCGCCTTACCACTCTGGGAGAAGCTAGCGCTGATAGTTCTTGCTGTGAGAGATGGATCTGCTGGAACGTGCAGCTGGTGCCTGTCAAGCTTGAGGGACGATCCGGGCCCCGCTGTCAAGACCATCACGCCAGTGCCAGCATCAGCAACCAGGCGACCAGGGAGGGATCTGTGTATATGTACTCGGTAGTCCGTACATACTCCGTACATCGAGTATCCATAATCTCTCATTGGTCGAACAGGCCGGCTGTTAATTCGAAACTCGCCACCCAAACCCTCGTAACGCTGAACTTTCGTAGATGCCGTGCAAGCAATGCCCTGCACCCCCGAAATCCAGAAATCCGGGGGCAGCCATGTTGTGCCATTCAGGGCCAAGAGAAAACGAGCAACGAAGTTTGGAACGAGCGACGGATGCCAGAGTAAGCCAATCAATATACCGGATCTTCGATCTTGCTCACGAGCCTGCTCCAATCAGCAAGGCAGGGGCATTGTGCCCCGGTCGAAGCTCCGGTTTCTCCCCGTCGAGAGAAGACATGAGCTCCGGTAGGCGCCGTGCGTCAACTTTGTTGGTGTTGGCGTTGGTATAGTCTTGTAACAGAACAGGACAGGACAGAACCAACATAGCAGTCCATCTGGATGATCAAGTTGAACTGGTGAAACTGGCTGTAGGCAGCAGGAGAGTGAGTAGTGGAGAGCGGTCAACCTGGAACAGGACGGAGTAGCCTATGATGATGATAATGATGGTGATCTCCAACGCCTTGCTCATAGTTTTATGCAACACGCACCATCTTCTTGCTGGGATGCCAGCCAGCCAGGCTTTACACTTTGAGGGCTGGGCTTGGGTGGAGGGAGGGGGGGGAGGGGAGGGGCTCATTAAAGCACACGAGTAAGAATAAGGCGCGCAGGGGCGAAAATCTTTTTAATCTCCCCCGTTGCGACATTGTACACAGCCGTTTGAGTGAGATGTTGGGCTGCGATTGGTCGTGAGGAGTAGTTTGGAGCCTGTCGAAATAGCAACGCCCTGATTGACCAGTTTGACTGGTTCCTGAGGTCAGAAAGGGGCGAAAGGAGGCCCGATGTGCCCGTCCCACCGGGGCATACCAGGCAGACTTGAGAGGAATTCCCAAAATTGCAAGTGAAATAGAGCAAGCCCCCACAAATAGTCGAGGAAGTTGGGAAGGTAGAATCAGGGAGGTGGAAGTTGCTATCCTCATTTAACTACGACCTCCAGGCTGCAACTGCGACCTGCCAATACCAGTGCCAGTGCCAACTATTCCCCACCTAATTTTAGGTATACCTAGGTATTCCATCTACTATCCTGGCACATCCTGGGCATCGTAATTACTCGACCTGGTGGCGATTTCCAACTTGAACCTGGATACTGGATACCCATTAAACCAGCCCCTCCAGTGAATCACCGAGCATTACGGAGTATTCCAACGTTTGCAAATACCCCCGCCTCCTGCAGTCCAAGGCATTTCCCCAGCTTCGCAGCAAGGGATACAAAGCAAGAGCAACAGCAAGAGCAACAGCAACAGCAACAGCAACAGCTATACGATCACCAGTGAGTCCCCCCCAAGCAAATCAAATGAACAATATGACCTAAACCAGTTAGCGCCACGCGTGCGGTGGAACCGGCGATCCGCCTATGTAAAGTGCAAAACCCCCCCCCGTACCGGAAAACAAACAGCTTCATTCCCCTCCCATTTTTGGACCTCCAGGGAGATGCCGTGGACAGTCACCAATTCTTTTAAGCGGTAAGTGATTGATCTTGTTTTACCTTCCCTTATATCTAGCTAACTCTTGGCCTCGCGCCTCCCTCCACCAGAGGCCTGATGAAAACATACGGAAGACCAACATGGCGCGTCTATGACGATGAGCGGGCCGCGAAAAAAAAGACGCGTGCTCGATGAAGCGGATGAAGCGGAAACAAACCTACAGTATGCGATTCGAGAGTCATCCGCCGCGGTCCTATCCAGTCCCTCGCGACGCAATTCCGTCGTTCTCTCAGAAGGCACCCTCGACGATATCGACGATCTTACCACGCCGCCATCCTCCCCGCCACCACGATTAACACCTCCTCCAGCAAATACGCGCAAACCAACCTTTGCTTTCCTCAAGCGCAAACATAACAAGGACGCGCCCGCCGGTTCCCCCTTGACCGAAGTCAACTCCAATAGCGTACGCTCCTCCTCCGATGTCGACGCACCAAAGCACAAAGCCGCCGCAACGCAGCACCAACCGCAGCAAAAACAACCAGCCCTGCGCCAAATGCAAATCGACTTGGGACATGAGGTACGAAAGACTTGTGTGACCTGCGGAATGGAGTACATCCCCTCGAACACGGAAGATGCGGCGCTGCATAAGAAGTTCCACGAGATGAATTCGACGGGGGTAGACCTGGGCAAGGCCTTCATGCGCGCGAATGCGTCACGCTGGGTCTACGAAGCGACGCGTTTCGACGAGGGCTATGTAGTGATCGTTGATCGAAAGTCCTCGTCCAGTGCCAAGAACCAAGCCAAGCGCGTATTAGAGGTCGTGAACAAGGAACTCTCATCCCCCGAGATCAGCGACGAAATCCTCTGGAGTCAAGCCGAGCCCCCAAAAGACGCGCCGCACGAAGAAGACAAGGTTGATCGGTACCGGGTGTTTCTCCATATGAAGGATAGCCGGTGCGTGGGGCTCGCGCTGACGGAGCGCATTTGGGAGTCGCGACCGGTCGTACAGGGCGAGACGAACGGCGCCACCGTGAAGGATTCGGCCGTCTCGGTGCGTGACGAGGTACATCCGGCCATTGTGGGTGTGTCGCGGATCTGGACCTCCGGAGCTTCGCGGAGGAAAGGTATCGCGCTGGATCTACTGGATTGCGTGGTCAGCAATTACATTTACGGCATGGAGATCTCTAAGGCTGAGATCGCCTTTAGCCAGCCCACTGAGAGTGGCAAGCGATTGGCTCATAAGTTCTTTGAGGAGGAAGAGACATGGCATGTGTATAACGAGAGGTGATGAAACTGGCATTTCCACTTCTGGGTTTGGTTGTCCTTCTCTGTTTTTTTTTTTCTCTTTCCCTTTTCTTCTTCTTTTTTTTTTGCGCCGACCATCATCATCGTTGAAACATTTTTTATATTATCATTATTTGTTTTTTTTCTTTTTTTGGGGAACACGGCTGGTTATGGGAGGGGGCTTTTGGGATTTTGATTTCTGCGACAGCTTGACTTGTTTGACTCATTCATATCTATTTGTACCATATTTATACACGCCTTCGGGCCTCTTCTATACCTGACAACACAGTCTTTTCCGAGTTTCGATTTACTTCAACTTACTCTCACCCCACCACTTCGATGGAATCGACTATAATCACATTTGGTGACCAGTGACAGCCTTGGGCCGTAAGTGGGAATTGAATCTGTGACTGTAGCCTGTCGGGGCAGCCGGACGCCATCGATCGGAGGGCGGCGCATAGTTGGATAAGAAGTTCGGCGGGGGCTTTTCCCCCTCCTCCTTTTCATCCTCTCCAGCTGAGAGAGAATCTTTCAAGATGTCTGCCTTCAATCCCTTTCGCGCCAGAAACGTTGATGGTAAGCTCCTCATATCCATCCCATTCCCATCTTCCCCCACCGTGGCATCCCATGGGATTCTCTCTGGAACCCGCAACTTCCGATAAGACGCGAGCATCGTCAATGCTGGCCCCCTTCCCCGCATCATAGGACTGACGAGAGATCGGATGAAACAGGAGGTTCTACACTGGAGAAGGCATCGCCATCCCAACCTCCGATCAATTTGCCTCCAGACCTGTTTACGAAGCCCATCCAGCCGCCAGTTTCACCGCTGCCCAACGGTTACCCCAGAAAGTCGGCGCTATCACTCGAGATCGAGGATCACGAATCTTCCTCTTCCTCTTCCGACGAGCAAACGGCGGACCCATTCAATCCTGATTCTGCCGTCAGCGATAATGAAGATGACGAGCGCAATGACGAGCATTCGAGGAGCTTTGCTTCCCCGACCGATCATCACCCGCGAGATCCTGTTGGGTCCGCTCCACACCCAGCTCCATCCGAGGAGGGATCGACCACAGTCCCGCCTTTGAAAGCTCTTTCTACACAAGTATCTACGACAGAAGTTGGCCGGCCGAATACAGCAAAAAGCAGTACACCGTCACTTGTTCAGCCCGTAGGGTCCAAGTCTCCTGAAAATGATGGTAACACAAGTTCGTCGAGTCGCGCCGACAAGGAGAAAAGGCCACCCCCGCCACCAAAGAGCCATCATGGCAAGCGCATCAATAATTCGAACTCTACATCTCGACCAGAGTCGTCTCGATCCACGGATCGGCGCTCCTTTCACGCGTCTTCGCCAGAGAGCGTAACCTCTGTTCAACCACCGGGTATGCCAAATGCCAATGCAGGATCACCACCACCACCAGCGCCCGATTACTTCCTGACGCCTTCGGATCATCAGCAGGCATCCGGTTCAACCGACTCTCTCCAACGCAGCCACTCCCAGAGCAAGCGGCCCCCGACACCACCTCTCAGTCGACGACATAGCCAAATGCGGCGATCCAAGTCCACCCAGTCCAAGTCGAGCAATAGCCGATTGACCATGTCATCAATCGATTCAGAGAGCAACGATAGTTCACGGCCGCCTAGCCCGGGCCCTTCAACGCTATCAGTGGCATCTTCAATGTCACAGGATCGCAAGCGCCTTAGTATGCCGCCGCCAGCCTCTGCAGAGACCCGAGCTGCTGTTGGTGCCGCAGCTCTCCCCGCATCCGGGACCCCGGCGGACTCATTTTCGCCACCACCATCAGCACCTAGCTCCCGGCCAACACCACTACAGCCTGGCCGACGCACCTCATCATATGGAAGTCCAACTACTGGCTCCTTCTCTGGAGCACCCCCTCCACCGCCACCCCCCCCGTCGAGCACGGGATTCCATCCTCCGCGCCAGTGATGGCGGGGCGGAACCCCCAGCAACCCAAGCAGAGACCCCGCTCCCTCAACCCTCCAACGCGACCGATATATTGGCGGATCTTTCACGACTGCAGAAAGAGGTGGACGACCTGCGTGGCCACTATGAGAGCCGCAAGGTCAGTCAGTAGGCATTGAAGACTATACTTTGATACCAGGGGTGGAAGTAGGTGGGAGGATCCAGCGGGCTGAATCCATCCTCGTAGTTGTTTTCCAACGATCTTTGTATGAATGACTGTATGAACCTGAACCTGACTCTGCATTTGCGAATATTCTACTATTTCTTTGTTGTAAGAGCCCAGCCAATGCCAGAAACAGACATCGACCTTGCAAGGTGCAATACGATCTGATTGGCCGAATGTGATCAGCGACATGACGTCGCGAGACTCTAGAATTATTTAAATCTTCTACGGATTGAGTCGGTCCTTTTCTCACCCCGCAATTCCCTTTCTCATCCACAATTTACATCCACAATTTGCTCCGTCTCTGTCTCCCCCTTGACTTACTCTGAAACAACAGACCCAATCTTGACGCTTTGGAACTGACCTTGCTTCAAGTTTCTCTTCCTTCCTTCTCACTTACCTCCATCTATCAACATAACCTCAAACAATCAAATAAAAATGACTACTCCAACGCTGATCAACCTCCCACCTCCACCTTCAGACCCCGTCACACCATCTGATATGGGACCGTAAGAGCTCACCTTATTCCCACTCCAATCCCCCTCCCATTTCCACTACCATCTCCAACCTCATCCCACCATGACCCATCTCACAAAACACCCCGACTAACCCGGACGACCACATTGGGCATCCAACAGAGGCACCCCCAATTCAGGCCTCTCAGCCCTATCAACAACAGCCATAAAAGACGGCCACCAAGGCGCACCATTCCCGCACGCTCGCCACACCCACCAATCCTCCTCAGCATCAACCTCATCAACAACAACCCTAGACGCTGAGCGCGCAGACCGCATCTCCCGCCTCGCAGGCCTAGAACGAGTAGCAACAGCCCGAGCAGGCGGCCACTACTCCCCCGCCAACGCCAACGCCAACCCCACAACCTCCATGCCCCCATCCCATACCCCCGGCGCCGCAGCCTCATACGGCTACTTCGACAGTCCCGCCACGCTGAAAGAGCGCAGCACCGTCGGTAGCGCAAGCGCAACAGGCAGTCTGGGCGGCAACACGTACACCAGCACCTGGGCCAGCGGCAGCGAAGCCTACGAAGACAAAATGAGCGAAGACACTGACCTCGCGGACCGGGACCGGGACCGCGACCACGACGACGCCTTTTCTAGCGTGAGTAATGCCAGTGATGAAGGGAATGCGAGTCTGGTAGGGTTCGGTGAGGGCGCGAGTAGTACGATCAGTGGTCCTACTTCGCGGCCGCCGCCTGGGTTGACGCGGATGGCGTCTGGTGGGCCGGGGACGGGGCCAAGACCGACGTCTATGAGTTCGAATGTTGGTCGGTCGAATCCGTTGGCGTCGTATTTGCAGCAGCAGAGTCCTTCGTTGTATCAGCAGCAGTTGGGGTCGGGCGGGGATGAGGGGATGGCGGTTTCGCCGGCTGGGTCGAATACGCCTGAGCCGATGGATGATGCGCGTATGGTTGATGGGATGACTTTTGATAGTGATGTTGTTGATACTACGGCTAGGACGCCTCGTCTTGCTTCGCCTTTTGAAAGGGGTAGTGAGGGTGGTGTAGGTGGTGGTGGTGGGTTTGGGACTCCGCGGGAATAGATTGGGGACTGTATGGAATGGGATGGGGCAAATGTAGGTAGAATACGATCGGGTTGGAAGGCGTTTTTGAAATGTGTTGTTTGTTGTTATCATTACTTTAGGTAGCTATTTGTCTCTTGGTGATTCTATGCCTTGTCTGTGCTTATCTTAGTTCAAGTAGCTCGATGAGGGAGTCGCGTGATGTATTTCTAGGAGGCTTGGTGGAGGGAATTAGGAACTCTCTGTTTGATTATTATTTGACAAGGTCTTTCCTGGTGAAATCTGGCCCCATTTATCTTTGAATATGCTTTGTGACTAGTTGGTGGTTGATATAACCTTCAGTACTCCGTAGTAGGGTGGTAGATCTAGGCCGTGGCGTTATGGATGCTGAGTATACCAGTATGGGACTGTATAGGACTGCATGTAGGCATACCCATGGTAAAGACGGAGGAGAACAAAGAAAGGACCAAGTATGATAGAATGCAATATGCCCATAGTAGTATAAGTACCACTAGTAGTAGTAGTAGTAGTACTGGCAATATACGCAATATAATAGTATCAATGGTGCCAGTGTATACCATGACGCATGCCGCCTCCGGCTGAGCAGCGCGGAACACCCAAATTTTCAAGTTCTTCCTTCATCCTCTCTTCCCCACCCTCTCACCTCGATCACCCTCCTCACCCCCTTCGATTCCGCCTGCTGGCATTGACTTGTCTAGCACTGAAGATTCATCTCTCCACATTTCTCCCTTCAATTGCGAGTTTCTTTCGCCCTTGGTTCGCCACCCGACAAAGACTCATCTTGTCTGCCACGTCGTCGTATTCGATTTCTTCTTGAAGCCCACACCTCACCGAGCAACTTCTCTTACGTGAATAGCTCGATTATCGCTTTCATCCTACTTCCTCCGAGCTCCCCTCGACCTTCGTCCTGTCCCTCATAACGGCCCGATCTCCGGTCGCATTGTGTTTTCGTTTGCCCTGGTTCATTACACCAGTATCTTGGAAACAAGGATAAAGCATATTTGCTACGCTTTTTGCATTTAGAGTCGAGATACTCATTTGATTTTTCTTGGTGGCTTTAGCTCCTGCAACTTTGAATTCTGCTCAAAATGGCTTCGACACAACTCGCATGTGGGTTCCACACTTCCCCCTCATCTTCCTCCCTCCCCTCTCTCTACACATTCCACGGACATCCGCCGCTCGGAAATGAAAAATAAGAGTCGTCCACACACTGAGAAGACGATGACTGACATTCCTGGAAGACCGTACCCTCAAAGGGATTGGCATCATGGATGCCGCCCCTGTCTATCAGCCTTTGTCAGGCTTTGAGAGACCCGAGGGTAACCTTCGCTGCAGCGCCTACTCTCCTTGTGGCCGCTACTACGCATGGGCTTCTCCCGACAGGTATGTACAGATATCCCCGCGGGGACATACAATCCCATCCCCGCCCAGCTGTGGACCCTTTTCCCGGGTCCCTTCTCAATCAAACTAACCAGACCTCTTCAATTTTCCAGGGTCACCATCATTGACTCCTCCGCCGGCAACGTTGTCTCAACCATTACCGCTGAGAACGTGTTCGAGCTTGGCTTCTCCCCGCTTGGCACCTACGTGATCACCTGGCAGCGACCGACCAAGGACGAGAACGGCGATGCCACAAAGAACCTGAAGGTGTGGCGCGCAATTGAGACTGGAGCAGAGCACACTGTTGTGGGCAGATTTGTCCAGAAGCAACAGACGGGCTGGAATCTGCAATATACCGCCGATGAGAAGCTGTGTGCCCGCGTCGTGACCAACGAGGTTCAGTTCTACCAGAGCGACAACCTGTCCAACGTTTGGAATAAGCTGCGTGTGGAGGGGGTGGCGGACTTTGCCCTCTCGCCGGGACAGACCCATTCGATTGCGGTGTTTATCCCTGAGCGTAAGGGTCAGCCTGCCCAGGTTAAGGTATTTATTGTGCCTCAGTTCAACGCCCCGGTCTCGCAGAAGAGCTTCTTCAAGGGCGACAAGGTTCAGCTGAAGTGGAACGCTTCCGGGACAACCTTGATTGTCCTCGCCCAGACCGAGGTGGATCGTACTGGCAAGAGTTACTATGGCGAGACCACCCTGTACCTGCTCAGTGCCAGCGGCGCTTTTGACTCGCGGATTGACCTCGGTATGAGAATCTTATGAACCCTCGTTTTCGAACCACACGCTAACACCACGCAGACAAGGAGGGCCCCATCCACGACGTCAGCTGGAACCCCAACTCGAAAGAGTTCGGTGTGGTTTACGGCTACATGCCTGCGAAGACCACCATCTTCAACATGCGCGGCCAGCCTACCCACACCTTCCCTCTGAGCCCGCGTAACACCATCCAATTCTCGCCCCACGGCCGCTTCGTTCTCGTTGCCGGTTTCGGTAACTTGGCTGGCCAGATGGATATCTACGATATGGACAAGAACTTCCACAAGATTGCCACCGTCGAGGCATCCAATGCCAGTGTCTGTGCTTGGTCTCCCGACGGACAGTACATCCTGACTGCCACCACCAGCCCCCGTCTTCGTGTTGACAACGGTGTCCGCATCTGGCACCTTAGCGGCAGCCTCATGTACAACGAAGAGATGACCGAGTTGTACGATGTGACCTGGCGCCCTGCCAACGTCAGCCAGTACCCTCTGGGCGACCCCTTCACCAAGCTCCCCGTTGCTCACCCGTCCGCCACCGCATACCTGAGCACTCGCAAGGCTCCCGTCAAGCCCGCCGGCGCCTATCGCCCCCCCCTGGTGCCCGCGGCCAACTGACCCCCCCTGGCCTTCAAGCGTGAGGACCAGGGTGGTGCTGCTTACGTCCGTGACGGCGCCCCTGGAGCCGGAATCACCAACGGCTTCGGCAAGTCTCGCCGCCGTGAAATCCCCGGCGCCGAGCCTGCGGAAGAGTACCTTCCTCCCGGAGCTGCCCCCGGCGGCGGCGTGGCTCTTCCCGCCGGTGCCGACGGAGAGAAGCTCTCCAAGTCCGCGCAGAAGAACAAGAAGAAGCGCGAAGCAGCCAAGAAGGCCCGCGACGAGGAGACCGAGACTCCCGCCAACGCCCCCACCGGCCCCAGCTCTGACCGCAACCGCAACCGCGGCGGCAAGAATGGTGCCCCCAACGGCAATGCCAATGGTGCCAACGCTAAGTCTGCTCCTGCGGCTGCTCCGGCTCCGGCCCCTACTCCTGCCCCTGCCCCCGCTGCTCCCGCCATCGACCAGTCGTCCCAGGATAAGAAGATCCGCGGCTTGCTCAAGAAGATCCGTGCGATCGATGAGCTGAAGATGCGTCTTGCTGGCGGTGAGAAGCTGGAGGATACGCAGATGAAGAAGATCCAGACGGAGGATGCTGTGCGTAAGGAGCTCCAGGGTGTTGGTTATGATGGGTAAATACAAATGCAGATAACCACAATGAGAACATAGTAGTATTTTGTTGGATGTTTTGTGCATAGTTGCGTTTGTGGATGTTGTGTCCTCTCTCGCTGTTCATAGTACAGTACGAGTACTAGTTGGTCTTTCAAGGTTTTCAAACTTGAAGGCCTTCAAGTTCTAATATACAATCAAATGCCAAATTGATCATTATGTATCTTGTCAGTTCAAGTTCTATCCTTCCACCCGTGGACGGTATGGATTATCTGTTAGACTGTATCTAACTATGTATATGCCCTAATCTTTTATTCAGTGTTGGCTAGGCACAATCTCTCCTTTACTATAATCTGTTGTCAACTTCGGATGCCTGAGTGGTAAGGTACTTGCAGGGGCATCTAAGGGGAAGGACTGCTCTGTCGATTGTATAGTAGACACCTAACTGGACAAGGCATCGGTTACAATTGGGAAAAGAGACCATCCTGGCATCGTATCTCCGAATGGTCTAGGGGTCTCCAAGACCCTACCTGTTTGGGGGGAAGAGTGGTTAGGTTGATTAATGAAACGCTGGTAGCTGCCTTGAACCACCTTTTTGCCGTTTTTGTTTTTGTCCAGACCAAAAGGTCGATTCCAGCACTCGGCACCTTCACCCCCCCTTTTTTTTTTTTTTTGTTGTTGGTTGTTGTTGCCTTCTGTACTTGAAAGTGAATCGTGCCTTCCATTTCTAAGTGTATCTGTTGTCCCCACTTTTTTGCTGGTGGGTCTGTTGCCTCAGGCACCGATTTCATAGTTGCGAGTACCGGAGACTTGATTAAGTCCTTCTTTGCATCCTTACAATAGATTTGGGAGAAATTCGTTGCCAAAACCAATTGCCTTCCGTTTGGTCTCGTCAATTGTGGGAGGATGGCTTCGAAAACCTCTCGCAAAATATCATGGACAAGAGAACTTTTAAGATTAAGCATGATACCTTGCAACAAAGTATACCCCTGTTCAAGTCTTAATGTCTACCCCAATTCCAACTGGCTTACTACTAGTCTACATCTCTTTTTGAAATTCTGGTCCAATACAATTATTTATTGCTTATAAAGTCTCTAGTCAAAAAAGCTGGCATGGAAACCTTTTGATTTGCACCTACTCGGCAATATCATTTTTCCTTTTTTTTTTTTTTTTTTTTTTGAAATAATCCAGCATCAGAAGACTTGCTTCATCCTGCTTTCTCTGGCTCCTTTGGAGGAAAAGGTTCTCATACTAACAAGTAACTTTGTGCACAGGATAGGTTCCTGGCTCAGCACTCAGCTGCAGATGGCCATGCCAAGTACCCCCATGGTGGAAAGTGCAACAGCCAACAGCAGCACCTTTGGAATGAAGTGTAGTAGCACATTTTTCAACGGCGCTTAGGATTGTCTTGCGTTCCGCTGTAGTGTCACAATTCTCTCCAGTAGTCGTGGCCTTGTACGCATAGCCATAGTAGTATTCACCACTGATATCCGTCCCATAAGTCAATGTGCACGAGTCCGCCTCCGACTTTGACTTGATGATACCAGCAATGAACTCCCAGATTTCAATCGCTTGCTTTACCGTGGCGATGGTTGCTGCTCCGTACTTGACCACTGTCACGACCGTGGAAATTCCCGTGCGCTTGCTGAGTTCGGACGTGGTATTGGCATATTCCCATGCGTAGTCGGCGTTGATGACACCCAGAGTTACAGTCATGTTGGATGATCCGTTGTCCCATTCGTGGAAGATTGGGGTGGTGATCACAGATGTTGTCGCATGGTCTCCAGCAAGACATGGATCAACAAGCCCGCATGCGAGAATGCCACACAAGACACGGCTGAATTTGACCATGTTCCCTCAGTATATCGGTAGAAGATGGCAATAAGATCGAGGATAAGAATGCAGGCCAAATAAACCAGATCCATGGATACCAGTGCCTTCAAAGATTTTTCGATGCCTCACGAAAGTTTCTTAAATATGTCAGTCCGTGTTAGAGATCGGCACCTGGGCATCATTCACATCCATGGATCAAATATTGGCCACTTACCGAGATGTGCAGATAAGAGTTTGCGTAGAATCGAAGCTGCAAGGAATTCAAGTTTCCAATTTTTCAATGTGTTGATGGCTTCTTAGCACAAGGGAGATGGGGCCGCTTTATAGATCCTATCGTCGGCAAATCATCCCTGTCTGACCTGAGCGAGTTTGGAGTATAAACCCAGCCTACACTAGTTTGACACTTGTTGCGCACTAAATACCAATTTCGGACTATTACTAGTAGTATTTAGCGTTGTGGTGCTGTCTAGTACTATCGTGATATTTTATCGCGCCAATTAGATGCCGGATCTGCATAGACTGCTTTAGCTTTCTCTGGTTGTTTATGGCCTACGATACCGAAAATGATTCCATTTACTGAAAATTTCAGGAATTGCCGTCTTGAATTTATGCGAAGCGAAATTGTCGTCCCTTGGTAGATAATTTTGCAGTCTTTCTTTCTTGTTTTTTCCCCTCGATAATTAGCGATTCCTGGGCTGTCATGATGACTTCTCTTCCAGTCTCTTTGTCTTTCCTCTCTTTGGCCAAATTTAGGGTCATAAATAGTAGTTTAAAGGTGAGTCACAGGGTGGTTCAAAAAGCTTAGCTTAAACTACTATTTTACTCCCGGTCGATCCGATCTTTCATAGAGTATCCACCCCGGAAGCTGTCCATGTGGGCTGCTTTACCTGGTGACGCGGCCTTTAGGATCGCGACGTACGCAAGTTCATTCTTGGAAGCTTTAACCAACCAGAGAGCCACAATTTACGGATGGCCCCCGGCGCTATTGTTGTTCGATTCAAATCCTCGGCTGGGCTTCAAATGCCATTTGCTGCCTACCATGCACCCCGGTGTAGAACTCGAAGTGTTGAAACAATTTTCTTGAAAAGACGGATCAACAAATGTGGGAAAAGATATTTCGCTCTTCAATGATTGGAATGAGGCTCTAGATGCACCGTACTATGTATCCACCTAGACAAAGTGGACTTGACTACTGAATACACTTGAGGGATCTTGTTCCTTGGTATGTGTGGTAAACCTGAACTGAGACACTTTCTGTGGATATGACTTATTACTATATGCTAATCAGCAAGATAATAAGCCGTCTAGTTTTCTTAGAGAAAAGCTACCTATAGGTGCAGTCAGGTCGTACATCTCAGGGGCATGAAAGATTGTCAGGTTCCCATGAGACACGAAGCTTTTCGGCCGAACACCTCGTGGGGTATTCAGTAATTTCTTGTGCGGTCGTCAGAAGATCCAAAGCAGCAGCATGGGTCTAGCGCAGCTTATAGTTATTGGTCGGTGGTGAGCGTCAGGAGGATTGTTCTCGATACGTAATTTGCCATCTACTTTCGACGATTAATAGAGGACAGTCGAAGCGGCACTGGCTATCTACCAACTCGCGCTTCCAGGGCCAAATCCATGGCAGATGTTCAGTTTCCGAGATGAAATTTCGTCATCCCACCTTGCATCGTCACCTGCAGGTCCTCGAAACTGCCCATTATGGCCTTTGTATTCTTATACTGGGCACTTCGGATAGTCTCATGCAACTCACAATCTACAGCCCTTTATCGGTATTCGTTATTGTAGGGCTCACTATTCCCGCAGGGCTTTTGGGGCAGTCCAACATTTTTCATAGGTCTGCTCAACCTTGGCAACATAAGATGCCTTGGAACTCCTCGTGCTCATTCTTTCGAAATCTCAAAAGTGTAGGGGCCTCTACTTTTGAAGCATGTTTCTTGCCACGTTTGGATTGATTCCCTACCCCGTTGGCTGGAAACTCGTCCATTTCAAGCCTTCAATCACACGCTGGCAGGACACATGATAAAACTGGATGGGTCCTGGTAGTCACGGGCCAATCTCTTGTCCTATATTCGCGACTACATCTAGTACTCAACAATGCCAACTTCCTAAAAACTGTCTTCTAGATGATTATCTGCGATTGTATTGTCTGGCATATCTCCGAGTCGATTACTGTCCTGCTATTTGATTCCACATACAGTCCAGCCCAGAGCAAGAATAGCTTCAATAACGCTTCCAGCGCTACGGAGAAAGTACAGCTTACATTATTCTGCGTACAGGAGCTCATCACATCAAGTCTGTACACATAGGCAACGATGGATGATTGGCCAGTTGAATTTCAATACTGGTGGCTTGCGAGAATGTAGTTTGGGAAACTTGTGAGTTCTTTGTAAATCATTATGAATCCTGCGGCTCGGGTAGTCTCTACCTGGCAATAATTTGTCGGTCGGCAAGAGTGGGAAAGTTGTAGAGTTCCTTAAAGGTTCTGTGGGGGAAGGTGGAGTTGACTTTGGACGAATGATATTGTTTTCTGCCCACGTTCCCTCCTGCTAAGCATCTAAATTGAACTCCAGGGCTTTGCACAAAGTTATGACGGCGCCATTCCAAATTAGGTCTGGGATCAGAGGTGTCCACCTGCCCCAACTCTACTTATGCGATATGCTGATCCATTGTAGACAATAATAGTGGACTGACGGCGGCCAGAATGCCACTAGTATTATTCATTATATAGAAAGCTACGACTATCTGGTATTAACTAGAAGCACAAATGAATAACCGAGGGAATAAACAATCGCCTGCAACAAACTTCTTGGATAATCAGCAGGTGTCCTATTGGAGATGCCGTGACATCCATAATATTATTGCTTGGGAAAACCACGTCATTCTTTCCTGCAGGCCTTATCAATCGCTCGAGCCACGTGTTTGACATTTGCATTGTTGACTGTGATTGAGAATGTTAGCGCTAAGCTCCTGATCAAGAACTCCTATCATCCAGAGTCCAACTTACGACCTGAAACTGAGATTCGTCCCGAGCTCAAGATGTAAACGTGGCCGTCGTTCCGCATGCTTGATACTTGCTCCGGACTAAGACCTGTATATGAAAACATTCCAATCTAAAAATCGTTAGAGATCTCGCAGTTGTGAATCATGATAGGGCTGTCTCACTTGAGTCAATATATGATCCCAGTTCCCAGGGGTTCCCAGAGAAATTAATTCGTCGTACAACGCCTGTCGCATACATTTGATCCTTGAGCTCATCTCGCAAAGATCTGCCAGCCACTTTTGAAATAGCGTAGTATCTTTGAGAATCGTCGCTGCAATTGTTGCTCCTCGTTTGGGTGGCTGGGAGATAAGTCCTCGTTGAAGGCGTAGTATATGCCCTTTAACCTTGCCCGCTGCGTCTGGCGACCCCGTAAGAAGATGCAGGGCTCCAACGCGCTCCCCATAGAGACCCATGTTTTTTGAGAAGGATTGCGCCACTGCAAGTTCCATGCTTCCACGGAATGCAAAATGTCTCAATGCCCAAGCATCTTCATCTAAGTTCCCCGAGGCAAATCCTTGGCTGTTATCTCTGGTAAGCTCCTGTGTGCTTCCGAAATCAGACAAAACATGAACATGGGAAGGGCAATACTCACTAGGCGCAGTCAAAGAACGGGAACAATTCTCGTCTTTCGCACACATTTGCGATCATCTTCCATTGATCCTTTGTCGGGTCAAGTCCAGTGGGATTATGAGCACAACCATGAAGTACAATCACATCTCCTGGAGTAGTCTCCAGTGTAAGAGTCTGAATCATATCTTCAAAGTCCAATGCCTTTCTCTCTGGGTTCCAATACGGGTAGGACCTCACTGCAACTCCTACCGATTTCCAGATGTTTGCATGGTTTACCCAACTCGGGTTGGATAGCCATACCGCAGATGGCTTGAGGGCATTGGATAGAAAGTGTGCACCAAGTGAGTTGGCGCCTGTTCCAGATATAGTTTGCACAGAGACAAAATTTTCTTCCGGTGAGCTGAGGGCTCCAAATAGGAGGTCCCGTGCCGCGGTGTAGAAGGGTGCGTAGCCGGGAATAGGAAGATAGTCATACCGACCGGAGTCTTCGGAAGCCTTGACGATCTCCTCCGCCTTGATGATTTGAGCCAGATGTTAGCATCATCCTGAAACATTGAGATATATCAGGTATTGACACACTTCTACCACTGTCGGCAATACCCATGGCTTTCCATCCTTGTCACGGTAGATACCTGATCCTAAGATCACTTTCGAGGGAGAAGTATCGGCCGAAAAGTCCTCTTTGAGGGCGTAGTGAGGATCCAAAGGAATATCGTCAAGCTCTGAAAAAAGGGATTCGATCGAATGAGAGCCCATCTCGCGTTATTTTTTTCGAAATCTCAGATGATGATCGGTTCTATTGATGTGAGTTGTTCTTGAATTACATAGAGTATCCTAGACCATAAGAGTGAGTGTTAGCCAAAAGCACGATGGAAAACATTTATATGGCCGGACTCCTCTAGAGATTACCGATTGCTTGAGCCACGGTCCGTTCGAGGACTAGCAGTCACCTGCAGCATCACACAGAGTCGTTGTTAAGATGGTGGATCCTGGTTGTGATTGGTGAAGATGGCCAAAATACGTCGATCCGGCGGGCCGAACCTTGTCTGGGGGTATTAGTCATCGCTTTGAGCTTCTCGACCACAACTATAAAAGATATTGTGTACATCAAATCAACAAGCTCTTCAGCAACTGCACAATTGCGCAATAGATGGGGTAGTATATATTTTGTGGTACCAAGAGTACCGCTCCGTTTGAATTATTTCTCGAGCAAAACTGTCTGCGAGTGCCTGCAACCCTTACATCGGGATGCAGTCATTTGGTTACATCCGGGAGGTGAAAGTGGATATGACCCGAACAATTGAGCAGGATCTAGAAAGGCTTGGTCGGGGATTACGAGGAATTTACACCTTCAGTCTATACTAGTGCTTACTAGTGGTACCTATGTAGTATACACCCATGTTGAGATCTAACCTCCAATCCCATACGCCTGCTACATGTATGATGCTGCATGTATGTCTTGCCAATGTACTAGGTATAACCGAGTAATCCATAAAAGAAGTGAAATTAACAAAGGCTTCAATTATTTGCATCAAAAGAAATAGAATATTCAATCTAGAAAAATGAAAACAAAGCATACATTTGATGTTTGATCCGACATGTGATCCAAAAAGGGAACCCGCGGGTGCCTACTTCAACTCTGTTGTTTTTGTTGCCCTCCAATTGACATTCACCTTTTTCCACCTCCCAAATTCCAACTACTCCATCATTCCTGAAATCTTGTCTCTCCAAAAGCTCGAATCAACTTCCAAAACTACCAAATCATTTCGCTGGAAACATTTCCACTATGATTTCAGTGCGGTCCGCTCTTCGCAAGAGCAACGGGGCCATTCGCCTACTCGAAGCGCATGATCGATCCTCTACAAAAGCCATTCGGGATACCAACTGCACAGATGGAGCGTATTTTGAAGGAATCTGGATCAGTGGTCTGACTCAAACCACCTATCTCGGAATTCCCGACACCGAGATCGTATCGCCTCTCTACCGCGCAATCTTGCAGGCGACAACCATCAAAACCCTATGGCCAAGCGACCGAACGATATGCGCAGCCTTTGATGCTGATAGCGGTGGACCCCTCAGCGATATCCCGGCATTGGTGGCAGTTCTTGTCACTGTCGGAGTCTCCATGGTGGTCATTGAGGACAAAGAATTGAAAGCACCAGGCAAAAAGGTCAATTCTCTCTTGACGGCCAACGGATCACAGTCTCAAGCAGACCCAGCGGAATTTTGCAAAACGATTCAGACATTCAAGGAATGCACCCAGTGTTCTGATTTGATGGTCACCGCCAGGATTGAGTCTTTCAACGTACGCATCACGAAAGATGATCCAGTCGAAGAAGCCGCCTCCATCAAGGCATCTCTCGAAGACGCACTATCCCGCGCAGAGATTTACACCAAGGCAGGTGCCGATGCCATCATGATTCACAGCAAAAGCGAAAGCCCCACAGAGGTCCTCGAATTCCTGAAGCGATTCCGTGAAAGAGATCAAGTCACGCCCCTCGTGATAGTTCCCACCACCTACTCAACCACTCCCCGAGAAACCCTTATCGATGCCGGTGCAAATGTGATCATTTATGCGAATCATTTGATGAGGGTCAAAATAAAGGCAGTCGAAGAAGTTATGGGGTATTCTTGTTCTTTCACCCCAGCTCTGTTTGCCGGTGACAAGGAAGCAGCGGCTTGCGCCGAAGCTGGGAACTACGGTTGCCTCATGCGTATTCTACTCGAGAAAGACCTCGAAGTCGAAAAAAAATTTGAAATGCGTAATTTCGTTCAGCAAGCACGACAACTGATCGAATCCCGTATGAACAATGTTGCTGGGGCATTGGTGATGGGCACCCAGTCTGGTTGCGAGGCCGATTTTTACATGATCAGCGTTGAGGAACTATTGAAGATCAATTCTATTCAGGTTTCGATTGTGTAGCTAGTTCTAGTTGTCGTTTTCTTTTCTCAAGGTCAATGTGGAAGTGGAAGCCTTACGCTATTCCATGGTATGAAGGCAGAGTTATCTTGATTAGTGGATACGAAAATCTCTCTGAACCTGGAGTATCCGTAAACCGCAATATCATGTGGCTTTCAGCTTTCCTCATGGCGAAATATCCAACGTCTTCTCCATAAAATTCCCACAAATGAACGTTTCTTCATTTTTCATGGTTTTTATCACCCCAGTTCATATGACGATGGTTCAAGAAAGGGGTACTGCATTTTGTAATGCGGCACGCGAGCAATCATGATATTCAGCACAAGCACATAGTAGGTTGCCTGCGAGACCACCGACAACCATTGACCGTTTTGCGAAACAGGCAATGTAAGTGTGACCCTCTGTATCAATTCGTGTCGGACAATCTAGCACGAGAAACGCTATTAACCCGGTCTATTATTTGTAAAGTTGCAAAATGCAGTCACCTTTGAGCCGATGAGACATCGCAAGGTATGATGCGAACAATCTGAATGTCACACTCTAATTTGCATTTGACGAGGTTGTAGAATTCTAAAATTTTGTTAGGTTTTGCCTGTTTTGCCACGTTCGTTCTCAAGACTTATCACCCATCCAATGTCGCAAAGCTACGAGACTTATAGTTATTCACCCCTCGAGATGATGAGTTCGGAATCTACCATCGAGGAAGGGAAAGATGGGTCTTCCCCGCCGGAGAGGCTGAACCATCTGCATGACCAGACACTGCGGCTCTCGTTCCCTCGACTCATTGTCTCGTATATTTGTCTTTGCTCGTGCTATTTCATATCTTACCTTGATATGAACTCAACAACGACTGCTCTACCCACAATTTCCAATGCTCTCTCTGCGGGTACAACAATCACTTGGGCGGGAACTGCCTTCCTTCTTGGTCAAACAACATTCCAACCCCTTTATGGCCGCGTTTCCGATATTTCCGGGCGTAGGCCTGTGCTAATGATCTCCGTCGCATGTATTATGATTGGCGATTTCCTATCAGGGTGGGCAAGAGGTCCGATCTGGCTATATCTGACACGGACATTAAGTGGCATTGGTGCTGGAGGTATAAGCTCACTGGTTTCGATTATTGTTAGCGACCTAGTGAGTTTGAAAAACAGAGGAAATTACCAGGGTTTTGTGAGCATTGCTATAGGAGCAGGGGCCGTCAGCGGCCCTTTTATTGCTGCCAGCTTGATACAAAGGAGCCCCGATGGCTGGCGCTGGACTTTCTGGGTCCCTTCCATTCTCGCTTTGATATGCATGCTGTTCCTCCTGCTCTTCTTGCCGCTGAAGCAGGTTGCAGGAAGTTGGAATATCAAAATCAAACAAATTGATTGGGCAGGGGTTATTTTGTCCACGACAGGAATTATTTTCTTGCTGGTGCGTTCACTTCTGATTATCTTTCTTTTCGTCCTATTTCTCTCCTTAAACTTTTTGTTTTGACAATTTTCTGCCTGGCCGGCTGATGACTATTTCAAATAGATCCCCATAAGCTCCGGTGGCAATACTTGGTCGTGGAACAGCGGTTTCATAATTAGTTTACTGATCCTCGGATGCATTTTCATCGGAATATTTGTTATAGTGGAGGGGCTTTTTGCTAAGCTTCCCATCATGCCTTTGACTCTTTTCAGAGAAAGGTCTCTTTTGATAATGTTAATATCGGGTGCACTTCATGACTATGTCTGGCAATCAACCCAGTACTTCATGCCCCTCTTCTTCCAGGAAGTCCGAGGATTCTCGCCATTTGGGAGTGCCATGTTGACTTTGCCCTATGTTCTTGCTCAAAGTATTGCAGGTGCAATATCTGGGCCTGTGATGAGTCGGTTTGCTAGGTTCGCCCGAGCCTGTTGATGTCGACGTAGCTCTTGCTCTGTTCTAACTCCGATTATTAGATTCACCCCAGTCTTACGGATTGGCCTCTTTCTCTGGTCCGTCGGTGCAGGCCTCCGTCTCCTGTTCAAGCGAGATACCTCTATTTTTTTGTATGCGGTTGTCCTGGCTATAGAAGGCGCAGGTGTCGGATTTACCCATCAGCCAGGTACGAATTGCATCGCAAGAAACATTGGACAATACTGATTATCTTTTATATGAGCTCTAGGTTTAGTAGCTGTCCAGGCTTTGGCTAGAAAAGAGGATCGTGCTGTGGCCACGTCCACACGCAATCTACTACGGTCACTAGGGTCTGTATTCGGTGTCGCCATCTCGACCGCAGTTCAACGTGCCGCCATGCAGTCCGCTTTGCATCATGCAAATCTATTTAATAATCCACAATCTGAAGCTGTGTCCAGCCAAAGAGATGGAATTGAAGAAATCTCTGACCTAGACCATTCACGAACATTGGATGCAACAATGGCCGGGTTTCGGATCGTTTTCATCAGTTTAGTACCTTTGATTTCTTTGTGTTTTGTAGGTAATTTTTTAGTAAACGATGTTTCACTGAGTGAAAACTGTATCAGTAAGGAGGTTTTCAAAGATGAAGGTATGTTCTGTACTTTTGCTTCTCGTTGCTCTTTACTACATAACAACTGGGGCGATCGGCGCTGAATGATTGAATCTAGGATCATCCGAGTCCACCGACAGTAGCTCGGAAGTCAATTCACACGAAGTCTCCAGGGCCGAGGGAAGTGACTACGCTAAATAACTGCAATGATGTCTTCTTATGGTTACTATCTCGAACTTGTAATTCCACTCTGCAGGTTCCAATGCGACAATCGACCTAATACCAAGGGGGAAATGGGAAATTGGAAATAAGGAACAAGCTCAGGTCAAAAGCATGATACCAGTCCTGTTGATAGACGACTAGAATAAGGAAAATCACATAACTAGCGGCACCCCGTACTTGTCACAGAATTTGTTGATACACAAAGTGCTGCATGTTTACGTATCAGGAAGTGCATTTCAGATTAAAAGAGAAAAAAGAAAAAATCAAATAAGCTTAGATCTGATACTTGCATGCATAGACCATCAGCCTTGAGTCCACTCGGAAGCTGACAACCGAACACTAGCTAGTGGGCATCTAGTACTCATCCCTGTTGCGGCTGGCCGGTCAAAACAAGATAATTCATGGGAGATCCACCGGCTCAAAATTCAGCTCGTGTTTCAAAGGTAAAAATAATCGAAGAATTACCAAGAAGCTTTAGCAAGCCAAATAAATCCCACTGGTGTACGGAATAGGAAGAAAATCCATTCATCTTAAAATCCTTGTTTCTGGCAGATTTTTGAAGCTCATCACTGCCTATTGAGGTTAAGCCCACGCGGAGGGCGAAAAGTCTGGATGTCCGTCGTTGGGGACTAACAAGGCCAGGGGTAATTTACCCCCCCGGCTAGTGCCCCGTTCGGGCGGGCCCTTCTGGACCTTCCTCAACGGTTTTTCTCTGGAGCCCGACGGATATGTACGGATACTGCGGAAATTCCCACATGCTTTCCCCGCGCCGGAAGAGTACCGAGACGCCGACCGGACGTACATACCACGCGTTCTCCCCTAATCTGAAACCGGCGTAAAAAATGGCTGAGACTATTTGTATCAGGTCCCGACTGGGCTGTCTATTCATTATTTCAATCTGTCTTTCCACGTGTGAATTTTTACTCCAAGTCCGCTTTTATCCAGAATGACCAATGTGGCTGCAAGTTCCGAGAAAAATGGATTGGAATTATCTCGCCGGGGGCACGGTCATTCTCCGTAGGGCTTATCCTTATTTAAAAATGATATAAATAACTATAGGTGTGAGGGGCAAACCATTGGAAATCAGCTTTTATGTGTGTGTTTCTCTTGCCTTTTTAGGCTTGGTTACTAGGCTGAGTACTGTTTTTATCAAAGACGACAGAAATGAATCGAAGCATTTCTAACATGGTCACAGGCTTCAGACCACTGACACTTTACTATCGGGGACAAGTAAAGATTTACACATGACAGTGGTTGAGATCAACATTGAATTCTCATGGTTGACAACTTCTTATCATCAGTGGATCAGGCCGGTTTCGGAAAATAGACGAATGCGAGCATTTGACTAATGCACTCGCCCAAGAAAATATCTATTGATATTCAAACAGAGTCGCGTCCTGAGATATTATTCCTCCAGTAATGATTGGTGATTCCAATTTAATTCAGTATGCTAGGCTCTCGCGTCCTTATCGGCTTCTGTCTAGCCCTCCTGTCCCAGGCAGAAGTTACCAAAAACTATGACAGACGTCTCAAGACCGCCATCACTCTTGATCACCCAACTACAGGCGCAAGCATCTCCCCCGATGGCCGAACTTTCCTGAAAATTGCTCATGTCGATGGCACGACAGGTTCACAAATTGTAGAAGTCATCGGCAGCAACCATACGCTCGTTCCCTACCCCGACGAGGAATGGAACTCGTGGAATGCCAGCAAGGACACGCCAACCGATTCAGAGAATAAATTCGCCTCAACCAATGCACAGCGTATCGGTCCCGATGGAAAACTCTGGGTCGTCGACAGCGGGAATCTTCAAATGTTCCCCAATTCCTCCAAGCTTATCTCCTTCGACCTGGAGACAAACAAGGTGGATCGCATCTATTATCTTGGCAATGTTACCACCACCGACGGGGCACTGAATGACGTACGCTTCAATGGCAAATACGCCTATTTGACAGAGTACGCCATCGGCTCTATTATTGTCCTGGATCTGGAGACCGGTCACGCACGAATGGTGTTGCGCGGCCATCATTCTGTTGTTGCGTCTATGCCGCTGTCAGCTGAGGGCCAATTACTCCGCAGTTCCTCCACGGGACAGTTTCAGTATATCCATGCTGATCAGCTCGAGGTCTCGCCTGGTGGTGAGTACTTGCATTACCAGCCAGGCAGTGGATACATGTCACGCATCGAGACGAGATATCTCAACGAGGCACTTCACAATAATACAATGGCGGAATTACTACCATCCTATGTCGAGCCCTTTTCCCTAACGCCTAGTACCGGGGGCACGGCTATTGATTCCGAGGGCAACATTTACTACAGCGATGGCGATCGTCAGGAGATTCGGGTTCTGGCACCGAATGGGACCACCACGTTGTTGGTTCGAGATCGGAGACTTTTGTGGATCGACGCTTTGTGGCTGGATACACAGCGGCGTTTGTGGATGTGCGCATCGCAGTTGAATCGTGGTGACCTCTTTTTGCAATCGGGTAATCAGACCAATACTCTCAAGAAGCCTATTTACGTCTATACCATCGATGTCGGTCACAGCCCACCTGCTTTAGATCATGCTTGAGGAAATTGATTGCTTCCACGAAGGAACATGAGAGAGCAACAGATGGCCTGATCAGAACAAATAAGGACTTACTAATAATAGACCTTGGTCTACTCCGGAAGGATCTAACCACTTTCACTAGCGGGAAGTGAGTTTATCTACTAGTGGGAATTTACTTCGTGGGGGAACCTTAGTAAAATTAAGGTGAAAACTAAAGGAGAATTTCCAGCCGACTGGGATCAAAGGCGCGAACTATTCAGGAACAATCATCATGTGGAAATTCTCATTATTATTTTAAGGTCTTTACTATGGATACTATACATTTTCCCTCTCAAATCTGTGATGGTGATACCCCTCATTGGCATCGTTCTCAGCGGCAGTTCGGATAACCTCGAACGTCTGGTGAACTCCCACTTCCATTCTTCCAGGGAGAGGTGGATGGTGCACGTTCAGCCCTTCTTCGCTGCTGCTCGGGCTGGATGGCCGTGGCCAGGACTTCTTTGAGTCTCTGTGGCTTTCGATGTTCGTTACCATGACTGAGACCTTATCGGGTCGCAAGTCGCCTCCTTCGGCTTGACTGATTGATCCCAATGGTAGCGACGCTCCATGTGCACCGCTGAGACCACCGCCGGTACGGCGCCCGTATGATTGTTTGGGAAAGCCGGCTGAGTATGAGGGATCGGCGCGCGAGCCGAACCAGTGGCGGAGGAGGGGACGGAGGGTTGCGAGACTGCCGGCGGTAATTCCTAGACCGATCTCGATGTTCGACCAGTATGCGATTTGGACGGTCGAAACTTTGACAGCCATTAGTATATTTTCAACACGAGGGTTTGTGAAAGACAGAAGAAACTTGGCATACATAAAAAGTCGTCCAGATCAAGAAAAGTGTCAACGAACGGGATGCGAACAATAACAGCGGAGGAGGCACTATGAAGCTTGTCAGTCGTCTGTTCCAAACATTTGCAGGAAGATATTCACATACATGCAAGCCATACTCAAAATTCCAATCACAGCAACCTTCGTCTGCTTCTTCATTTGTAGTTGGTGGACGACGAAAATGGGTAAAATGCCAACGGTGAAGTCGCAAGCTGCAGCGGCGACACTGTAAACGTATGTCATGGCGACAATAATTTCCATGTTGATACAGTAGCCTTGGCCTTCAATGTTGTGGACTGGGTGGTAGGCCATCCGGGTCCAGAAGAATGACAATGGCTTGCATTGCAAGAGCATGAGGAACATGAAAATAAGGCCGGCCAAAACAGTGACGGCCATGACCGAGTATAAACTCCAGAGGTGCGTTTTTTTGATGCAGATACGCATCAAGAAAATGCAAATTGAGATCTTGCAGAAAATCGATGAAAAGCAGAATGCAATTTCACATAACCACCAGTACTTTTAGAGACAGGATATTAGTAAATTTTGAGAGTATAGATTTCGCCGGTTTGATTTACCTTCATTGCGATCACTCGCTCTTCAGCGGCGACACTATACCAGTGCCGTCCATTTCCGTGGAGACCAGCCCCAATCATGGATCCTGAAAACATTATATAACAGGCCTAATCAGAAGTTAGCAGGCTGTAACCGAAAACAAAGAGAAGGACTAGTTTACCATAGCGACCAACATCGCGGTATCATCCCAGCCGAACGCCTTCACTAGGCGAAGTCGGACATAGCATCGGAGAGCCACTGTGATAAACGCCACAGTCATAAACGTAGCCGCGACAGCTATAATCGCCGCATTTTGGTGATCTTCGACGGAACCCATAACGCCGAATATGAAGGCGAAGGAAGAGCCGTAGAATAATATTTCCCTTAGCCTCTCATCCAAGCAAAGAAAAAAGTGAAACAGGGCGATGGCGAAGCGGAATTCGCGGAGTTAAAGAGTGTTTCGTGTCAGGGGCAAACTTGTATGTACATTGTACGCTAGACTCCATATCTCTGTCTTCGACAGGGCCAGAACGGGGTAAGTAAATATTCTAGCGTGAGCCACACACGGCATCAAGCGCAATTTGGCCAAGAACAAAGTGCCGGACGCAGGGATTTCGCAGGTTATCGGGGGACCCGCTTGCTATGCTGTGTCCCACAAGTGGCTACAGAATGTTCATCTCCGACAGAGAGGGTCTCGTCTGCGCTAACAAGGTAAATTTTAAGGGGCGATTGGAGCTAACGGTCGCTGTTTAGCGTGATTCGGGCTGGCGAGCGGTGCAGATCCACCAGACGCGGGACGGCCAGGCCATGTGGATGGAACCACAAGCCATTGGGAAATACCTGTTCATGGATTACCGAGGTTTTCTTGACCGGCAGACATTTCCCGTCTTTCATATTGGTGGGAACCGTGGAGTACCAAGCGAGAGGTTGACAGGGGGTCCATGAAGATCCGGATTTTGACAGTTCTGACAGTTCCAATGACAGCTCAGAGAACCGCTGGACGGGGATCCGGCCCAAATATCAAGAAATAAACTCCACAAGAGGTTTGTTGATTTAATATAGGAATATATTAGGTAGCTATTCTTGACCTGTTCGTCCCTTGGGACAAACTACCGCACTCTACTTAAAATCCTTTTCGGGGGAATCCCGGCTAGGGAAGGATCAGTAGGCGCGGATCAGTGGGTTGGTGGTATTTTTATATGGGGCATACTTTCAGCTTGACCCCAACACGTGATGTTCTAGGGCTTGAAGTAGTATCTACTTGGCGTCGATCCCTCGTGAAGAATCTTATTGTGGGTGGCCTGGGTGGCCTGGGTTGCCCCCGCCCCTCAAAGAGAGGAGCCGCCAGGATTCTGTGGAAGAAGGATGTACGGAGTACGGAGTAGGGAGTGCTCCGTACGCCTGACTGAGTCTATCATTTCCCAAAGGCTCGGTCTGCCGAGCCTTGACAGGTTTAGCTTCTCCTAGGCCGCGCACTCGGAACTTGGGGTACATCTTCCGGACGATAAGATCTACAAGTCACGGAATGTATACCCGGATAGAGCCTGAGTCATGTCTTGGATTGAATGTCAAACGTCGAATCAATTCTTGTGATTTTCGTATTTACGAAGCACTAATGATATCTATAAAGCCCTAAAAATAAAGTAGTACCGCAGATCAGACGGGGAGGTCAAATGACAAAGACCGCTTCACGCGATTCCATGCCGAGTCGTGCTCCGGCTTTGGGTTCGCGATACGATGCCATTCGCCATTGAACGCATTGACGAGCCAGCTCGAAATACCTGCGATCCACATTAGTTCAATTCCGTTCCCGTGCCGTTCCTTCGGGTGGGTATCAAGGAACTCACGTTCGTAGACCAGCGTGTGGCCATTGTGGAAAAAGATGCTGTGATCTGAATCAGGGAATACCTGCATATCGTAGTTGTCGATATTCGCCAAATCGAGTTTATCGATCAAGACAAGCGTATTTTGAAGGTGGACATTGTCATCGGCGACACCATGCATGATCAGGAATCGCGTGTTCTCGCCCAAGGCCGCGGCATCGGAGATCGTCGCATTCTCGTAGCCTTCAAGGTTGTGTTGTGGTGTGTGCATATAGCGTTCTGTATATATAGAGTCTGCGATTAAAAGTCACTCAGGTCAGCACTCTATGTCCGCTTTCACTGGGTAGAGCAGTTATCAAATTACCATAGTATCTCCAGTCAGTAACAGGTGCTACAGCAATGCCATACTGGAATGTCTGGCCCGCATCCTGTTCGAGGATTTTCAGGGTCATGAACCCGCCATAGCTCCAGCCCCACACAGCCATGCGGCTTTCGTCGACATATGGCTTGTTGGCCCAGATCTTTGCCGTTTCGATCTGATCGTTCGCTTCGTAGTGGCCCAAGTTGCCACGAACGATGCATCGGGCGTCGCGTCCAATGAAGCCAGTGCCCCGTCCATCGACGGTGACAACAATGTAGCCAAGGCTGGAGGCGACATATGATTGGAAGTCGACCGTGAACTTACGGTCAACTGTTTGAGAGCCGGGTCCACCATACAGGAAGAAGAGCACGGGATATGTCTTAGACGGGTTGAAGTGCGGCGGCCGACGCTCGAGCACTTGGAGGGTATACCCGTCGATCGTCACATTAGTGTAGATCTCTGCGGGTAGTGCGTAGTCCTCGACCATCTCAATAAGGTGCGGGTTCTCTTCAATAGTGTCTTCAATCTCCAGTTTCTCACCATCAGTGCTAATGATGGCTTGCCAGGGCACTGCGGGTCCCTTGGAAGTAAGCAACCCATATCCAGAGCCTTCTGAGAAGGAAATACCATAGTATCCAGGCTTGGATGTATCGGTCAGGGGTTGAAGGTCAGACCCATCAAGCTTGACTGAGTATACATGCCGTTCGGTCGGCGCTTCCTGGGTTGACACGAAGTAGACCAAGTTCTTCTTCAAATCAACCGCAGATGGTGCGCTGACAACTTCCCATTTTCCTTTCGTAAGCATTCTGGGCTCCGAACTATCAATTGGAGAAAAGTATGCCAAGTGGTCATAGCCTTCATGGATGACAGTATCGACGTATCCATCCTCTGGTCGGCCATTTTTCGGGTCTGCGGGGATGAAACGAGTCGACTGCGAGGGCTCAACCCAGCCACCATCCAAGGCAGCAATATCCTCAGTCCGAACAAGCTTACCGGTTCGATTCTTGGTGTCGAGAACGAAGATTTTAACAAGGTCACTCTCACGATTGGTCTCGCGGATAAGGACGTTGCCTCCAGTCCCCCAGACGATTTCAATGATGATCCGGTCATCGTCAGCAAAATCGTCCGGCATGGCGATGGAGAAAACCTCGTTCTTTTCGACATCATAGAACTGCAGGTCCACGACCGGGTTGGGTGCACCAGCCTTAGGGTACTTGATTTGTCGAACCTCTGGATAATTCTCAAGGCCAGGTTCCGGAGTCTTACCTGAAGGGCGAGACAGGAAGTACTGGACCGGGTATTCGGGAACAGCAGTCTCGTTAGTGCGCAGGAAAGTCAGGAACTTTCCATCTTGCGACCACCAAGTGCCAGTTCTACCCTGGAATACCTCTTCTTCATAAACCCAATCGGGCACACCATAGAAGAGGTCGTCACCACCGTTTTTAGTGATGGGGATCACCTCCTTTGAAGACAATTTCCGCAAGAAGACATTATTCTCGCGGACAAAAACAACTGCATCAGACTGGGGCGACCAAAGAGCCAGCTGGACCCGATCGCTCAAGTCACTGTGGTCCAGCGGCTCCGCCTCCTGAGTTGCGACATCCAAAATCCAATATTTACCATAGAAAGAGTGTCTCCAATTACTCTGGTAGTCAGACATGACCAAAACTTTCTCCAAATTCGGACTCGGCCAAGTCATACCCGACCTGACCAGTTCGCCATCAACCTGGAACTGGGCTTTATCCATCAACACCCGGGTTTTCAAAGCACCGGGCTCGTTCTTGCGGCTTCGAATATCCTCAACTCGCAAGAATCCATCTCCGCTCTCGCCTTGTTCGACCAAAAGTCCATCTTCACCGTTTGGCCCGGCAATCCAGGAAATGGCATGCGACCGCGGCAACCACTCCCCTTTCAACATCTGTTCCAATGTGACAGAGTGTCCGTAGCTGGTCCCCCCCGGTAGCAGAGTGTGGATCATGTATAGTAACAGTCGAGGTAGACGAGAGTGCCGCGGTGCCGGGTCGCTTCGATGTCAAGAACAGCACGAAAGCAAGCACCCAGCCACCAACACAGAGCAAGCCCAGGGCCCAGAGAACGCGACGCATCCGGTTCGACGAGGTCACTGTCTTCTTCCGACCATGCAAGAAGGGTTCGTCTGAGCCATCGCCATCTTCTATATCGCGGTATCGCTGTCCTTGGCCCTGTTCGTCCCCTTGTTCTCCTTGGTTGTTGGCCGCGGCTAACATGCTTGCCTTGTGAGCTTCGAGGAAGGTCGCCGAGGCCACGGACAGGCCTGAATCGGTGGAGGTTTGCGAGGTGAGTGAATTCGATCGCCGACTAGTTAAGGGTACAGCTTCGGGGCTGCCTTCGTCGTCGAGCTTCCCCATGGTCGAAGCTACCGTGGAGTACGGTGAGGCTGAGGTTGAAGTTGCTTATCGGTGGAACTGGCGGAGTTGGAGTGGACCCGCGGCTGAGCAGGCGCGGCACTCGGGGAAACTAGTAGAGACTAGAGATACTGGAACACGCGCTGTTCGACGTGTGTGTCATGTAAACAAGTGAAAAACTTCTCAATTCTCGAGTCTTGGCTTTGGGCGAAGTTGCCAAGATAAATGTTCTTGCAGATGTATCGTATTAGTGCCAGGGCGCCGTATCGCCTTAGTATGCACACAAAGCACTAGCATCCATGACAGACCGGGAGAAAGGTCTTATTGAGACCCCTTTTTAGTCAAGCTTTTCCTGGTGGGGATACGGCTCATTCGATTATAATCTCCGAAGATGGTGCTCAATAAAGAAATTCCATTCTGCCAGTGGTCTGAAAGTCGCCGTCCACCGATGGTGGCGGACTAGACTGACGCCTCTTCATGCATTTTTGGTGGGTGTGGCGAGAATAAATAGGAGTCGGAATTGATAAGAGAGGAAATGGGGGGAAAGAATTGAGATCGACTGAAAGTTTTGACCATGTTGAAGTTGGAGTTGGGGAGGAAGTGGGGGGTTCACGAGGTTTCTTTGTTCAAGCGCCAATTCTTGAGCCTGGAACATTTCGAGTCCAGGCTGAGAGCCTGACCTTGCTAGGTATGATTTAGCATACTGGTCTTCAAGAGCTCAAGATGGCCATGGCCTTGGCTTCATTGTTTTGACAGCTTTGGACCTAGAAATCCCCGCTGCCAGTTTGAATGGCAGTAGTAGCATGCTATTTTATATACCTACCTAGATAACCGCCTCCAGCCTCCAGGGCTGACCTCGGGTTGAACAATTGTTCGAGTTTAGACTAAATATCCAAGACAGTACTATTAGTAGTAGTACTAGGTAGTACCGTGACCGTTCTACTCAGATGGAACTTGAATAGCAATTACAAGAGCTACATCCTACAATATTAGTGCTGGAGCCGAGTATTAAAAAGAACATGACAATCGGACTTTTGATGAAAATGTCCCAACCCCAAGATCTATGTGAAAACGGATATTTTTTGGTAGTAATTACTCGTCGCGATGCCATCGCGGTTCATCATACAGCTCTAGGCAGAGGTCCCTGAAGCCATCTACCGCGACAGAGCAATGTCGTCAATTCTCATGATCATCTTCACAGTCTCCGCAGCCAGCTCAATCGCGCTGGTGCTAACCAGCAGAGGCTGCAGAATGTTCTCCTCCGTGATATCATCCTTGACACCACCGCTGCGGATGCTGACTCCAGCATTGTACTGGCCCTGTGCGTGACGGTGGCGCAGCTCGGTGACAACCTTGATCGAGTTCAGACCGGCGTTCTCAGCCAGAGTGGTGGGGATGACCTCCATGGCATCCGCGAACGCCTTCCAGCAAATGGCCTCGGTACCAGTAAGCTCACGGGCACGCATGGCAAGAGTGTGAGCAACCTGGACCTCAGGAGCACCACCACCAGCAATCATGGCGCGCTTCTTGACGAGACAACGGATGACACAGAGGGCATCGTGGAGCGAACGCTCGGCCTCGTCGAGAATGAGGCGGTTGGCACCGCGGGCGACGATAGAGACGGTCTGGTTGACGGGGTTGACGGGGGCTTTGATACCAGTGATCTTGACGTAACGGGCACCGGAAGACTGGACCTCCTCGATAAGGTCAGCAGTACCGAGCTTGTCCTCAGTGAAGCTGTCGACGTTGGCGACGGGCTTGCAGCCAAGAGACTTGCACAGGAACTCGACCTCGTCACGCTCGATGTCCTTGATGGCGAGGATCTTAAGGCGAGAAAGGAAGTGCAGGGAGAGTTCGTTAACGGCGTCACGGAGGATGGACTTCTGGATCAGAAGCACGTTACACTTGGTCTTTTGAATCTTCTTGACCATGTTGAGCAGGTACTGGCGCTCCTCCTTCAGGATCTTGTCCATCTGGCGGTAGTCGTTGACAACGATTTGGTTCTCCATCTAAGAGGGGTCAGCTTTGCCATCCATACGATAGAAAGAACCCGAACGGGCCACATACATCAGGCTTGGGAGGGCTGAGCTGGAACTGGATGAGACCTATCCGAGCCTTCTCAATTCTTGTCGGGCCACCGCTGTTCTTGATTACGGGCTGGTTCAAGACCAGGCCATCGATCATCTCACTGTCTTCAATGGTACCGCCAACCTTCTTCACGATACGGATGTTGCGCAAGTCGACGTTCTCGGCGGTCTTGGGGTCGACAACCTTCAGGACGGAGTCCACGGCCATTGGGCCCAGGAGACCAGAGTGCTGGGAGACAATCTTGGAGGAGAGGGAGGTAGAGGCGGCTTGGATGAGGGTAGCGCGGTCGGTCAGGTTAATAGGGCGGGACATGTTGTGGAGGATCTCGACAGCGGCGTTGGCAGCGCGCTGGAAGGACTCGGAGATGACGGTGGGATGGATGCCCTTGGACAGCAGGCGATCAGCAGCACCGAGAAGGCTGCCAGCAATGACAACAACAGAGGTTGTACCATCACCAGCCTCAACATCCTGTGCAGCACTAAGATCGACCAGCATACGGGCAGCGGGGTGCATGACGCTCATATCCTTCAGCATGGTGTTTCCATCGTTGGTCTGCGGGGGGGTCAGTCGGAGGGGTCATCGGAGGATAGGCATGGAGATGGAATTGCGTACGATAATGGTGTTTCCCTTGGGGGTTTGGATCTGTGCCAGTATTAGAATCCCGTCGTTAATCAATGATTGTGGTGTGTACTTACCATCTTATCCATACCCCTGGGTCCCAAAGACTGTGATTCTCCGTTAGCCCCTCATCTCCGTATAATTTATAAATGTGAGCGATTTTGATAAGCGTACAGTTCGAATGGCATCGGCGACAGCTATTCAATGGTTAGACCAATCCTCACATCACATCTAGCATCAGTTTGACATACCTCTCGCGGCGAGAATGTTGGATGATCGCACGGCCATAGGCTTCTCCTTGTCCTGTCCGGGTCATTAGCACGGAGTCCACACAAACAGCCTTTTTTTTTCAGGGGCGCACCTTAAAGGTAGTGGGGGCAGCGCCTCCTGAGGACACTGCAGCTGCCATATTGAAGAATATTCAAAAAGCAGAAATGAAATGAACTGAAAGGTGGGAGTGAAGTCGGGGGAGATGGAGAACACACAGGAAATTCTGCGAGGTTCGGGGGGCGGTGATGAAGCTTGGCATTGATTAGTGAGTTCCGTTGCCGCTGAAGCTCGGCCACTACAGCTCTCTCTCTACTCTGCTCTACATCATCATCATCCAACTCCCCCCTCCAATTCCCCCAAACACTCGGAGTTCTCTCGATTTCGTATCTCGATCCTACCTGAATTCTCACATTCAGTCGCTTATCCGCTACACTCGACACTTTCCCAGCTTTCCCAGCCCGAGGCTGTCAACACATCACCATGCCTAGCGCGACAGGCCAGAACTGGGAGAAGTACCAGAAGAACTTCGCCGATGATGAGGAGCCCGAGAAGAAGATCACACCTCTCACAGATGAGTGAGTCGCACTTTGTTCAAGCAATCCGGCGATGCTGCCGAGCTCCGGTGATCATTGTGACTGACGTCTTTGGCAGTGACATTGCGGTACTTAAGACTTACGGAGCCGCTCCTTACGCCAACGCCCTCAAGAAACTCGAGAAGGATATCAAAGACAAACAAAACAGCGTCAACGAGAAGATTGGCGTGAAGGTAATTACTCTGCCTGCTACTTCGACCCCTTTGGTCCCCAGAACTCACCCGCGCACCAGGAATCCGACACAGGTCTTGCACCTCCACACCTTTGGGATGTCGCCGCCGACCGGCAACGAATGGCGGAAGAGCAGCCCTTGCAAGTAGCTCGCTGCACGAAGATTATTCAGGATGAGAAGGATGCCGACAAGAGTAAATATGTCATCAACGTCAAGCAGATCGCCAAGTTTGTCGTCAATCTAGGAGAACGTGTCAGTCCGACAGATATTGAAGAAGGCATGCGGGTCGGGTAAGTAATTCTCTATCATGATGAGTAGGTTGGAGGACAGATACTGACTATTGGTCCCAACAGTGTCGACAGGAATAAGTACCAGATTATGCTGCCTCTCCCTCCCAAGATCGACCCCAGCGTGACAATGATGACCGTCGAAGATAAGCCCGATGTTACATACGGCGATGTTGGTGGCTGCAAAGAGCAGATTGAGAAGCTACGAGAAGTTGTCGAGATGCCCTTGTTATCACCAGAGCGATTTGTGAACTTGGGTATCGACCCGCCCAAGGGTGCCCTCCTTTACGGCCCTCCCGGTACCGGAAAGACCCTCTGCGCTCGTGCCGTTGCCAACCGAACAGACGCAACATTCATTCGTGTTATTGGTAGCGAGCTGGTCCAAAAGTACGTTGGTGAGGGTGCTCGAATGGTGCGCGAGTTGTTCGAGATGGCACGCACTAAGAAGGCGTGCATCATCTTCTTCGACGAAATCGATGCTGTCGGTGGTGCTCGTTTCGATGACGGCGCCGGTGGTGATAACGAAGTGCAGCGTACCATGCTGGAACTCATTACCCAGTTGGATGGTTTCGACGCTCGTGGTAACATCAAGGTCATGTTTGCTACTAACCGACCTTCCACATTGGACCCCGCCCTGATGCGTCCTGGTCGTATCGACCGAAAGATCGAGTTCTCCCTCCCCGACGTCGAGGGCCGAGCCAACATTCTCCGAATTCACGCCAAGAGCATGTCCGTCGAGCGGGATATTCGATGGGAGCTGATTTCGCGCCTGTGCCCCAACGCTACTGGTGCCGAACTACGCAGTGTCGCGACTGAGGCTGGTATGTTTGCCATCCGTGCCCGAAGAAAGGTGGCCACCGAGAAGGATTTCCTGGCATCGGTGGAGAAGGTTATCAAGGGTAACCTGAAGTTCAACTCGACGGCGACGTACATGCAATACAACTAGAGCTTGGGAGATTGGTTCTTGCATGGAGCATGGCGGATAGGCTGTACGATCACTTCTAGTTATTGTCATTGTGAACGAATCTATAATCTACAATACTTTTCATTCCTGTAGTTCTTGTAACAGAGGACATGGGCGCCTATCTGTATTGGATGTTCTTCTGTGAAAAACCCCTCAGGTATCCCATGGCCTTTGTTCCTCTGAACCGCGGGCCAAATGATTGTATCGGCCATTGATCAGTTAGTCTGAATCAACGGAGACCTCGTTTCCACAGGGTTGCGAGAGAAAAAAAATTTTTACGGCTTGAGACCATGGTTTCCAAGGTCTAAGCCCGATAGATCCTATTTCAAGAGGAGGATAATGAGCCTTCAGTCGGAGTTTGATTTATCTAGCTAGTATAGCCTCCAGATTAATGGTGCACATACTAGTAGTAGTTTGATATACTACTAGTTGGTGGTTATGGAGTAGGTAATATGAATATTTTGTCTCTCGTACTAATAATCGACTCAATTACCATTCAAAAGAAGGGCATAGACACCTGTATTCACGTGTTATAGATCATAATTATACCCAAGATAGATATTGCTCACCTGCGAGTTTCCATTTTTTACCAAGAGACTCCATCGCACGTCTCATATCATTCAGCGCCTCCAAACTCTGACGGTGCCCGTCGATGTTATACCGATCGTAGAAATATTTGAAGGCAGGGTGTCCCCAGCACAAGAGAAACGGAGACGTTCTCTGGGTACTAGGATATTCGCCCCTGTTGTATATTCTTGACAAATTGAGACAAGTATGCGCTGATTTGCTCAATGGGTGGCTCGGGTCGTAAATGCTATCAGGTTCCCCATCGCCTGGTTCTCCAAATGAATAGAGTACAAATAACGCGCTAAAAAAAAAGTCAGACTTGAGACATACTAGCTGATCTTGGCACCGAATAATCACCTGTTTATAGTGCTGCGTGCAACACTGACTGCGACAAGCGATGTTTGCAGTTCAACTTCTAGTAACGTGGCTAAGGCGCTGATCGTGCGATAGAGCTGTGTCCGTCTCCCCCGTATTGACTGATCTCCAAATTTATGATCAGAAACTAATTGCAGTACTCGACCAACTAGATATGCGGCATGTACCAGCAGACGAAATGTCCCCATGTTGGAACTAGCTGGCGATAAAAGCGTCAAGTTGGCGTCAGGTGATGGGCTCTATAATTTGTTAGCATCGAGGCTCCAGGATGAGGTAACTCGGAGTCAAGTACTGATTGTTTCCATGAAGCATCGTCCGAAGGAAGTATGTGTGCTTCGTCTGGTTCTCGCAATAAAAGTGGGTGTTGTGGGCAGCCAAGAGCTATTATACTGGTAGTATTATTTAGCAACGTGACTGAGGAAATTAAGACAGAATTAACCAACCGCTCCATAACATACACAGACCACCATAGACGTCTTTTTTGTTCAAGATCTATCCAGTGGTTTGTATCTTTTTGTCCTAATTTTGCTTCTATCCCAAGAGCACCTAAATATCGAACACAGCCCCCCAGGGTTGTATACGCAGAGGGGAAAATACCATGTCCAAACTCATAGAGGAGAAGTAGAAGTAAAGCCTGAAGTAGTCTGATAGAGAGCGTACCGTATATCTCCATAGTCAGGAACGATGATTTAACAGCGAGATACTGCTTGTTTAATGGTTGGTTTTCGGGGAGAGCGTCTGAATTCAACTTGATGCATGCAAGCAAAAGCACATCTTCTGCACTCAGCTGGCTGCTTTCATTTAACAATATTGTATGAAGCTCATCGAGAGGGATAAATGGTATCCAGGAGTCCACAACATTGGTGAAATTAAAGACCCATTGTTCTTGCTTGGTTTGATTAGGGCCATAGATGTATTCCAAGATATCTGCACCAACAGCGTCGCTTTCCAGCGAAGGGGGCACCGGAACAGCTTGACTTGAGTCTCCCAAAAACATTGCTGCATTGAATCGAACCCTTTTCGCAACCTCGCTTTCATCTGCCAAGGGTGTGCCTGATACCATTGGCCGCGTAGTGCGGTTAGTATGGCCGTCAATACGATATTCACAGCGATCATGGGTTCTAGCTGAATATTAGAATAAATTTTTATAGCGAAGTTGGCTCCAGCAGACCTTAGGCAGTAGGAACATATCGGATATGCACGGTCGCATTTCTTCTTGCGAGCTCGGCAGTTTTTGCAGGCCAGGGGTGGTTTCATATTGGGCTAAGGGGACGAAAGTGGCCTTACTAAGTAGTTCGTACTGTTCCACCTTGATAGCCCGGAGTTGATTGAACTGCCAGACACCTTAGTCGCGTCACATCAAGGACAACCCTTCAGACTTTCGAATTGTCATCTCCGGGGTGGGCCGTGTCTATCCTGTCTCATTCTCGATGGTGGCACGCAGGGCGGTCAAGCTGGTTGGTTGGTAGTACATTACGCGCTTGAGAGAGCCGATTCCCAGGATACTTTGTGATGTTTCAATATTCCGATAATATTACGCTTCAAAGGCATGTCATAGCACTGCATTTGAGTCTGCAAGAAAATCAGATTTGATATGCCCAGATTTACTGTCAAAATATGCTACTAGTAACAAACACCACTAGGAGACTCCACCCTATCCGCCATTTCAAGTTATTATATACAAACTACTAGTACTACTAGTAGTAGTATTCAATTCTCTTCAAGTCCCAAACCCGTCATATTATCTCCCACGGCTGGTCAAAGTCACCCGGGCGTACGACACACTTTTTCTCTTTGGTCCTAATCGAGAAAATGGCACGCTTCGTTTCTGTCCTATCTACTCCGAGTCCACTTCACTAATTCCCACGGCGGTCCACCTGAAGACGAATTCCTGGCAAACGGCAGGGTTGACCAAGCTATCAATTGAAATTTTGAACGTTCAAAAGAGTGGGATGAAAGTTTTACGACATGTAGCGCATTCCATTGACCCATTCGAACCCAGAGCACATTCTTTGAATCTAAGCCTGCGGCAACATCGGAAGACGGGAAACATTTGGAATAGTATATGATGAAAAAATCTAGTAGAAAACCCATTATTTCTCAGTAGTAAATCATTTGAGGGGTTAACTGTCCATTATACACTACTAGTAGTATGTAGTTGCATATCTATAATTAAAGATCACTGCGACATTCTATTCGGTCAACATTAAAATCTCCTCTCTTCGTACCACGCTCTCATCATATCAGCATTGATGCTACTAGGAACAAGTTGGTCTAGAGTATTGCTAATACCCCTTGTTATAGTCGGATAGAATCATGGGTGAGAAGGCCTCTCGGCAGTCAACCCTTTGGAGGTATCCAAAAGCTTTACAGCGGGGATATCGCTTGCATTTTCAGAGCTAGCTTCAACAACCTCGACCCAGGCGGCCATATCCACAGGCTCTCGGATACGATTATATGCCCATGTTTCTTGGAGAAGGTCTTCACGGACTCTCCAGGATCTTTCCACTATGCGTGGACTGGTTTCACAGTGTGGCGGCATGATTGAATTCCTACAATTTCAAGGACTATCATGGCGACGTCCTCGGATTTTCCATCTACTAACTATATACTACATACTACACTCATTTTTTGCGCCTTTATACCATATCAACCAACTTGAAATTCAAATGGTGTGCATACGTATTGAATCGCTCTTTCCATTCACTCCAGGGCTACTCCCGTGTTCCTTCCATTCCAAGGTTCACTGCGCGTGAACTTGAATGAACCTTGGAATAAAAATGAAAGGCACGAGCGAACGCAAATAAAAAAAATAGATATATAGGTGGGGGACTCTACTGGTATGTAATATTTATAAAGAATATCATGACATACCTGGGTATTTTCAATCCTCTGAATAACCTTGGAAGTGGATGAATGTAAGCCCGGGGTAGGCTAATGTAGTCTCTGCGTCTATTTTCCACCTGAGCAGACTTGAATCCTGACCACCTTGAGGCAGGTCATGGTGCTGTAGAGTCTCCTGAACTAGGAAGAGTCAGTGACCGGGCCGTCGCGTCAATTTTGTGGCGATCAACATTACTTGATCTTGTTCAGAAAGCTGCCATTTGGCGTTCGTCCCAACATCACCATTCGCGTGACATCTCCTGCGCTCTCCATCAATAATAACTCTGTTACCAGCGGGCGTGATCATGGATAAAGTGAGAGCTTCTTGTTCGGAGTGTAGTTGATTTCACTGTCGTGCAAGGCGCCCGGGCGTGTGGCAACAATTTCCACGCTGCAAAACTATATCACACGTTTATACCTAGGTATTAGCGCGTTTTGCGGTGCTCGGGCATATGCGATACTTCTGAAATTAATAATAATTGTTAGTAGTTGAGATATACGCAGACAAAACAATGTGTATTCAAAAGGCTTACCATAGTCAACATGGACAAAGGCTCGAGCAAAGCCTTCGACCGTCTCGAGCTTGTCTTGTAGCTCTTGCGCGATATCATGGACCTCGCGAAGGCTACGATCAGGGTCCATGACAATGTCCACCTCGACAAACAACTCCTCACCCCAATGATATGCATGGACCGAATCCACCTGCAATATCAAATCCGAATGACGAAGAGTAATGAACACGATTTCCTGCACTACGCTGGGCTCAGCTCCTACTCCGCAGAGCTCCAGGAACTCCGAACGAACAGTGCCAACCCAGGTGGCGATGATGACCAAGGCGATGAACATGGCACCGGCCGGATCAACCCACCATTTCAACTTGGCACCAGCCGCAGATGTAAAAATAGCAAATCCATACTCGAAACAGTCGTTACGATTGTCCTCCCAAAGCATCTGCAATTGACTACTATGCTTCCGAAAGATGAAGCAGTAGACAGCCAAGAAGAGCTTGATGCCGAATCCGCACGCGGCGGCAATAATGGCTGCCACGTGGAATGTGCCAAGCTCGTGTTCGGGACTTGCCAGCGCGCGGATCGACTCAACGACCAGCACCAGAGAAACGGCCATCAGGGCAAATGCGAAGCAGATGTTACCGGCATTACAAAGTCTGCTTGCGCCCGCTGGCCACCGGGTCGAATGGTTGAGCTTCTTGGATTTTCTGTGAAGGTAGTCGAGACCGATATTGCTCACTGCCTCGCAGCAGCTCTCTGCCATGGTAACGAAGAGTGACAGTGAGCGTGTCGTCGCAGCTGCATATATTTGCAGTGCTGCGACGAGTATAGTGCCATATATGGAAGTATAGATGGCAGCTTTGATATGAAAAGCTGACGTGCTTGGTTCATCGTCTAATAGTCGTGCTGCAGTTGGATCCTCCGCCACTTGGATGAGTCGGTTGATATGATCGTTTTGTATTGTGTGGTAGGCATTTGCTTTGCGAATTCTCCGATGGATCTGGTTTCTCCATGCTGGTGCGTCTGACGGACTAACGAGGGATCCGCGCAGCCGCTCAAGCTCGATATCGTTTGTCATGGGGTATGTCTCCCGGCGAGTGTCAATCAGGGCTGGGCAACGAGCGAATGGAGGTTGAAAGGGGTTGTGAAGACTTCTTACGCAAGGAAAGAAGCATAACTGTGCCAAGTCGGCAGGAGCTTCTATTATCCGTCCCACGGGGGTTTCCTGTTGATGATTACTCGATTAGCTCACCCAGGGTAGTCCCGCGTATTGGATACGTCTGAATCGTGATTGGTACAAGACCTGCACAATGTGGAGCTGAGGCCTTGACACCAGGAGGTGGGTCCTTTATAAGATTCAATGACAGATTTCCCAAGCTAGTTAGAGGTCCAGCTAGAGAAGATCTCAATGAAGAGAATATGATAAATAAGAAATAGGATTTCCCGAAATTTTTTAATGCGGGATCATGTGACAGGGCACTGGAGTGAGTTGCATTTCTGGGCGGCATGGTTACCGAATTAACGCTTAATATGGGATCGAATCCACCATCTCTTTCGCATCGTGAACATTGTTATTTACTGGTTGTAGCAAGCTTCCGATATAGTTACTTTTCTCCCTCCTTCCTTAATCTTAATTTTAATTTATTTCTTTTGCATTTTTGGTAGATGGCGATTGAGGATAATGTGCCTGCAAAGAATGCGCCGGCCGATATTGGCGGGAGATGTTCATCGATGTTGCCGGGTGAGAGGAGCCTGTGTCGGCTGAGTTGACAGCCTATGCATACCTAGGTATGTAGTGTGTATTCGCACTCGCTGTGTAGCTGCATTGCCTCTTCGAAAAGTCGGACTCATCAATCACCTTGGAAGTGTATAGTTCAGATTGGTAACACTACATTAGGTTAGAGCTTGCCAAGACTGTTTCACCCGAGGTTGTGGGATTCCAAGTGGCAGCCTCGGAGTTTAGGCAGAACTTCAACTTGGACTGCATCGATCGCGCTTTCCCAATTGGGTAGATCTCCAACCCCGTACCCAGCAGTAACTAGTTATACCCGTACCGTACCCAGGTAATTGGAGAGAGTAGATCTTATAGTAGTAATACTATAGTCCGTAAACACAATGTGTGTTTAATTAACACTTAATATTTGACAACCCATGCAGTGCAGAAATGGTAGAACTATAGGCTATAGGCTTTATGCTATATAGTATCTACTAACTCATAGCCGGGATTTCCCCGACCTCTTCCGACAGCCGGCAAAACGAAAAGCGGATCACGTGCCTGGGCATGCTCTGGGGCATTGAGGTGACCATTCCCTGGACGGTGATTGGCCTCGGTCCGACTGCTCGGCAGCTGCACCAACGCAACCCGGGTTAGTCAGCGACAAACTGCCAACCGTGATCCCGAACAGGACTTCCAGGAAGGAGTCTCCCCTTCCAATCCTCTCCGCTCTAGCTAATTCCACCCCCCATCCGGTGTCTCTATATTGTCAGGGTAATTGGAGGTCATCTCTATTTTTTCCTGTCATAATGAGTTCCATCAGCCTGCGGAGCCTTGCTCCCGCCTCCAAGGTTGGTCATCCGCGCGATCTTTTTCGGCCCGAGTGCGCAACTTGAAGACTAACTTGGTCCCGTCGATATACAGGTCTCCCGTGTCTTGAGAGATCAGAGACGTCTCTTCTCCTCCTCGCGCCCCGCCGGTACGCCATTGAACCCATCCCGTCCTCTTCCGCCTCGTCTGGCATCCTAGCTAACACCTTTTTCCCACTCCCATCAGCCCGTATCTGGACCAACGGACCTCTGCGCGCCAAGGAGAACACCAGCTACCTCGCCGAGAAGTATCCGATCATTGTAAGCCGCCATTGCCACAAGAACACCAGATTGTATCGCCATTGAAACAACATCTAACCGGAATCAGGATCACGAGTACGATGCCGTCGTTGTCGGTGCCGGTGGTGCCGGTCTGCGCGCTGCCTTCGGTCTTGCCGAGGCTGGCTTCAAAACCGCCTGTGTGTCCAAGCTGTTCCCTACCAGAAGTCACACTGTCGCCGCCCAGGGTGGTATCAACGCTGCTCTCGGAAAGTACGTCAACCCTACCCAATCGACACCGTAAGCACTGCACGTGCCGAGCTGGAACTAACTGGACCTCTATAGCATGCACGAGGATGACTGGAGATGGCACATGTACGATACCGTGAAGGGTTCGGATTGGCTCGGTGACCAGGATGCGATTCACTACATGACCCGTGAGGCTCCCGCCTCCGTCCGCGAACTGGAGGGCTACGGTTGCCCCTTCTCCCGTACCGAGGATGGCCGTATCTACCAGCGTGCCTTCGGTGGTCAGTCCAAGGACTTCGGCAAGGGTGGCCAGGCCTACCGTTGCTGCGCTGCCGCTGACCGTACCGGTCACGCTCTGCTGCACACTCTCTACGGACAGTCTCTGCGCCACAACACCAACTACTTCATCGAGTACTTCGCTCTCGATCTCCTGATGGAGGACGGCGAGTGCCGCGGTATCATCGCCTACAACCAGGAGGACGGTACCCTGCACCGCTTCAAGGCCCACCAGACCGTTCTGGCCACTGGTGGATACGGACGTGCCTACTTCTCCTGCACTTCCGCCCACACTTGCACTGGTGACGGTATGGCCATGGCTGCCCGTGCTGGTCTCCCCAACCAGGATCTGGAGTTCGTCCAGTTCCACCCTACTGGTATCTACGGTGCTGGCTGCCTGATCACCGAGGGTTCCCGTGGCGAGGGTGGTTACCTGCTCAACTCCGAGGGTGAGCGTTTCATGGAGCGTTACGCTCCCACCGCCAAGGATCTGGCATCCCGTGACGTCGTGTCTCGTTCCATGACCCTTGAGATCCGCGAGGGCCGTGGTGTCGGTCCCGAGAAGGACCACATCTACCTGCAGCTGAGCCACTTGCCCGCCGAGCTGCTCCACGAGCGTCTGCCCGGTATCTCTGAGACCGCCTCTATTTTCGCCGGTGTCGATGTCACCAAGCAGCCCATCCCCGTCCTGCCCACCGTCCACTACAACATGGGTGGTATCCCCACCAAGTACACCGGTGAGGTCTTGACTGTTGATGAGCAGGGTAACGACAAGGTTGTCCCTGGTCTGTTCGCTTGCGGTGAGGCCGCTTCCGTCTCCGTCCACGGTGCCAACCGTCTGGGTGCCAACTCCCTGCTCGATCTGATCGTCTTCGGTCGTGCCGTTTCCCACCGTGTCCGCGACATCTCCACCCCCGGCAAGCCCCACAAGGAGCTGTCCTCCGACGCCGGTGCCCAGTCCATCAAGGATCTTGACTTTGTCCGCAACGCCGATGGCCCCAAGTCCACCAACGATATCCGTCTGGCCATGCAGAAGGCCATGCAGAGCGATGTCTCTGTCTTCCGTACCCAGGAGTCCCTGGATGATGGTGTCAAGCGTGTCAACGAGATTGACACCTGGTACGACCAGGTCGGCACCAAGGACCGCTCCATGATCTGGAACACCGACCTTGTTGAGACTCTCGAGCTCCGCAACCTGCTGACTTGCGCGTAAGTTTCATCTCATATTACTCCAATGTCGATACTTTATGCTAACTTTTCTACAGTACCCAAACCGCCCTGGCTGCCTCCAACCGTAAGGAGTCCCGTGGTGCTCACGCCCGTGAGGACTTCCCCGACCGTGATGACGAGAACTGGATGAAGCACACTCTCACATGGCAGAAGAAGCCCCACGGTGACGTCGAGCTCGGCTACCGTGCTGTTGAGTCTGGTACTCTGGATGAGAACGAGTGCAAGCCCGTTCCTCCCTTCAAGCGTACTTACTAAGCTCTTTTTGAGAGGAGTGCGGTCCGTTTGGGGATCGCGTTGGAAGAATACCACGGATTTGTTTCCGATGCTAATTGAGCAACACACCACCCCGGGCTTGTGCCTTATTTGGGGGTGATCGTGAAAACAGCTCGTGGCGTCGATGGGAGTCCACGAAAAGAGCATGTTTTCTATTTAACTTGTGTTACTTACCATACTGTATAGCCATATTTCTTTTTTTTGTTATCTGACGGCGAAGAGTCGGTGTACTGAGTGTTTTATTTTCTCAGTTGTCTCATATCACTGAATTTCTTTTTTGTTCATCTTGAGTCCTTGTAGCAGGCATTGCCTTTACATTACTTTTCCTGTCTTGCGTTTAAATCCCCACGCTACCGGTTTAGAAGGGTGGCGTAATAACAAAGAGATCGCTTGTCTGACATGTTCTCACAGCCCCGATGGCGACGCTCTTTCTCGGTGTGAGTCTTCATCGATCTAGCATTGCCACATTAAGCCCGCCTGTTCTTAAGTTGGTCACGACTATACAGGGATGCAAGCCCACAAAGACTGTTCTCGAACGAACCATTGATCATGATTGGTTTCCTGCCTCTGGACTGCGGAGTTTCACCTGGGCATAGAACGACATTAAAGAATGTGCTTTCTTTGAATCTTTCAAGAGCCCAGGGCATTCAAAGTGTCATCAATATCTCTCGAGCCATGGCCAACGCAAGCCGTCGATCCGTCTTCTTTCTTGCCCATTCTCGATAAACCCACCGAGCACAGATTTGCTACGCTTGCTGCGGATTTCATATGATACCCTCGATGCTCGTCGTTTAGCGCTTCCACGGCCGAACTCTTCTTTTAGTATACTGGGCTTGCAGCAAGCAGGTAGAAGCTGTACCGACAGCAAACAGTGGTATGTCTGTAGCAAAGGGCCATATACAGGATGTTGCTCAGTTGATCCTTGTACCGACGGTGTCTGCCCGGACGAAGACTCAACCACCACCGCCACCACCAACAATGTCACTACAACCTCGACGGAATCTAAATCGACCTATACGACATCAAAGTCAACATCGACGGCTCTTTCAACCTCGGAGACTACCACTTCATTAGAAGAGACGACTTCTAGCTCCAGTTCTGAGACTACGTCAGAGGCCACCCCAGATACAACTTCAGAGACCATTGCAGATGTTACTTCTAACACTGCGAGTGCCAGTATGCCATCCACGAGCACCAGCACCGCATCTTCAACATCTTCAACCAAATCTGCAGAATCTACAACCGCTTTGACGTCTGTGGCCGGCGCAAGCCAGACAGCAATAAGCACTTCGTCCAGCCATAAAAGTAATGCTGGTATTATAGGCGGCGTTGTGGGCGCGGTGATCGCTGCAATCCTCCTCGCTATATTTCTGTGCTTCTGCATCAAGCGACGTCGTGCAAAAGTCAAAAACACGGTACATCGCTCAGTCTCGAGGCAGTCCCTTCGAGCTCAAGATCACACTCCCACTACAAAGAAAAGTCCCTCGTCATCCGCAACGGGACTGGTAGCAACGGCTAAAGAAAGCCAACACCCAGCCGGTAAGCATAAATTCCCCAGGGCATCAAACTCTCTACGCACAACTCAACTAACGAAACAATATCAGCCTCCCCAGCTTCAAACACAGACGTAACAATATCAAGTCTCGGAAACGACATTTATAACGACTACCCTACAGGACAGCCCTCAAGCCTCTCACTCCTAACTCTCTCGACACTATCAACCTATAACAACAGCCCAACCCCACCCTCAAAATCCAGCACAAGCCTCGCACCACTCATAATCCCCACCAAAACATCTCAACCCCATCCACATCATCCTCCAACCCCACAAGCAGTCAACTACGTCCCCGAGCTCTCCGACACAGGCTTCCGCCGTCAAAGAGCAGAACTACCCGCGCAACCGCAGTCGGAACTAATCAGTCAGCAATGGAACCACATGAATGCTAGCGCGCTTCTATCTGGCCAGCAATTACACGGGGGCCCGAGAGGAGCTTCAGGATATACAGGAAAATATCACCACGCACCAGACGCAGCGAATTCCGAAACGGACTTAATAACACGGACCACGGCGCGGAAGGTCGTAACGAGAGACGGCGTCATTATGGGCGCAAATCTAGATCGAATGTCGAGTATCGATGAAGTTGATGCCGAGACTCCGTCTCAAAGTTCAACTCCCACTGCAACTCCCCGTAGTGCGAAGACGAGCTTGAAGTTCGGTGGGAGATATAAGAAGTCCAGTCGCGGTGGTACGCCTGTTCGGAGTGCAGTTTCAGGCCTGGTTTCGAGCGCAAGTACTCCCAATCAACATGTTATGAGCTTTATGGAGTACGATGCGCCTTCTGAGATGGTTGAGCTTAGGGGGTAGAGGGAGGAGAATGGATGTACATCCGGCCTTTGGGGGATGTCTAGGTTCGGACTCGGAGTCTGAGATGCAAAGTCGAGACCAGATTCGAAGACATTTGAAGGCTCTGGACTCGCGGGACTGTCACGGGGGCGTGGAGATGGATGTGTTTACTGAAGGGCACGTTGGGAGCAGGATTTCGGGAGCCAGTGATATACTGCCTGCCTATGAGTCTGGAGGCTTTTATGAGTATCATGACCGACGTGGGTCGGGTTCTTCTGGGTGGAAGAAAGTTAAGGAGGATGGTTGATGGGCTTACCTCCGAGGTTAAGCTTCAGGATTTACTGCAGAAATCAGCGAATCTCTCTGATTTCGTCAAGTTACATTACTTGGGTCATCTTCTATAATATCTCTTTGTATTTTCCCTACTCACTACTGTTCAAAATCATCAACAAATACTGTAATAAGCCGATATTATCTATCTCGAATATGACAATCACAGCTAGGCTGCGAAATCGGGTGAGATTAAGTACTGCTAGTAGTGATAACTCGTTGTGCATATAGCAATCCCCGTTTAGTACGCCTGCTCCTGAGAACTCGGGATGCTTTCGAGATACTAGTATTTTGCCCAATCTACCAGGGGAAACCAATTGAACAACAGAGATTGACATGGATCTATACCTGAGCCCCTCTTAGTGCACACCATGCGAGGCTATGTAACCTCTTGCCAGGGTCTGTTTTAGTGCCGGTAATGTTACAGTATGGGACTAGTCAAGCCAAACGTGAAATTCTATGCCCCCACGCATCCCCGCCGGAGTTTGATTCGGCGGTGGCAGGGGCTAAAGCCATAAAAGCAAGCGATATGCCTATCTTTGAACCCTCTGAGGTGCCGACTAACCGATGCCGCTTTGAGCCTTATCTCTTGACAGGAATTGGCGGTGGCGGAGCGTTGTTGAGTTAAACCATTACTGATAATATTGTAGAGACGTATACAGTGCAGTGCACTGAAGCTTCCGCTCAGCTTCTTACAAACGAATTTTACGATGAACCTCGTCTCCAATCATCAGTCTGTCTAGAGATATCTCAGGTATACTTTAACTGTTGGCTCTCCGCCTAAGAATTTCGTAAGAGCTATCTGCTCATTCTGACTGCCGCCATGCTCGAGTATCCTCTTTCGATATTTGAGACCGACTTCCTGACTCATTGGATCAGCATGAAAGTTCGACCACCACATGTTGGCTGCCAATATGCGGGTGCTAGATTGGAAGGAAAGTTAGCAATTTAATAGATATCACACAGAGATATAGAAAAACTTACTACAAGTAGGAATAGTAGTTCGCTTCTTGACCCCAAATATAATGAGGTGTCGTCGCATACCCATGCCCCCATTGATAACCATCATCTGGGCCTTGCAGAAGGCTTGTCCTTTGCAAAAGAGAGTTATAAATTTCGGCAATGTCCATCGACTTAATGGCTTCATGGGAGTCTGGACAGTGAATCTTCAAGTCAAAGTTGCTGAACGCGACCTGTCTCATGGTCAAAATGCCCTGATTTATCGACCTTGTCTCGACGAGACTTTCCACGAGGCGTCGAGGGATTTCCTTCGTTGCGCGAGTCGGATGGTTCATAGAAGTGTCGCCCTCATAATCTCCATCAACATCCCGGGATACATAGCTATAATGACAGCTGAGTCGCTGAAGACACTCAGGCACCCAACACCAATATTCTAGCAACTGGCTTGGCGCTTCAACAAAATCTGCAACTGTTCTGTGCCCGTGAAATGTTGCGTACTTGGACCTTCCCAAGAGGTCATGAAAGGCTAAAGCGTGGATTGTCAGTGAGATTCAGAAAGAACACGGGAATTACAACACTTCTCACCATGGCCTAGCTCGTGGAAGAGGGTGATAACCTCGTGATGCTTTAAAAGCGCTGGCTTGTCATGCAAGGGGTGTGCCACATTGCACACCAAAGCTGTACAGACCAAAGGTGGATCCATGCCCACTGGAACAGAGTAGGACTATTGAAGGCAGGTATTAGCAACTTTGCAAGAAGACAAAATCGTTTTGTTCAACTTAAAGTTTCGGCAAAACCTCACATACAGGAAATATGTTGAAATTTGCCGCGTGATTGAATTTCCCTTCACGAAGAAAAATATCTAAATAAAGAAAACCAAAAAAGGTAGATGAAATTCTGTCGTGTACACTGAAGACCTTCACCTCTGGGTGCCAGATATGATCACCTCGATTGCACTTCAAATTTTGAATCTCCAAGCCGAATATTGATTCAAAGACACTGAGCATATGCCGAATCGTGACTTTGGCAGGAAAATACTCTGCAATCAAATCATGATCGACCTGGTAATTGTCTCGTAACATCTTGTCGTGATGATAGTCAAAATCCCAAAGATAGAAGGGGCTCCCGGGGGGGATCTTTAGCGTGCTGCAATGCCTCCAGCTCGGCCTGGGCAATAGGGGACAATTGCACTGAAAGTTCTTCTAGCATATCCTCAACTTGCTGGGGAGATTTCAACAATTTAGACCGGGCTTGTTGATGGGCATATGATTCAAAGCCAAGCAAACGAGCGCCTTCATCTCGAAGAATGACAATCTCTTGAAAGATCTTGATATTTTCGGGAAATATCCTTTGGCTTCGAAGAAAAACCTCCTTTCGGGTTTCAGATCGAACACAGTTAGAGAGGACCGCATTCACGTAGGTCTTTTTTAGCGGTACACCCCTTCGGCCGCTTGATGTGCACAGGGGAAATGCATGGATCTTGTCGGCACCAAGTCCCTCCAAATCTCTCTCTTCCTTCCACATATACCCAGGATCCAAGCTAAGATTCTCCGTGAAGGCAACTCGAAGCTCAACAAGTTGCTTAGAAATCTCGCGAGACCGCTTTTTGTCCTCCCCCTTTAGGCCAAGACCATTATCCATAAAAGTCGAATGAACCTTTGAGAGAAACTTTCGGTCTTCAATTTCCATTTGACTCACATCACACTTCTCATACACAGCATCTACCAATGCAAACAACTTTTCGTCCTGAAAAAGCTCCAAATATGCCGTGTCGACCACACTCACGGCGACAGAGGATGCTTGACGTAACTCCAACGAGGGCGAAACAGCCTGAAAGAATGCCAGAAATTGGACTTTGCTCTTAATATCATTGTCGATAATGGCCATCGATAAGACGACATTTTCAAATGTCGCGTCTCGTGGCGAGACCTTATCGAGAAGTTGCTTTGTCGCTGTCTGAATCCCTTCGATCAAATCCACCGCCATGTGGGTGAGTTGCGATGCACTGACACGGAAAGAAGGCAGTTCTGGTCTTGATGTATCCATTTTTTAAACGTTGGAAAGTCACAGAAATGCGATACATGAACACTGTGCGAATATTCGTAAAAAGTCAGAGAATAAGCTGAAGTGGAGTGTATAGAACATCAGACGGTTATGCCGACGCAAATTCTTGTAGCCTTCAAGTTTGACGACTGCTCCTATGTGGCAGGGCGTCGGTCCCTGGAAAGACCCGAACAACCCCCTCGAATTGTCTGTCCTGTGTACCATTGTAACCGTGTCATCGTTTCTTTGTAACGCCATCGTCAGAGATAATATCCTGACAATACCATTTCCATCTCAAATACAAGCGCCAGCATCGCGTTTCTTATTATACTAATCATCCATCATAATGCTATAGTATGCAACAAACACTTTCATAATCTTCAAATCATTTCTCATTTTGTCTAACCGAAATACAATACCACAAGGTATCAAATCCGCAATGCTAATCCTTTCATCATGTACTTTTATACCAAGTTAAACCCGCACACTCCGCCAATCCCAATCCATTCAGACCTATGCAAACTCAGAAAATCAGAGCAACTTGCGCAGAACGCCAGTCTGCTCCAGAACAGCACGCTTGCTAGTACCGCCAATAGCATCCTTCAGCTCAACAGCACGCTCATAGTCCATGCAAGTCGTGACATCGTCACCAAAGCGAGCATCAATAGCCTTAAGCTGCTCCAGCGAGAGCTTGTCCATGGGGATACCAGTGTTCTCGGCGAGCGCGACGACACGACCGGAGATGTGATGGCCCTCGCGGAAGGGGACGCCCTTGCGGACGAGGTAATCGGCGATCTCGGTGGCAAGCATCTCGGGGGCCAGGGCGGCGGTCATCTTCTCTGGGATGGTGGTGAGGGTGGACAGGACGCCGGTGGCGATTTGGATACTGTCGCTGACAGTCTTGATGTGGTCGAGCAGGGGCTCGATGCTCTCCTGCAGATCCTTGTTATAGGTAGTAGGCAGGCCCTTGATGGTCATCATCAGACCGGCCATTTGGCCGAAGGCACGACCGGACTTTCCGCGGAGCAATTCCAGGGAGTCTATGAAGAGAGAGTATATTAGTATATTGACATGGTCTTAATTAAATATGACAATGGTTGAAACTCACCGGCGTTCTTCTTCTGGGGCATCAGCGAGGAACCGGTCGAGTATGCGTCAGACAGGCGGACGAAACCGAATTCCAGACTGCTGTAGATAATCAAATCCTCAGCCCAGCGGGAGATCTTCAGCATGAAAGAGCTACCCCACTGCATGGTCTCCATAGCGAAGTCACGGTCACCGACAGTGTTCATGGAGTTGTACAGCAGATCATCGAAGCCGAGCTCCTTGGCCATAGCGTGACGGTCAATCTGGAAGGGGTTACCAGCGAGAGCACCACAGCCGAGAGGGCTACGGTTAACACGAGCAATGACCTCGCGCAGACGCTGCAGCTCACTAGCGAAAGCAGTAGCGTGCGACAGCATCCAGTGGGACCAGCGGACGGGTTGGGCCTTCTGGAGGTGGGTGTAGCCGGGCATCAGGATGTCAATGTCCTTCTCGGAGCGGGCGATAGAGACCTTAATGAGGTCGCAGAGGTGGGAGTCGAGAATGCGCAACTCATCGCGCAGCCAGAGACGCATGTCGGTAGCGACCTGCTCATTGCGCGAGCGGCCGGTGTGCAGCTTGCCGCCAATCTCCTTGCCAATGATCTCGCTCAGTCGGCGCTCGTTGGCGGTATGGATATCCTCGTCGTTCTCCTTGGCTTCGAAGGTGTTAGTGCTCCATTCCTGGGCAATCTGCACGAAACCGCGCTCGATCTCGGCGAACTCTTGCGGGGTCAGGATGCCGTTGTTCATGTTGGCGCGGGCGAAGGCAATTGAGCCGGCAATGTCTTGCTTCCACATGATGCGGTCAAATGGCAGGGACATGTTGTACTGCATCATGAGGGGGTCGATGCCCTCTGTGGTTCGAATATTTTGGTTAGCATGTTATGAGTCAATGCGGTGGGAATTGATTGGGGAGATGCGCGTGGGAGAAGGACAGGGAGAGGGTCAAGATAAAGCTTACCGGTGAAACGACCTCCCCATAGCATGTTCTCGGCGACTCCTTTGGGATTGCTCATTTTGACGGATGTGTGTAATTGGGAAGGAAAGAGAAAGTGGGATGGGATGTTGAGGGCAAATGGCGGAGGCGGAGAGCGGATGATTGCAGGTGAATCATTGGGTCGCCGATAGTCGGCCCACTAACCCTAATTGGGAAAGGACTGTGTACGGAGTACTTGACTAGATTACTATCTACATTCGATTTACAGCCATGTCAAAGAGAATAAAGGGGATTTAACTATTGCACTAGTAGATGTATTGGTAATTTACTCTCGAGGTGCTGAATCGTATTGGTACAGTCTTAGCTAGCTGGTTGGCCTGACGGCATACTTCACTCCTTTCCTAAGAACCCTAGGAAGCCATTTTCCAAGATTATCAGTGAAGGTCCTCAAGATATAGGACTTCGACATTGTGGTCTACGAAGTAAAGCAGAGAATAAAATGAATGGGAGATAAACAGTGAATTTAAAGATCCAATGCTGGTGGTATGTACAGGTCATGCGTATATGAATTTGGAAAAAATGGCCCCCAACGGACCGGACGGCAAAAGAAAGGCCTCAAGACGACCGATGACCGAAAATCAAAAGATGCCCAGAAATCGAAGGGAGGCGTTGTCAACAGGGAGCCACGAAAGCGAATATGGTGGCTGTGGGGAGCAGGGGTGTAAACGATAGTCGAGAAAGGGAGAGACAAGAGGGAGATAGAGCGAGAGAGATATATAGGAAGACAGAAATGGAGAGAAGAGTCATTAAGATACCCAAGTCCGAACGAACGCCCCACGAAAGCGAAAACAAGAAAGTCTCATCCATTCATGGCTGCGCCGGGACTGGAATCGCAGGAGGTGGGCTCGCAGAACCCGTTCATAGCAGAAAAGGAAACGATTGCAGAGAGAAGAAAAAGGACGGGCCAAGCTACTAGCTGACCTGGCGATATCCGCTGTTTCTCCATTCAGTCTGCTTCCAGTCGTTCTGGAAGTTCTGGGCATCGGTGCGCTCGTTGGCGTAGCGAGCGTCGTCGAGGGCGTATTCGAGACGGCCCTTGCGGCGCTGACGGAGACACCAGAGCATGAATCCTGCAATGAGGAGGACACCGGCGGCCGAGGCGCCGACATACACGCCGACGTGGGCGCCAGTGCCGAGATCGTCCCACTTCTCAGCTAGGGACTTCTTGGGGGGGTTTGTTCAGCTCGTCCAGGGTAGTTGAGTTGCCATCGGCTACCTTGATGCTTTGCCAGTCGCCAGTTTTGTCGCCGTATGTGTATTCCTTGCCTGTGTGGAAATCCTGGATGCGAACCTTTCCAACGGTCATGGTGAAGGGAGCATCATCGTAGTTGACAAGACCACCGGCCCAGTCGACAGTTCCCTGGGCGGCTTCTTTAGTACCGGCGGGCCAATTGCTGACCTTGACCCGACAGGGAGTCTGGGGATAGTTCTTGCCGCCGAGAGTGCCCTTATCATCGTACTTAAGGGTGCGGACGAGCTCGTTGTCGATATACCACTCCAACTTATACTGGTCCCAGTAGGTGGTGTAGTTGTGGAATTCGGAATCGGCGTTGGCGACATTGTGGAAGGCACCGCGGTCGAAGGTGGAGTCGTTACCTTTGCCGAAGAAGTTGGTCTGCACGGAGGAGGTGTTGTAACCGACCCATTCCCAATCAATCTCGTCCAGGTCATCGGACTCTAGAACAACACTGCTAACGATACCGGCACCCTTGGCCATTTTGACCCAAGATTCGACAACTCCGAAGAAGATGTAAAAGTTGGATTGCAGCAGAGTGGACGCATTGACGGCTTCGATGGTGAATTCAGCGCCATCATCGACGTAGTTGATTGAGCCGGTGCTCATGTTCCAGATAGTGCTGTCGAGGGTTTCATTAAAGTACCAGGTGTGTTCGGTGCCGAGGGCCGAGTCTGCTGGACAACCGTCTCTCTTTGTGGGATCGCAGTCGCTGTGTGTCTGGGCGGCGGCCGATCCGGCCAGGGCCGCGAGGGCGATGAGGTTGAAAGCCTTCATAGTGATGTCTCTGGTTCTTCTTTTTGGTGAATCAATTGATAGTCTCGCGTTTGGTTATTGTTTGTATGGTTTTTTTTTTGGTTTGTCGTGTGTTTGTTTCTCTCTCTCCGTCGATTCCCGAAAGAATACAGCACAGGCAATCCGATAGCAAGGAATGGATACGAGGACGAGCCTCGATAGATCCTACAGGGTATTACCTGTAGGTTTAAGGAAAGGATGGGCGAAAGGTCGCACCGGGTAAGGATTGGAAGGAGAGCCTGTGGTATAATTGAGAAAGAGAGGATGGAAGAAAGAAGGTCTCGAAGGCATCTCGGGGGGGGATCACGCCAGGGACCAGGGACCAGGGACCAGCATCCACCTACATCCACCGCGCCACCCATTGGAGGACCCTCAATTAGCCCTTAGTGCAGGGCCCTTTTGACTTTGAAAGCTGGGCAAGTGGCCGCAGTGGACGGTAAGGGGAAGTCTGCACGGCGATTGTTTTGTGACTAGCCCCAAATGAGAGACAGTGGGTCACTGTGGTACATCCTCTAAACCACAAATGGGAATAGCTTCAGCTGGGCAGCAGCCCCGTGCCTGGGCCTAAACCGAATATGTCGATGGCGGCCGGACCCGTTTCTGCACAACCATTGGAACTGGAGCTGGTAACTCTGGGGATTCATTGGGCCATGATAAGAGATCAAGGATCAGCATGGTCAACTGCCGGGAGTGGCACGAACTTGATTTGAAGAGTTGTGTGTTGGAGTGGGATTGGCTGAGAGTGTGTGAGGAGAGAAGTGAGAGATGAGAGATGACTGGAAGGTGGAAGGTGCAAGTGTGTGTTGTGCTTGTGTGATGGACCAATCTAGATTTTCCCCCTTTCAACTTCTGCACTGCGCAACTGCACTGTAGACTCCCTATCTTCCTTTCAAAACACACACCCTTTTTTTGTTTTTCTTTTTTCGTCTTTCTTATTTCTTCTTTTATTTTCCGGTTTTGATCGCCCCGCCAGTCTCCAGTCTCATTTCCTGTTGGAACCCGCGGGTCCCTTCAATGTGGGTTTCCGGTGGGGTTGGGTTCACTTGAGGTTTTCCCCTGAATTTTTGGTCATGATCATCATACAGATGCTTTTTTTTTCATTTACGGTACGGAGTACCGTCGCTAATCATTCAACCAGAGCCAACCTATCCCATTGATTCCGGGGTATCTACGGAGTATCCATACTTATATACTTATGAAACTCCATCCACCGGGTACAGAGTATGCCCTTTTCATCCACACAAATGGTATTTTGTGGCGTCAACCGTTACGACCACCCTGTAACCCCGATTAAATCCCTCGAGGCCAAGTATTTCCAAGTATTTGTGGAGGTTTGGCTGTGTCACTTACACGCGTCACACTCAGGGGTACATCTGCGGCTGCAGCTGTCGACAAGTTGGCATTGCTTGGCCGGACCAAAATTGCGTACTTACATAGTTCTATCTCTCCGGATTCCCCAAGTCGCAACACCGAATGTTTACTGTAGCTCGAGGTGAGATTGATTCACTCGAGGTCCCTTCAAAGACCGTGACGTGTGTGGGCTCCTCCTCGTAGCGGCCCCGGGTGGGTTACGGACTACGGCATCCATCGCGACTATTGACCTAGCGTACGATGTGGCGTCCCAAGGGTCTTTTCTAAAAAAAGGAATATCAAATCATTCATTATCGTAATCGTGCACTCATAATTCACAACATATTAATAGCCATCATGATCTTATTTCGTCCAAAATCATCATCACCGTGGCGGTCGTAGCGACATATCCGCAATCCCGAACGCCTTCATGATTGATTGCATCAAGATCCATCTCAAAAATCCAAGAGAGAAGGAAAAGAAACCCTACTACCAAAGTAATTGATCTCGGCCCCTTTTATTCTGTCACATAAATCTTCGCCGGTCGCCGCACGTCGTCGGTGTAGTACTCCTCGCGATGCCGTCTTGACGAGCTGCGCCTCGGCTTCTCGATATAATCCACTCGAGGTTCACGACTGCGGCGTCTGCGACCCGATCGAGTTACTGGTGGTCGATATCCGACATCGGGCTCGCCTCCTCCACTAAAGGCACCAGGAAGACTGAAGATTCGCCACAGCCAAAGGACTAGCAGCGTTCCGGCGATCGAACCGATGACGATGCCGGCGATGGCGCCGCCAGAAATGGTACTGGGGCAGCCATCTGGGGCGCGCGGAGCGAGGTGATTCACGGGGGCCTAGTCGTGGTTAGCAAATTGAATATAGTAATGGATGGAAATAGAGATTGAAGGCGATATATTGGATGATTATATCAAATATTGGACACTGGTGAGCCGTGGTTGAGCCAGCGGGCCGACAACGTACCATTGGAACTACCCCAGATTTGCAACTATAGCTTATTGATTTTGATCACAGATAAAGTACCAGGATCTAAAATCAATTCAATTAATCAGCGATTAGCTGAATGAGGCCGAGGTTGGATGGGGTGGATGAATCGCAGATGTAGTAGTAATGTTGTGGCTGGGAACCGCCAGCGAGGGAAAAAGGAAAGGAAAACCAAAGAAGAAAGTGAATGAGTCTCAGAAACAGCAGTCGCTTTATAACCAAGGAGAATATTATTAACGGCTCATAATTGCACAATCTAGTACAGACCAAGCCTTCTAAGACTGATACTAACTACTCCAGTCCATATTGTACTGTTGCCCTCCTCTCCCCGCGCTGACGTCAAAACCAGCCCCTCCGGGCAACAAACCTGCATTTCCTCGCCCCCAATTGTCTACCATTGGCCGTTCCAGCGTTCTTCTCGATTGGAATTTGCTATCCCGTCTCCGCTTTTGATTTGAATGGACCGAGGCGCAAACAAAGATACATAGACATGCAGGTTGGCGCGCATACAGGCGGGGCTATGTCATGATGTGCGGGCATCATGCCACTAGGATGCATTGAACCTCTATCCCATCTCAAAGGGGAAATTCCATTCCATCCCACTGATCAATACGGAGGATCCTACTTGTTTAGCTGCACATGGCCCGGTGAAGGAGGAACATTTCCCGTCTCCCACTCTGTCGCCTCTTTCCCGAGCTCAAACTCAATCGTCCCGCCATTAACCATCACATCCTCATGCTCGAACCAGTTCTTTGTCCACGATTTCCCATTGATCTGCACTCCTTGTACGAAATATCCCTCATCAAGCCCGGTCGCTTTAATTCGCAAGTTCTTGTCTCCGTTGATAGTCATATTCAAGTCTGGGAACCATGGCGATGACAGCAGGTAGACTGGTTGAGTGACGATGGGATAAATCCCCAACATCTGCCACAACAACCAGGAGTTCATAGCTCCGGCGTCGCTGTTTCCAGGGATTCCGTACGCAGCGTCTTTGAAACTGTGTTTTGCTTTATGTGAGTAACAGGTTCTCTTTGTCTCCCTTTCAGGCTAGATCCTTGCAGGATGCGATGCAAACATACTATTGGTTGGCGAGGCTGCGGGATTGCATCACGCTCTTGGCCTGTTTGTTGATGTAGTTATACAGGTAGGGTGTGGCGAAGTCCGGCTCATTACTGGATGTGATTGTAGCATTAGCATCGATCTTGTCTCAAGTTATGTTGCTCGTTTGTCAACAGCTGCAGTCCAACTCACCCGATATTGATTAGTGTTGTGATGCCAGCGCCATTGGCTCCGAGATCCTGGACAGAGGTGTTGGGTTTGAACTACTCCAGGTTAGAATTATAACAGCAAAAATCTTCCATCCTACTGAGATAGAAGGTAGGTGGCTACTCACCATCATATCCAATCGCTTCTCAAAGGTCTCCTCCCCACCCATCAACTTGATCAGCGTCTTCACATCATGCGGGATCACAAACGAATATTCTGCCACTCTCATTAGCATAACCCACCTGAGCAACCACCTTCAAGTTGCAATAAACAAAGCAAAACCCAAAGAAAAATCAAACAACTCACCCCAAGGAATCCCCTCATAGCTCACATCCGACCACTCACACCCCCCACACAAAAGCGGATCAAACGAACCATTAAACCTCCCATCCGCCAGCCTCGGCGCCAAAAACCCCTCAAACCCAAGACTCTGAACCTTCTCATCCCAAATATTCTGCCACCCAGCAGACCGATTCAAATACTTCTCCACATCCGCAGGACTCTCACCCTGGGCCACCTGCGCCACTGCAAAATCATTGAGACTATACTCGACCGTCCGCGATATACACCGCGTGTTCCGGTCATACGAGACGTAGCCCAGCTCCTTCCAGTCATCCAGCGCTCCACGTCCTTCTTTTGTGCTGGCTGTGAAGTCCGTTGGATCGAAGGTATTGTACGGTGTGACCTCTGCGTCTTTCACCATCGCTGCGTAGCCCTCGGTCCAATTGATTCCACCGCGCAGACCCTTCACGTACGCGTCTGCGAGAACGTTGTCTGCGTCAGACCCGCCTTGTACAAGTCCGTTCCAGTTTCCTGATCGGCCATCTGGCATAAATCCTGCGTGTCTGGTAGAGTGATTCATTGGGTTAGCTTGGAGCTGGCTAGTTGGTTGATTGATTGATTGGCCAGCCCGTGAATTGTTTCACTTACTTCCAGATATCGATTAACCCACGAATCATAGATTCGTAATACTTTGGCTGGAAAATGTGATAAAAGCTAACAGTGCAGCGGAAAATATCCCCTAGAATAATATCCCGGTTAGATTGATAAAATGGAATGCGAGCGCCGCATGGCATAGAAGGATCGTTAAAAACTCACACATCGTATAAAAGTCATCCCAGTATGGCTCGCCGGAATCCCAGAGCGGATTCTCACCGGTCCGGTCAGATGGCATTAAATGCATGAAATATAGAGAGCTGTAGAGGAGTCTGACGTGGGTCATATTGGCCGAGTCATCGATCGGAACCTGGATCTTATTGAAAACGTCCCGGTTCCATTCATCGACAGCATCCGCGACGGTGTCATTCAATTTCCAGGATGGAATCTCTTTTTTGATATATGACTGCGCTCGGTCAATTGACATGGAGGAAATACCAACGCGCGAAGTAATCTGCGAGGCAGGGCCATCCTTCCAGCTGAAAAGCACGCCGATACGGTTGTTCATCGGTCCGGAAGTGACCTTGTCAGTTTGATTACCGAACTCAGGCTCGCTGATTCCTCCGTTTGCGAGATTCTGATAGCGTGGCATTGGGTCGGTGTTTGGTCCGGAGAATGTCTGCGCCTGCTGCGGCTGGTGATTGAACTCTCCGTAGAAGTAGACTGTAAATGGTGCGCCTGGTTTGTGTACTGTTAGTTGAAGCATAGAGATAGATCGCTTCAGTTATGCTAAAAACGAACCGTTATTCCAGCCACCAACATATGTCCCATATCCACGGTAGGACTTGCCATCTTCCTCAATCTGGATTTCGCCTCCCGCAAATAATTGGCCGCCGGTATCACCGGGGGAGGCAGGTAGGTACTAGTTAATGATAAGTCGGAATCCTCGCTAAAGACACAGAAAACTAGGCTCACGTGTGATAAATCAACCAGAATGTGTTTCTCTCCTTTGGGAAACGAATATTCCATAATGCCAGCATGTCGCGATGCAGAGAGCTCAGCTTCAACGCCACTCTGCAATCGCGTTTTGTAATATCCCACGCTAGCAATATCTTTCCCAACCTGCAATAATCAAATCTCCAGTTAGCAGCCATTCGATATATGAGTGTACTCATCCACACACCCGCCTGGGCAGTAGTACAGAATCCGAAAAAGAAAGGAGGCTATAACAACTCACTCTTTGCTGACTATAAGTCATATTATCCAAAACATTGACATCCTCCAGGGAGGCCAGTGGCATTTGCGCAATCAATCCATACTTCGGCGCACCTCCCGTTCCACTTTCATGCATCATACTAAACCCCGTCACATTGCCATCAGGAGTCCAGCCACCATTCAACACGGCTGTAGACCAATTCGCCGCCGTAGAATCAATGCCCACCTTCGCGACGCCGAATGGCCGCGCCCCACCAACGAAGATATCGCCGCCGCCGAATCCAGTTCCATCGGGACCTTCAGATCCGATGAACGGGTTCACATACTGTGAGAGGCCCGGGTTAGATTTCGAGTCTTGGAGACCTAGCGCAGGGGTGATGCTGTGTAATAAGCTCGCCAGCGCGAGAGTCGAGCCGAGACGCATTGTTTGGAATTGTCCTCGTTTGGACAGAGGCGTCGGAAGTGGGATATAAGTCGAACCTTTGGTGGAAGTTAGGTCATTCCCGCCGACTGGATGATCTGCGCAGTACGAATGAAAAGAAAGAGGTGAGGGCCGTGCTGTGTCTTATACATTCCAGATCATCTCCATCTCCATTCTGATCCCCAGCCCCAGCCACAGCTTAACCCAGCCCTGTGCTGTCCGCAGTGTAACCCCGACCCCCAAGACCGAGAACTCCGTGCTCGAATTGGATCTCTGGTTTATCATTTCCTTGCTAGGAAGATCTTCCAGGTATAGAGGTGGATTTGCGGGAATGCTTACCCCGCTTCGACGTCCGACTCATTGATGCGGTTACTACCAGTGGACATGAAGCGTGGGGTTTAGAGGCGGCCAGTGGTGCTGTGACATATTGATCAGCAGTTGGGGAATGTAACGCTTGATGGGCTTTAGTGCAGTGTGTCCAGACTTGGGTGGGGATTGCTGTGGGGTGGTGGAAGCTTGAGGGATGATCTATGGCGCTGTATAGCCGTAAGCGCGTCAGTAAAGGCAGAAAAAGGGACAGCCACACCCGCGACCCAACTTTACGTACGTTTCTCATACAAATTTGGACCCAGCTGATACGCTTAATTCCTACGCTTTCTGGCATTATATTTCCCGCGGAAACTACAGTCGTCGATGGACCCGGGCCGCGTCACGGTGCCCATGGTGAATCGGACCTACAGTAGGAAGTGAAGTCAGGGATGGCTGCATTTACCGCCCTGGATCAAAGGAAGGCAAGAACATATAAAATGAATTTCAAGTTGTTTATTTTTCTAACTCTCCCAGGATAATCCTATCTTTTATTCCCTTCAAGCGGTAATATCACATGGCAGCGAGCCACAGCAGTAACCATGCCCAGAGTTCAGAGCACCCTGGAAATCAATATTATGACAGCCGTCGCTGGTTCGCCACACCAATGCACCAAACCCGTATCCACCAGGGCTGGTCTCCTCAAAGCTGGGATATATTAGTACCTAGTATTCCCGAGGTCCTTGTGCTCATATTAGAGCCCTGGAGTTGGAGTGGATAGACGGCTTACTTGGCCCAACATTCCGAGGTAGCACAATTATTGAAACCCCCATAAACATTTGCAGCGTAGGTAGATCCAGTAGTGTAGTCAGTCAGATAGATGGTCTGATAGACATACCCAGGACTATTCGGGTTCTCGATATAGCCGGAGGCGGCGAGCTGGCCGTGAAAGGCACTAACGTGACCAGCCAACAATGAGGCACCAAGGAGACTTAGGAACTTCATCTTGAAGCTATCGGCGAGTCAGATCAGAGAAAAGTTGAAATATCTGAAGAGTGATGGGCGGTGGATCTAAATCCTGAAATTATGGAATCGTGTCCCTTATATCCTCTTCACTTGTGTCTCATTCCCTACGGTGTAGTCACTTCGAGCTTAGTTAGCGCGGGGAACAAAACACCGCGGTTTCAATTCATTCTGTACTAATTTCTCACATAATCCCTAGATAAGGATGGCTTCCTTAATTAAATTGACGTAGGAAGTAACACTATTAATAATAAGGTAGTAGCAATCAATTTTTAGGGCTATTTCCCCACATAATGGTGATTAATGCCAGCGTCAACGTGCTTAGCGTTTTTCTTTCGTGTTCAGTAGTTAAAATTGAATTTGTGAGATTGGCAAAAGGGAAGAGCTTTACTTGCCGGTTCAGATTGAAAACTCATTTTGAGCAGCCTTTTGACGGCGGCAATTACGGTCCTAAACTCTACACAATCCTTTATGCGTTAGACTGAATAATTGCTGCTTATTTGAGAGACAGGCTAAGGTTCCACTCTGCCTTATAAAATAAGCGAGTCGACCCACAATCCGATAAAACAGATAACCGTAATAATCAGATTGACACGTTCAGCCGCATGCCTGTCTACACATACTTAAAGCGGATTAGCCGCGATGCACAGTAACTGGTGGCGTCAGAGTCCTATGAGCTAAGAGCTCTTGGTATCATTAAAGCATGATGAGTGAATTAGATTCAATTGGCGAATTCAGTGTTCGATTCAGGCCGTACCAGTCTAAAAGAAATGAAATTGAATATTTAATGACAGGGGTGAACCGGTCCCCTCTCTCTTACCCTCCCTCCCCATCAATGGCTTCGAGACGGAGAGACATGGCAAATGCTACACCGTATGATTGCCCCAGGGTTCCGACCCTCATATATCAGGTCAATTATGCCGGTCACTTCCGAACAGACGATGGCATTTTCCTTTCCAGCTCTGACAACCTACGCATCAAGCGGCGAGGCCTTTTCAATGGAGAAGGTGGCGGCACAGCTAATATTCAGTATCATCAGCAAATGATCATGGGTGGATCCCTGTCCAAGCAGAATCAAAGCGAGCTGCTCTATGATATCGATCGGATCCTGGATTGTGCTCAGTCAATAGCCATCGCAGGCGGTACGAACCCGGTGACTAAGTGGTTTAAATAGCGGAGGGAGAGAAAAGCGGTAAAGAGAATAGATGATTCCTTGCGCTTCTTCATTCAAGAGCGTCATTTGGCTCACAGTGATGAAAGCTTCGACAGCTCTCAAGGCATGGGTATCTTGGATCAGATGATTTCTGAAATGAATTCTCAAAACTCGGGCAAACGGGGCAGGACCTCTGTTCAAGTTCTTATTGACAAGTAAGTGCTACGAAACGGAGACCTAGAAGTCAAACCACTGGCAACTTTCTATCCATCGGGACTTGGCTGACAGATTTCTTCAATATAAAGGCCCTTCTCATTGGTGGCTACGGAACAACAACCGATACACTTTGCGTATGGACATACCATAGAATTTCTTTTCTCCCTTCCATTCGCACTCGCTGATACTAAAAAGTGTGTGTTCATCATGCTCCCTTTCCATCCGAATGTGCTGGCAAGACTCCGGCGGGAGTATAGCCAGGTTTTCGATGCCGATCTAATTAGAACGCAAGAGCTTCTACGAACCACGCCACAAAACACAAAGGAGCTATTATACACGACTGCAGTAATCAAGGAAACCCTCCGGCTTTTCCCTGCCGGTTTCAGCGCTCGGAAGGCAAAACCTGGGTAAATCTATTATAGGGCAATCGCCTTTATCTCTACTCTCAACGAGGGATCCGAGTGATTTCTGACAAGTGACTAACTACCCCACAGAATCGACACACTCCAGTATAAGGGAAAGTCCTACCCAACCTCCAACCGACAAATCATTCCCTGCACACATGCCATCCACTTCAATCCAGAGATCTTCCCTCAACCCTCATCTTTCGATCCAGAGAGATTCCTGGAACCTAATAAGGTTCCTCGAGGCGCTTGGCGTTCCTTTGAACGCGGGGCTCGGGCATGTCTCGCCAAGAGCTGGCAATGGAGAAGCTTCAAATTGTTCTCTTTTTGATAGTCCGGGCTTTTGATCTAGAGTGCGCATCTGTCGGACCACGAAAGACGCCTAGGGCTCCGTTCACGGACTTGGATCTGTTGATGGGCGACCTGGTATTCCAAGAGATGGCGCTGTCTGCCAAACCGCGAGGAGGAACGATGATGAGAGTGACCCTTGCTAAATGACTCAGGGTAATTATGTACTACCGGTTTCATGTTTCGTAGGTCACCGTTCTTGTCGCTCAACCCGAGCCTTGGAGATAAGCGGCAGTAAGCTGTGGTGATTGAGGATCTTCGGTTCTCGGCTAGTACTACGGAAAGCCTTCTAGAACCTTAGCTCGTGCAGAATCTTCCATTTCTTTTCTGTTACCTTCATTTTTATAAGAATTTCTAGGGTTTTCGCAGAAAATTATGGACATCCGTGACCTAAACATGGAAGGCTTTCGTGTATAGTACATGAGTCCGGACAAGCTGTGGATGAGTTAATACGGCAATTCGGGGCCAAAGCCGCTCCGAGTTCCAATTGCCACGGCCTCTGCCACCATTAGCAAGACAGTGATAGTCGCCCTAGCTGTCTAAGAGCAAATGAGCATTATGAGATGGACCGGAGCCTTTTTAGTATCAGTATTTTTCATCGCTAATTTTACTGCCTTCCAAGGTTTCTGGCTGTGTGTAAACTCCCTACTATCGTGTCCCACGCTAGGCTTGCAGAGTGATAAGTTACACTTAGACAGGGATTATCGAGTGACCCACTTTCACTTGTGTTTTGTGTAGTAATTCGGTTTCTTTGGCAGTTGAGTGGTCATAATACGGGGCATTGGAGCAATACCTGGGGTACTCCAACCTTCCCCGGTAGTTTGTGGGGATACTCCGCATTTCGGACGTGCCCCGGTGGAAGCTAATTCTTTTGCTCTCCCTCCGAGCCGTGATGGCTAAGGTTTTTGGGATTCACCCGGGTAAGCTCACAGCCCAAAGATGTGATCAAGTTCCGTCGGCAGTGGTCCAAAGTTCCTTTATAACACGAATTCCCACGGGTCATCATTGCAAACACAGAACCTCCCCTACATCCGTCCTTGTCGCTCTATTCCTCACGATGAAGAACCCCTTTGCCCGGTCCTCGCGAAGTGGTGATGATGGCCCATCAGAAATATATGGATATCGCATTTATATGCTTGCGTTGTCGGCAACATGGGTAGGAGCCCTGGAGCCATGGAGTTCTGCTGAAAATTCAAAGGTCTGATTGAAGTTATTGACCTGCTAACATGAGTTTCTCATAGGCATCCGCAATGTATGGCTATGACTCTGCTTTCATTGGAGGAACACTAGAGTTACCGTCCTTTAAAACTTCCTTCGGTCTGAATGCGAGCGATTCGACCTCGCTTTCATCCAATGTTGTGTCGATGTTCCAGGCGGGTGCATTCTTTGGTGCCATCTGCGGATTCTTTTTCGCCGAGTATTTTGGTCGTAAGCCTGTCATTCTGGGCTCGGGTGTCATTTTCGCTATCGGTGCTGCTGTTCAGCTAATAGGGAAAATATCGGCGCTCTATGTCGGTCGAATTTTCACTGGGCTAGGAATAGGGTAAGGCTTCTCTGTCACGGTGGTTTATCATATTCCTAACCGAAGTTAACTCCAAATCTTTTGAATAGCGCATCGTCAACCATCATTCCCATTTATATTGCTGAATGTTCCCCGGCTCTCATTCGCGGGCGTTTAGTTGGAATTTTTGAGATCATGCTACAGATCGCACTCGTTTTCGGATTTTGGATCAATTACGGCGTCAACAAGAACATCTCGAGCACAAGCCCTACACAATGGAGAATCCCGGTGGGTATACAGCTCGTTCCGGCCGGCCTACTATTGATCTGCATGCCATGGATGATTGAAAGTCCGCGCTGGCTTGCCAGCAAGGACCAAATCGTCAAAGCCCAAAGGCATCTGGCTTGGGTCCGTCATCTCCCACTGGACCACCCCTATGTGGTCAATGAGTTGGCTGAGGTACAAGCTGCTGTCAGTCAAGAGCTCGAGTTCGGTGGAGAAAAACGTACTTTAGTCCAAATTTTGCACGAATGTGCTGCTCCTGGCGTTCGGAACCGAATTTTCATCGCAGTTATGCTGATGCTTCTACAAAATCTTACCGGGTATGCATTGCGCATTTCGATTTCTTTCGAACGCATTCTAATTTTTGCTCTAGAATCAATGCTATCAATTACTATAGTCCTACTATTTTCCGCTCTGTAAGATATCGACTCTCATCGGCCAACCTACCGGTCTTGTGGAAATAGCACTTACCATCATATCAATCCTAGATTGGGTTCACCGGGACTTCTGTGGGACTGCTAGCCACTGGAGTCTACGGACTTGTAAAAATGGCCACGACAGCTGTTTTCATGGTGTTTATCGTGGATCGCTTCGGACGTCGCGGGCCTTTGCTTGTGGGTGCAGTTGGTGCTGGGGTGGCAATGTTCTACTTGGCCATCTATTCCCAGCTCAGCCAATCCTTTGACCGCGTTCCACCTAGCAATTCCGGATCCCACGCTGCAGTGGCAATGATCTACATTTATGCCATTTTCTACGGCTTTTCCTGGAATGGAATCCCTTGGATCTTTGCATCCGAAGTCCTTCCCACCCGTGTGCGGACCATCGGCATGATGTGCGCTGTGTGCATGCAATGGTTGGCCCAGTTCATGATTGTCTACTCGCTGCCTCACATGGTGGCTACTATCAAGTACGGTACGTTCTATTTCTTCGGAGCATGCACCGTTAGTGCTTTTGTATTTGCATATCTATTTGTTCCGGAAACAAAGGGTGTACCTTTGGAGGATATGGGCGGTTTGTTCGGACCAAATGTTAGTATCTTGGCTGTCAAAGCCCAAGATAATTACCAGGAATTCCGACGATCGACGACAATGGCAGCTACTGAGGCTGAACAGGAGAAGCAGGGTAGCCTTCATGTGGAGAATGCGTGAATTTATTGCGTCGCAGCGTGCGACAGAGCAGACAAGGCAAAGCCCGCAAGAGACATAGACCGAGATGATTCACTGGAAGATTAGCAAGCTATATTGGCGTATACGAAATTGATATGTAAGTATAATGAGATGTTTTCTCTGAGCGATGATTACTTAAAATCGTTTTATGGACTCCCATATTATGACTCAATTCCGTTCCTACTTTTTGATTTTATTCAAAAATTTCCTGCGAGGAACTCCTCCAAGCCCGAGGAAGCCGTCGCCGAAGCGAAATTTCATGGACCTAGCTATTTTATTTAACTTTTTGCCACTGGTAGATCAGTCGACGGAATATTCAAAACTTCAATGGAAACTTGAGACTGCAGCCCCCTCGGGCCAGCCCGACACCCCCGCATTCTGCTCCGACCCGTGTCGGACCATGGCCCGAAATCCTCGGCCCTCCCCGAAATTCATACATCATGCACTCAAGATGATCTCAGCCACCAAAACTTCCGGCTAAAATAACATCCTCGAATAATGTGAGATAGATCGGTAATTGTAGTTAAAAGGAGCTGGATTCTTGTCATAGAACCGAAAATGATTTTCTTTGAAGTCGCCGTGAAGTATGAAAGTTAGCCACCATGTCTCAACCCCCGCCTCCTCAAGATCCGATCCCAAATCGCCTACGGGACTTGGTTGCTCTCATTACAGGAGCTGCTGGAAATATTGGTCTAGAATCTGCTCGTCGATATCTTCTTGAAGGCGCAAAGGTCGTGCTGGTAGACAAAAATCCACAAAAGCTGTCTCAATCAAAGGAGAAGCTGATTAGTGCGATCCGGGATTTACCTGATGGGGAGAACCTGAACTCAGATGACTTGATTCTCACTGTTCAGGCGGATGTTACTTCCGAGGAGGACGTTAAGCGATATGTCGACGAAAGCACTCGGAAATTCGGCAGGATTGATGTTGCACTACTCTGCGCGGGTATCTCATACGGGTCCACTAGCATTTTGGAAACTGATGTCAACCTTTACGACGAGGTTATGAAAGTTAATTGTCGGTCAAGTTAGTATTCTTCCATCAAATATTCACAGCTATGGATCACAGCTATGGATCATCAGTCACTAATATTAATACTTAGTTTTCCTCGGTGTGAAGCATTGTGGCCAAGCCATGAAAGATTCTGGGAAAGGAGGGAGTATTGTCTTGATCTCTTCAATCGCTGGCCTCCGTGCAACACCTGGTCTGTCAGCATATTCCACTTCGAAGTTCGCTCTGCGTGGTCTCTGTATCACTGCTGCTGCTGAACTTGGCCAGTACAATATTCGTGTCAACACGGTCCATCCATGTGGTGTCAATACCCCCATGTTCCGGGCCACCTGGCCTGAAGAAAAAATGAAGAGTATGCTATCAACTGTTCCTCTCGGTAGATGGGCAGAAGTTGCGGATGTTGCAGCCCTATTGGCATTTTTGGGAAGCGCGGACTCTCGATTCTTGACCGGTGGAGCTCTCAAGGTGGATGGTGGCATTGTTATGTACTAGAACTTTAAAGACAACTCGGAATACCACTAAAGATTATTTTTCGAGCTTAATCAGAAAAAATTGAATATACATAAAATTGAATATTGAAAGCACCGAGTCGGTCGTCGTTCATACAACAAAAAAAAGGTGAAAAGGAAAGGAATTCTTTACCACATAGGTACTCTTCTGGAAGTTCAAGTTTTATCTCATGTACATTATATTTTAGCGGCGTGGGTCAAGTGATAGTTGGAAGGGTAGAAATAGTACTAAATATTGATTAGTTTTATTTAATGAAGCTATACCTAGGTATTGAGATAATTGAATACTATGTTCAAGCTCGAGTTGTTGATCACAAAAGCCATCCATGGATCCAAGAAGAACAGACAACATGAATATGGGTTGATTCAAAATTGTGCCTAAAGCCTCAAGTCTCAACATTCCTCTTATTATGTCTCACGCCAATTCATATTTTTCCAATGCAATGTATAACTTTCGTAGAGAGTCCACTGCTCGTCGTACATTCTCATCTGGCCGTTGCGATTCATTTTTCTCTCATTCTCCAGTCAAAGATCTCCATCGAAACCACACCTTTCCAGCCTTTTCTTTTCAGCCATGCGTGAGAAATAGCTGTGATAGGAAGATACGCTCCTAGCTCCTCTTCAAGCGGAAATGGCCGCATGTTTCGTGACCAACATATGGACGGGTGTAAGTCTTCCGAATAGAAACGATGCTCTGGCGTTAATGCTGGTAGGAATCTCTCGCCGTCCGAAAGCTGCACATAGAATATCTTATCCGTTGGGCATGTTTCAACGAATCGATCAAGGGACTTCTGCAAAGCTGAATCTGCATCTTCACGCATCCCACTCTTGACCGTGACATCCCCCCACACCCGAGCAGCCACGTGAAAGCTGTCGAGACAAAGGCCAAAATTCACTCGGTTGACATCCTGGACCATACGTAGCGATTCCTCCCAAGTGTCAATATAGGTACCCCAGGCCACAGCTTCGTAGGCGATGCTGAGAGAGTAAGAGGCTGCCAAGGCGCTAAGTTCTTGTAAATCGGCAACCATGCGTGGCCAGTCTCCGGAACTGTTTTCGGCATCAAATTGTGATGGCACTTGCAAGTACTTGGCTCCCAAGAATGCCGCAATTTCGATCCAGTCTCGTGCAGACTCCAGTCGATCTTTCAAAGGCGAATTGTGACCTTCGAAATTTTTGAAAGGGTTTAAAGATAACACCGCTAAGTTTTCAGACGAGCATAATTTGGCAATAACCTCTGCTGCGTCCCTTATGCTCAAAGCTGGTTCTTGAGAGATGGCATAGTCTTCGAGTTCCTTGTAGACTATTTCGATTGCGGAAAACGAGGCAGAGGCGGCAGCATGGATTTTCTCCGGCAGTGTATGAGAAGGATGAAGGCCCAAGGAAGAGGTCGTGATTGCGAGGGGATTGTCAAGCATGATGGCTAGTACCTAGGTAGTATTTATTCTCAAGGTCCTGAGGCCACTGAGATGGAATTGCAGGCGATACGGGCACTGATTCAAGTTATTTATAGGTTAGGCTAGCAATGCTGAGTCCTAGAGACGGGTTTAAACTTAACCGAATCAGCCTTAGTTTTCAGTACTAGTCATGAACCTTGGTACAATACTATACTATCGTCACATTTCTTATAGGGAGGATAAATTACTCAACGATCAACTAGGCAGATGTCGTCACCGGAGAAAGGCTGGGTTTTGATCCCTGCTTCATCAAGCAACCATGCGTTTACGAAGTTCTAGAAAAAGTCCATACCGACATTCAAGTTTTATACCTAATATACTTCAACTTCAACTAGCTGACCTTTAGCCAATCTTTTCGTGGCAAAAATGATTAGAGAGATATGCAAACAAAATTTAAATTATAACTCTATGCCAGTTGGCCAAGGTTTCGGGGGCGTATCGGAGGGCACCGATACAGCCCCGCATCTCGGAGAGATGGTCAATCTCTTCAATTTGGAGACGACCATGGGAATTATTCCGGCACTTCCATTAAACGTGGCCCCCGATATTTAATTACTGTCCCTAAACCTAGCAACTTTTTTTACAGCTCTAGATGCGGTTTGTGGCAAGGTCTGCATACTTGAGAGTTTTTGGTAAATTTTACGTTATTGGTTACATCTCTTGTTACCGCAATCCACAGCTGAGCGAACCATCCTAAAGCACCATACTTAATGTAATTCTTCAGGTCACTGCATGTCAATTAAGTAAAGGTTTGTCTATTCCATTTGTGGTAGAATGGTGTTTCTTATCGTATATTAAAATCCATAATGTAGCTGAACCGAGATATGGACTCGATGATAATTCGCACGGGTAACTTATTTCCTTAAATTACCAAGAATACGCTCCGATCAAGTAACGCAAGCCTGAAGATAGTCACTTCTCGGCCTGATAAACGTACTTATATAACATTGTGAGGACTGAGATACCTTCGAACTTTGATATAAACCTCAAAAATTGATTTAAATTTGAAATTATAAAATATCACTAATCAAACACACTAGAACTCCTCGGTGCAATAATTGGGCGGGTGGATCACGTGTATCTGCAATCCGAAGATGGATGACGCGCTGCATAACTCGCGTCTCGTACGCTGCGTGGAGGAATATCCGAATATCCTGCCCAAGTGCGGAGTCTTCGTCTGCGCTAACAATGCCTAAAGAGAAACCAAAGATTGTATCCGCGTACGTTTTATCCGCTCTGTCCACCAGATTCTAGTAAATTGATCTTTTTATCGCAGGTGCAACACTTGCAGAAAAAAGAAGGTCAAGTGTTCTGGTCAATATCCATGTCTTTATTGTACTCGCCGAGACCTTCAATGTTCCTTCCCGGGATCCGATGATAGGCGCCTTTTTACTGAGGCGTATGTTGCTCCATAAGGCCAGGATATAGCTTCCGGTGTCTCTGATATGTGATATGTAGGAAGGTCCGGGAGCTTCAGTCACGTCTGGCTCTGTACGAACCTCGTACCCACTCATCAGAAGGTCAGCGCTTCTTCTACAACTCTTTTCAAAATTATGTTTCGTGCTCATCGACTTCAGGGGCCGAAGATGGCAGTCGTGCTCAGATACAGAGCTCCGCGGCCATATCAGACCCTACCGAAATAGCAGATGTGAATTCAGGGCAACTCTTCGCCACGCCAGTAAATCCACAGACAAGAACATCTGCGGCACCATATACACCAAATATGACCTCAGGAACTGACAGATCTGCCCAGCGTTTGTTCCATGCTACTAATCTCCGTCTTTCCATTTCTAATTGTCCTGTTCAGAAATCGAAACCCATTTCGCCCTTAGCTCAAGTCAAAACTTTGGGAACCGAATACAGGATCTTCTTGAGCAACGGACTAGTCATTCTTCACAAATTTCACTTACACCCAAAGAACAAGCACCACGCCACAATCCCAATGGCGGCGGCCTATTTCCACAACAACGCACTCCTCTCCGGTTGCGCCAAAACCAAGAGAACGGGCCATGTGCTAAATTACGTCTACCCTCGGTAGAAGAAGCATATCAACTTCTAGATACGGTTCTACTCTACCTTTGCGGTACCCAGCATTACTTCGATGAGCGGGAGCTCTCGGATCAGCTCATGATATTTTACAGAAGTAATTTTGATGATGGTCAGAGAACCAGTATTTGGTATCTCCACATCCTTCTTGTGTTTGCGATTGGAAAACTACTACGTGGGGACTTAGACGGGACAAGTGAGCCCCCGGGTTTTGCCCTATTCAATGAAGTTCTCAGATTACTTCCCGGTATCAGTGAAATCAGAGCCCATGGTGTCGCCGGAATTGAGATTTTGGCACTGATAGCAGTGTATTACCAAAATATCGACTGCAAAGATGACGCAGCTACTCATGTGTGAAAGCGAAGTACCCCTCCAGATCATCATCTAAGCTTATATCTTATAGATTGGACTTGCTTTTCGGCTGGCTTTGTTGCATAAACTCAATCGAAAAACTACCCTGGAGCAGTTACATCCGTCGCAAGCAACGCATGTCAACCGTATTTGGTGGACAGTCCAAATGCACGATAAACGGCTTACGATAGCCACGGGGTGTCCATTGAGTCTCGACGACAAAATGATCGCTTCTCCTCTCCCGACTGCTTCACCGGGATTCTCTGCGCCGTGGGCTATTCTGTTGAATATTGAGATTGTGCAAATTCAAAGCAGAATATACTCTGGTTAGACCTAACTTCAGACACTATTACTAATTATCGCAGCAGCTAAAATGTCGTCATATAGTCCTTTACAGCAATGAGTCTTGTTCCGAGGACACATTTTGCAATAATGTGCAAGATATCATGTCTTCACTCACCGAAATCGCCAAAGAAATTCCTCAGAACCCCTCACGCCCCATCAAATCAAATCGTGACCCATCAAAGCTAGGGATACGCACAAGCATATCGCTGTTTACAATGCTCTATCAGGTACCTTGGAACTTTCAATCTATGTGATTCCTGGCAATGCAGATTTCAAAAAGCTAAATTTTCTACACAAGGCAATCATCCTCACTCTGCGACCCGTTCTTCTCCATCTCACCAAGTTGATACTCGATCGCGAGACAACCTTTGCTGAAAGCAGCAGTGCATTGCAGCAACTTGCCCGTATATGCATAGATGCCGCGCGCAATAATTTGAAACACATGATAATTTTAAACGATGAAAAGATTATCTGTTCGTGACTTTCCAGCCAACAGCTACCCTGGTATCTAGGAGCTAATCATTGATAGCTGTATTTGGATTCTTTGATCTCGATGCCATTTTTTCTTCCTCGTTCGTTCTGCTCCTAGCAGCCATAATCAGTTCTCCAGATCCCGGCGACTCCAGCAATTTCCCCTTTCTCACTTCAAGTCCCGGCATCAGAGAAGGCCTACAGCTTCTCGATTATCTGGCGGGGCGCCAAAATCATGCCGCAGGTGCACGAAGAGATCAGTTACAATCTCTGCATGAACGCTTGCCCTCCTTCATGCAAGGAATTTGTGTTTCCGGGGTCGACACCGAAAACCCATCAGCGTCTCAAGCCGCATCGAACAATATGGCGATTGCAAATGCAAGGACGTCCTCAGCGGAGGCTGATTTTTATCAAGGGGGGAGTTTCTCAATACGATGAGGTTATGGGGAGCTATACTAGCGGGACAGTGGAAGGTGATTTCGTTCCAGTAACATTGCCTGTTGAGTTTTCGGATGATCCTCATGCCATGTACTCGCTCTTTCATGGTGAGGGCTTTTCATTGACCGGGGAGAATCAGGCCGATTTCGAGGAACTACAGCGACATTTTCTATGGCATGAATGATGCAATATTCTAGTAGTTACTCGCAATCCATATCCTACTACTAACGGGGTGTTCTCAAAATTCACCTGGGCACGATTCGAAGTCTTCAAGTTCTGAGGTCATCAGCCTTGGAAGGACCTCGGGAACCTGGGGATTCGCTTTCGACACTTCAATATTCCAGGATTTATTTTTGGATATACTAGATGATGTAGAGTCCCATGTAACTCGAATTAATCCATGGTCTTTCAAGTTCAACGTCGTCGTACTACCAGCATGCGACCAAGCTCTACTCGAGGTTTACAAGGGAAATCGAAAATGATATGGAAGAAATGTATTCAAATCCAAGACTCCGGACCCATGATATCATCAAAAACAGTAAAAGGCACCCCTATCCAGCCAGGTTCCTATATCCATGGATGCAGAAAGGAAATCATGCAGGTATCATCCTCAATCATCACCGACCTTCGATATAATCTCTGTTCTCGATCGTCACACTCTTGGTCATGTGGTTGACCTTGTAAACACCGACAAGACGCGAGGCAAGCTCGAACATATTGTTTCGCAAAGAAATGACAATAAATTGTGCATTCTTCGTCCGCTCCTTGATATATGATGCAACAATTGAGACCTAATATGCGAGTTAGTACCGAGCGTATCTTAAATTTTAGCGGGAGGGTGGGAACTCACGTTTCGGAAATCCAATGCGGCGTCAATCTCGTCCATGACGTAGAGCGGTGTCGGCTTATAATGATGCAGAGCAAAGACCAGCGCCAAACTGGACAGTGTCTTCTCACCACCAGACAAGTTACCGATATTCTTCCAGCTCTTCTTCGGAGGCATGACTGAGAACAAGATACCCTCGGAGAAGGGGTCCAGTGAGTCGACCAATTCGAGTTCGGCATTACCACCCATCGTAATCATCTGGTACATCTCCTTAAGGCGGAGAGAGATGATACCAAATCCTTCCATAAATCCATTGAGACGGGCTGAGCGAAGACTATCCAGGCGAGACTTGGCGCTATCGCGAGAAGTCAGGGCAGTAGCCAGATCCGCAGACCGCGCTTCATGCTCAGCCGTACGGCGACGGTATTCTTCGATCACAGATAGATCGACTGAAGCATTCTGCACCTTCTCTTCCAAGGCGGCG